GACGTGATTCTAATATGGGTGAACTAAAATGACGGCAAATTCATGACCGGTTATTGTTTGGTCAGGAGTAAATTTCACCTTTAATCATCCAATGGGAGTGAGAGAGAAGTTGACTACTCTCAAAGTGTACTTTTCTGCAAGTTTTTCTCCACTAAATTTCCATTAGTGTTAAAAGCTTTGCATCGATGATATCCCACTTTGCATGACAATAAACCGCGAAAGTGAATAACGATGTTGAAGAAATGGCAAATAACAAATATGGAAGATCATAGTAAATATGAAATTCGAAATTTTGTCGTTTCCCTAATTAACTCCTGTCAAGTTCACCCCCTTTTTATACAGAAAATTTTCCGCCTTAAGGGATCTTGGAAGCTTCATTTACTGGCTGCTTGATGTCTGGATATGTCAACTGCACCTTGATCGCAAATGTTTATATCCGCCCTCTTGCCCTCGTTAATGCTTGATCTTGGAGACAAAAGGACAAGAAAGAACTAACCTTTACGAAAGTCCGTTTCTTCGAGTCCTCACAAATGACCAAATTCTTCTTCGATGCTGCGTTTTAAAAGACACCTTTAGTAGAACAAGGCTCTAGACCTACGATTGAGCAAATCTTTCACCTTCTCCATGTATAGTTCCATGTAGGAGACCTAAGGATTATAGAGAACCTTATTTCCCTTTCCTGACTGTAAGAACTCACCTTCAGTCTGACCTCAAATGTTGTGCGCATTGTCTGAATTCGATTGAAGATGTCGCCTAGGATTCGTGGAATCACTCCAAATAGCTCTATGTACTGCAATTCGCCCTAAAACGTGGGAAAATTTTCAGGAACAAAATAATTATGCCAGAATTTTGTCGTCAGATATTACCTTCCCAGGTTCTTGTTTTCAAAAATAAAAGTGGAAAATGTAAACTTTGTGCGCATATGCGTCATATATAGTCAGCCTTTAACTCCGTCCAAATAAGGCCAAGTCAGGGTCACCAGAGTCAACGAAGTAAACATCAGCCGATGTGTAATAAGCGCCTTTCTGATTAGTGCATCGGCCAGGGGATGGGCCATTGAATCACCGCCTCCGGTGTCTGGGGCACCCACGTCTGCGCAGCGCACGTTATGCTTCAAAGCCGTGGGCCAGGGGGGGAGCCCCAGTGCTTGGCAAATCCCAACCTGGGATTAAGCTCTAAAGCGCTTTGGTAACTCACTCAGCAAGCCGTAGAGTGGATCGCTGGACGTAACGCAACACTTCAACAGTGCCGCATTTTCGCCGCCGATTCGCCTCATTTGGGAAGTGGTGGTGGCAGAAGGAATTGGGGGATGACGAAATTACCGGGGGGGGGGGGGGGAGATCTTTTACTTTAATGTGTCCACTTCATCTTTTCTATGCCGATTTAATCGAACTAATTAAATCACCAGGAAAGGAAGTAAAATTTGCAATTTCGAGAACTTCTAAAAGTGCAAAAGTATGATCCAAAATGGCTCAGAACATTCCAGATCTTGGATTAGAAATGATGTGGATATAAAAGTTGAGAAACGCTAAATAAGAACCTTAAATCACTGTCGCGGAAATGTAGAGCCGACTCATGCGTTGGAAGGTAAAGGAAAATGAAGGAAATCGCTTATTGTTTGACAAATGCCTTAACTGGGCGTAGTAACAATGACAACCACACCCAACTGTTTGATTGAAATGTTGTCAAGTTTAACCAAGGATGTTCCGTTTTTTTGCTAGTTCCAAGATTCCACATGGAGGAGATGGGGAAGGGGTTTAAGGAAAAAAGAACCAAAGCGTTCTTTCTAAGAAAGGGGTGAACACGTTCAGCGTTAGACACCTGAAAAATGTGATTCAACAGCATCCTCATCACCTCTCGGTAAGGTCATGTACAGGTCGAACCTCTGGCTCTGCAGAGTCGGAACTATAATTTAGGCCAAGAAGATGTCCGTAGCATTATTACCACTTGCCACTTAAAAAGGGAGGAAAAAGAACCACAAATGTGGGGAAATTACTTACCTCCATTGTGTACGTTTTCCCACTGGAGGTTTGACCATACACGAAGATCGTTCCATTATATCCACCGATTACGTAGTCAATAAGGGGTTTGCCGATTGCTTCATAGGCCTCCTCCTGGGTGACACGATCAAGAACGGCGTCATAGGTGTATACCCTTGTCTACACAAAAGATGATTATCGGTTTTCTTGTGTCAGGTGAAGACAAACTTACCCCAATGGAGACGGTGGTGGGAGAGAGGCAGGTGAGACAGATGCCCTTCTGCCCCGATATCTCCTCCAAATTGAGGGGACGAATGCGACATATAACTCGAACATTTTCCGCCATGACGATCTCCTGTATACACGCACACGGACACGCGGACACACTCGGACCCACGTGACCCGATTATCGATTTGTCTGCATATTTTAACGGCGCTTCGCGTGCCCGCTGTTTGCAAGGTCTTCTGTTTACGCATTAATGATGCAATAGTCTGCTGAAAGAAGGGAAGAGATAGCCAACTATTTTTTTATTCTGAAATCTCACCTTCCACTCACATATGCCTCTTTTTTGTCAAAAATAAAAGGAAAAACGTGCTGACGTTGTAAATGTCAGTAGTGCTGTGTTATCGCCGTCTCACCGGAATGGATTTATTGGAAAATCGATGACCCCCGGATGACTCATCACATGCACTGGTCTACTTGTGCGTGGGCGTGCAAACATGCTCGTTTTGGGCTGATTACTGGTTGGTTCTTTTCTTCCCATGTTGTAACCCACCAATGAGAAATTGGTGTATAATTGAGTGGCAAAATTTGAGTGGACATGGAGGGGTTGACCAATGGGAATAGTTGGGGTTTTTCCATGTACATCACGCAGCGCCTCAGGGAACTGAGGCGTCAACGTCTTGGGACGGCGTGCTCTCCCGAGGAATGGGCTCCGTATTTGTCCACTGGAGAGGCAAGTAGTTGAGTAGAATACGATCTAATTTTTCCAAATTGTCAAAAGTCTTAGTTATTGTACATCAGTCTGGCTTGAAAGGCTTGCTCCCACTGTTGTCAAATAGTCGTTCGGATTGCACGAACGTAAGCAACCATTTAATCACGCCTACAGCAGCAAAGGTATTATAGTTATCTGCGACCTAAAAATCGCCTAAACAAGTTTCAACCATTAATATTTACCACATTTTAGGTGGTGCATTTAATTTTGATAAGTACGCATGTCTCGGTAGTCACCTGCAAAAACGGGAGAAAAAAGAAGCACATCGTCTGTTCTGCAGTCTTGAGAGTTTCTCTCTAACTTTTTTTTTCGTAAAGGTGAGTTTAAGCTGTGCTAGCGCGCAAAAAAAAACACTTTAACCGGTGTCTCTATTTGTTCACCTCTCAAATTGTGTCGCCTTCTTCAAGCGGCAGACTTTGACCCGCCTTAGCTTTACAAGGTGTGAGCACAAAGTCTGACAAATCCTTTTTTAAACTAATCCAAATTTGTGGAGATGTGATGACAAGATAAGTCATCAGTGGCAAATGCTACAGGTTAAAAAAGACGGTGGAGGAGGAGGGAGGTGGTGGGTGATGTAGCGCTGTCAGGACTGATTCATCGGTACAACAGTTGATGAACTTGAGTAAAACTTTGCCTCATGTCCACGCCGGTTGTGCCTTTACTTTCCTATTTTTGACCTTAAAACTCCCAATCTTGACCTGCCGCTTTCTATTCTCTTAGTTGTGTAATGAAGCTCTGCTACTGGTCACTCCTCTCTCCCCCTCTGTGGCTCGGCATATGTCGTCTTGCGCGATAGTTCAGTGTGCTACATCAGTAAGAGGGGTAGACGAATAGCACTACCAATTTCGGCTGCTGGGAACACCACCTACAGGTGAGGGGAAGATGGCAACAGAGAGTTTGGAACTGTCTCTCACCTTCGTATCACAGAATGTCGGTTGAACCAGGCAGATATGGTGCTAGACTGTTTAGTTCACAAACTATGCTCTACTCCAGCTCCACAGATGTGAGGTGATGAACCGGCTTCAAGAAGACCGTCGGTTCGGCACAATGAAGAGGTGTGCATTCCGACTGGTTAGAATACGTGAAGAGCAACTGTGCAAAGAACCACCGGTATCACTTGGCAAGTAAATATCGCAAAAATGTCAACTTGTTGTTATTCTTCATTCTCTTGGCATACCTCATGGTAACACACTCCATGCATTTGACATTTGTTTATTGTCTGATTAAGTACCTGATTGATGTGTGATGGGAAATGCAAGCGAATTTTCCGGCATACATCACTATATTCTTAGAGTACTCTCCTTGGTGTCTGTGGATGTGAGGTAGACGACAGACGAAATTGTTCACTTGTTGAAGGCCAAACGACGGCAGCACTTTATTCACTCGATTCAACCGCGTCGCAAAGGTGTTTCAGGGCAACTTTTCTTGGGGGCCAGTCAGTACAAGCTCTGCTCTTTCAAGGCACACACCACCTCACTCATGCAAAGATATGCCGCTTTGTGATGGCAAAGGATTACTGACTCATCCTCAGCCTCACCCCTCCGCCTGAAGGTCATCTTGTCGTCTCAAATGGGTTGGGCATGTGATTGTGGCTAGAGCAAGTTTATTTCCTGTCTCATCCATCGAGCGAAATAAGGAATTTTCTAGTCAACTTCACTTCAGCCACATGACAGCTTATATTGATTGAAACAGCCGTGACCACAATGGGCGTAGGTGGGAGGGTGGCCGGGGTTGACACCTTGGCCACACGTATACGTAGGTAACTCCGGTGGCCCAAAGTTCACAGGACTTTCTAGATATTCCGCCGACGGATGCTGAATGAGTGGGTGGATGCCTGCGCATCAATGGTTATCAGACTTGTCGGTGCGGCTTGGCTCAGGCTGGATAAATAAACCAAGGTGACTTTAGTGCTGTAGATAAGCGCGTTTGATAGCACAACATCAACCCAATTCAGGGTAGCTGTCAAAGCCCCAACTTTTTTCCTTTACTTAAGCAACAAAACTGACAAGCGCAGGGTCACTCTTGAGGATGATGGAAAGGTACTAACCAGAGGATCTAATTACTTAAGAAAAAAAAGAGGAAAAAACCGGATTTGATTCGCGACTTTTTCGGGTGAAATGAGGGGCTTGTCAAGAATGCGGGACAGTCTGTCACTTCCTGTCAAAACCGACTCAAGTAAGATGTCTTAAATGCGTCAACAAGTCAGCATATTTATCAATGATGTTCTGTCAGTAAGAAGGACAAAATTCAGAACCATTTTGATGAATGACAGTAGAGGATTCAACGAGGGTGGTGAGGTTAATGAGCCAATCGAATTAAAGCGGGATGAGCCATCGACTTCTGCTGCCATTGGACAAAAACCGTCGAACCGAGAAATCGATGGTTGAGGCTTTCCTCCCCCCATTTTTTAAAATGAAGCACATTTTTTTGTTGATAGAGGGTTTGGGGTTTCGGTTGGGTGGCAGGTTTAAGGGAAAAGGGGGAATTTGGGAGCCCCACATTTAGTGTGATTTGGTGGAAGTGTCACCACTTCGTGCAGGATATGAAACAAACACGAAGGGCAGAACCTCATTCACCTTTTAAAGCGGCGAATTTAGCCAAAGTGCGTCGATGCCTGCAACCCCCCTCTGTCCCTCCACCTTGCGCACCAAACCGAATAAGAGGATACCGAACACCTTAATGCACCTAGCACCAAGGTCTGGGAGACAAAGTGACAATGCCACTTGCGCCAACGAACTGACCAATTCAAAGGGGCCAGCTCGAAGAGCCATCATGATGTGATTATCCTCTCCCCAGGTACGTCGAATAGACCGTACTGACGGCGAGGCCGCTAAGAAGGGGAGGTTCAACAGAGTAGGCGATGGCATCCCCTAAAAGGAAGCCTGCGAATTCCGAATTGGTAGCTCAAAAATAAGCAATAGTTAGCATTTATTAATATTCCATTTTAATAGACTGTGTGCAATGGAGACGGGGAGCCGAAGGATTCCATGAGAAAACGGAGCAAGGAAGGCAAGTCAATGAGGGTAAATTGGAGGGCCAAAAAAGGAGAGGAAAAAAGTAGAGGAAAAGAAGAAAATGGTGGGATAGGAAAACAAAGGAAGGCATAAAGCTGACAAACTGGAGACGGGGGGAGGAGACGGAGAGAATGAGAGGGACAGGAAAGAGGAAAAAACAAGAGGGGGAGGAGAGAAGGAAGGGAAATGTGGGCAACCTTTCACCCTTCCTTCAATCGACCAATTGATTGTCTGACGGATTGCACAATGCACATCATTGTCCTTTCGCGCTTGAGATGAGCGAGGGAGGGAGACCAAACGACAGATATGTTTCTGTTTGAAAAAATTGGACGGGTGGGGGAAGGGATGGGAAGTAAGGAACTGCTGGTTCGCTGTGTCCCTTGTTAACTTTTTTTAGAGCAAGGAAGCAACTTTAGAAGAGCCAACACTGATGGAGATTCTTGCGCAGCCGATTTCTGGCTCGATAATTACGCAAGGACTCTACCTGGCGATCGTTGAAAGCACCTTTGCGTTTGCTAAAAGGGAGAATGAGGCATTGTGCCGACTTTCTTGTTATTCAAAAGAAGAAATAAATTGTCGGTAATGACGCATTTTCGGGTAGACAATTGCCTGTCCACAGCTATTAACTTGGAACGACAGTGATAATGACGACTAGTAGCGAACGAGGTAGATAAACAAAAAAGGCATGGACAAAGTGCACCACTCTTGAGAAAAGCACTAGACGACGCCGAACAAATACAGACGCATATGTGCACACCGGTAAGATCGTGGTAAATAACACCAGAACTTCATCATTTATCAATGAAGTACAATAAAATGCCGTCTTAAGTGAGGAAATTCTAAAAACTTTAAATAGCTTTAAATTTTGGTAAAACAAGATAACTCACGATCTAATCAACTCGATGGCCTCTTGATTGGACATTCCCAATTCCATCAGCGCAACAGCTACCAGAACAGGAGCTCTGCAAGAAAAAGGAACATGATACAAGAGCCCACTTTTAATTCAGCTTTTAAAACTTCTTTCTTAAAATTGATAGTAAGGAGTAAACCTTCTGAATTACTAGGATTGACCCCCATATTAGGCAATGGAGTAAAGCCACTTAAGGCTGACAAATGGTAGAATGCGAAGAAAGTCCGCCCCCTTCAGCAAATTAGCAGCTAATGTCCGTAAACTAGTGTCAAAGACGCGCCTTGCCAAAATGACAACCTGCCATACTGATGTCTGGCCGCATTTAACCAAATCGACCGGCCCTAAGTCTAAACAAGGACCCTATCATTCAGCAGATTCGAAAAAAAAAACGGCGTCAAGGGGATTGAAATTGAAAAAACTGATCAGTAATCACGAAATGAATTAAGAAGAAAAAGGTTGCAATGTCGCAGTCAAGTTCACAGGAAGTTTGATGAGTTGCAACCTTTTGACCCAAAAATGTTGGTGCAGCATAGAAATGAATAAAACAACGGAAAAACGTATCCACTAAAAGCAATTAAGGGCGTAAAAGGCAAAAGAGATCAGGTTTTTTCCTTGAAAAGAAATACCTTCCATAGCCAGCCAAGCAATGCACAGCCACAGACCCTGGGTGAGAATTATCATTTCCGTTCCCATCACCAGACGGGGTCTTTTTAGGACCGTAGAACCGCAACCGCAAGAGCTCGAACCACTTCTCCAAAATGTCGTCAGGAGGGAAGGATCCGTCTTCAAATTCCCAATGCTAAAACATGACAGCAGTGAGGCAAGAAGAATTCTACACTAAGATCAAGCAATGACGTAGGAATTTACGTGAACTTTAATTCCCACTTTCTCGAATGGCTCGATGGGATATTTGTCCTCACACACTCGGATCACGTCGGAAACTCGCAGCCGAGAACATTCCTTACGAAGAAGTAGCTAATAAGGTGGGAGCAAAAATACCTTGGCGAAGGTTTGAACAGTGTCAGCGGCCGGTGAATCCATAATAATAAAATGCATTCCTTTGAACATCACATCAGTAATTACCGGTTTTAGTAGCTGTCTCGAAACCATATTTGAGGTGACCGCATTCGTTCACATTGGAATAATCTGAAAAATGGTGCCACACTTGGGCCGTTGGAACAAGGCAACCGATTTGAGAGCACCACGATTAAAGTGATGCGGACAAACAAACAGAAGGAGGAATCGCGGAGTAGTACAGCTAATTATCGAATGGATATTCCAAAAATAATTTAATAAAGCAATTTAAAACGCACATAAACTGTAATCTTACTATATGACAATTTTATTGCTTAGGAACAAATTGTCACCTAGTATATTTATGCTAAAAAGCAATTTAAAAGAGCCTATGATTTGCATTTCACATTTTCTGTGCGTAAAATTAAGTTTAGGGCTATAAATGAGTAACTGTGCTTATCACACACTTTAGATGTTTTTATCGTTTAGGGTTTTTGATAATACGGTGCATGTCTAAGAATTCATATTTTCCGAAAGAGACAAAAAACAAATCCTAAAACAATCTTTAAACTTTAAACAGGAGGAAATTTTTTGAATAACGTCCTGTATTCTGCACCACTTTATTTGTCTTCTCTTGATAACTCAGCTCCCTTTGTAGCTTCACAAGTCTTTCTTGGCGTCGAACAGAGGCATAATTCTCAGGCAGAATATGCATTGTCGACATACGGTGGGTCTTAGAGCTACTAATATGGCTCGAAGGATAGGTAAAACGGTAGAACCCCCAAGAAGCCCGCATCCACAACCAGGAAACAAACTAAGGAACGCTCCATTACATCACATCGTTTACGGAAATTAGATGAGGATAATGATATTACCCGTGATGTCCTTTCGACTTTTAAACCACTATTCTGACCTATGTAATTAAAACTAGGAAATATCAACTTTACTTTGATGTAAATTCTAAGGCTGATATTCTAATTTTGGATTGGAACGCAGGTGGCTGGAGCATAAATAGACGCCTTCGGGCAGTAGGATTTCCTGTTTCTTTAAGTAGCAGTACCAGGAAAAAAGCATCCCTTGCCCATGCAAAATAGATACGAATTGATTTGTTTAGGAGTTTGAATGTGCTACTCAGTCAATGTGAAATGAGAAGGATGAATGTGAATGATTGCTATTTTTTACAAGTATTCGTAAATATTTGAAAACAGAACTAGCATATCTTGAACCCGTTCTTAAGCATCTTAATTGAAGAAGACTAACCCACTGTTAGCATTAAAAAGGGTCGAAACACAGCCACAGTGTTCAGACCATCTTACACGGCAGAAATACGAACTACGGAAACCCTTCTGAGCGCACAGTCAAATTGAGAAAATAGCCGTTGCATAATTCCCAGCCTTTCCGCTTAAAGGAGGAGAAAAGAATCCTAATGAGTACCCTTACCACAATAAAATTGAAGACGGATAAGCATTAGAGAACCACAAGTTTCAAAGAGCATATTTTGTGCATTCTTTACCCGTCGAGGTGAAATTCGTTCAAAAACAACATTAGAGAGGCGATATCCAGTTCTCTTTCCATTTGGGAGCCTGTCGCTAAGCCTTTTTGGTGGTCAAATCTGAATAGCTGATGCCTGACCCCTCCCTTTAGCACTGCAGCAACTAAAGGTCGCTGTTTCCTAAACATAGTTGGTGTTGTTGAGCCTCCATCACCTCCCTTGTCTGCGCTAAGAATCTAACAACCAGTCAGCAAAGTAGGGCATTGCCCACCACTGACCCTAGTCTGGGGTGCCCTAGTTCTCACCAAATAGCGGTCTGAAGAACCCACCACGAGGTCAGCGCTCGAGCCTTGGAGGCTGAGGCGCTCTAAAACAAACGCCCTATTACCGTAAAAACCAAAAGAGGGGAAAAATCTCTGATCTATTTTTGATTACCTATTACACGTAGCAATGAACAGTTTACATCTCCGCACTTATTTATCAAACAATCGTCTAGACATCTGTGAATATCACACACCAAAATTGGCGGCCTTTTAAATAAATCGTTACAAACTAAAAAGCGAGTTGGCTATTTACGGATTGTGATACTTTATCAGGGGCTAAGGAGGGGTTCCAACACGTTGCAAGCTTCTCGCGACACAATTAATGACGATTTTTTACAAAAAATTTATGTCTGTATGTTGCACAAATTAAGTCCTTGCAACTAAGGCAGACTTTAAGACGCGTTTTTGTTGACATTATTTTTGGAAAAAGATCGGAAAGGTTAGCATATCGCAAACGGGTTTTAAGCATGCAGCATGAGGTAATGATAGACAGGAGGAGTTGCTGGAGGGCTTTTAAGCCCAATTGGGAGCTCTTTACACTTAAGAGCGGTTTGCAGAGAGAGGAGCGAGGGTTTGAGAAGACTTTAGTGACGGTGAAGAGTAATTCCTGCAGATGATTGAAAAGGTGGAGGCTCAACACAAGTGACTGATCTTGGCAAGTCGCCAGCCTCGAGGTCAACGTAGGGGAGGTAGGTCACGTCTCAACCAGTCACAGATGTTCTCCAAAAGGGTGCTAGCTACAGATGTCCAAGTGGTGGACACGTGAAATGCGCTAGAGTTGAAGAATCGTCCAGTTTCCAAGGCATTGTCTTCCCAATGGCCTTTATCTACTTCAGATCACTCTGCTCAGGAGATGCGATGCTCAGAAATGTAGATTAAACCGAGAGTAACTTCTATCACTGACGGGTGAGCGTTACCTACGGGAATAAGTGATTATTCAGCCGTACGTAGAGCTTTCAATGTATTTTGTACAATAACAATAGATGTCTCTTTTGTAATGGAACGGTTTGGTGCCTCTTCAGGAAGGCAGGTGCCACGCTAACTGATTTCCCATCAGTGCTGACAAGCCTTAGGGGGAAAACAGCCAGTTATATAACCCGGTTTCCTTTTTTAGAAGGAAAAATTCAAGAAAGTTTTAGAAGTGCAACTGATTAACCACGTCTTTTACGGCTTCCTCACTTGGAATAACGTCTCCCCTCATCCTAATCCCGCATTAGCCCAAGTCTCTGTTTATTGCCTCTTTTCTTTAAGTTTGACTACTTAACTAGTAGAAAATGTCATTTTTTTTTACCGAAGATAACCGAGTTGAGAGAGAGAGTGAAATATAAACAGATCGGGTTGAGTACTTATTTACTTCTAAGTAGCATAATATGACGTGGACTTATTTGCCTCAGCCAAATCGGTAGGGCATGTGAGTTCTGGAGCGCTTGTCCCAAGAGGCCTCATCCATCTCATCCAACTCCCTGAACGATGGCCAACTTGATCGGTACTGTGGTTGTACTTGAATAAGAGCGTGAGGCGTGACAGAAGGGGAGGAAAGAAAGAAGGAAAGGATCATTATTTTATTTCTTGATTAAACAATATTAAACTTTTTTATTTTTAGTCACAAGAATAAAAAAGAGTAACTCCGAGAGGAGTTACTTTTGCAACAAAAAAGGCGATTATTTACGCGAATATTGGAAGAGAGGTTTCTTGTGATCACTGTATTGTGGTACATTGTCCTCTGAATATGCTGTGTTTTATTTGAAAAAGGGGAAAAGGAAATTAAGTGCGGATTTTAGAATGAAAGGGCAAAACATGCTACTTAAACAAGTGAAATAAGTAGTATTGAAACGCTTACTTGAAAAGGCAGTTATATTTTGCAGGAAGATAATACACAACGCAAAGAGGCCGAATTTAAATAGGAACATTGGTTTCATTGGCATTTTGAGCACCTAAAGTAGACAGAAGTTTATTATGACTTCTTATATCTTAGCGGGAGAAATGAAGAGGCAGGTGCTCCCCCAATCGGCGGTAAGACACAGAAAATCCCTTATTTTTCAAAATAATCCCACTGAACTTACTTCAGAAATGGTTTGCAAACTAGGCTGGTGCGGTTGGCCGAGTCTTATATACTACTGAGTGGAGCCTACCTGCCAATTGGTGGTTTCGACCAATAGGAAAGCGACTATAAGGTGGTCAGGACAGTCCTGGCATATATTATTAAATAGTACATGTGAGATGCAGCGAAATGTAAAACATTTTTGCTTGAATATCTCTTTTTGAGCTGCACCCAGGCAAAGTGAGCTAGCTAGGTGACTGGAGAGGCCACATCAGTTCTCAGGGTGAAAGAGGAAGAGGAGGAGCAGGAGGAAGAGGAGAAGGGGGAGGAGGAGGAGAAGGAATAGGCAAAAAAATACAAGATGTCATTCCCTAAGCATTTGTCGTTAACTTAGGGCATAAAATTGGAGGTACCGGAGAACGCAGTTTAGGTGGACCCACTTTCCATCACAAAGGAGACAGTCGTTGGCAAATGCCTAGGGCAAACTAGATTTAATTTACGATAATAACCTTAACAAAAGCGCAGAAGCTCTTACGCACACTCCCACAATAACCTTTACTTAGGAGCAGATCGAGTGAAGAAGGTCAGCTTGACCACAGATGGCATATCGAGTATAACAAAGAGCCGTGTAAGCCTGATCATGGTTCATGTGTCCCGTGCAATGGGAGATAATAAAGATTATGCTAAGATGCAACTTAAGGGTTGGAAGCAGAAGGAAGCCGGCAGGATATGGCAGGCGATGAAACATGCCCTAAGGGAGGAACCAAGAAGGCAGCCGTGTAATGCATAATTTTTAGATGAAAAGGATAACGTCCTCATTTTAAAACCCAAAATTAACTTACTTAAGCTGCAAAAAGTAGTTTTACCAATTCCAAGGTCATTTGGAAATCCATTTAGCAATAAGATATACTTGAAGTTGAACACTTTCTTTACAAACTTTATACAGTTTGGCTTTAAGTGAAAGTCCATTGCGGTGTACATTATTGTAATACGATAGTGGTTTATCCCTCGGTATTGGTGAGGCGCCACTTTTGTACTTTGAATTAACCTTCTTGTACCCTGTTGGGCGGGTTGGCCCTGGGAGCATGCCAATAGCTCAAACACCTTTTCTGTGCTAAATGTATATTCTGATCGAGTACTGTGTCTTCTTTCATCTTCAGGGAATTCTCGGGACGCCGCGTTAGTGTGTGCATCCTTGAATTCACAAAGAAAGGGGGATGTGCGGTCATTTTCGCCTGTCTTTACAAAATTAGCCAACTTCCCTAGGTTTTGTTTTGCACGATAGACTGTCGTTCCAACATTTTATTTTGTGGATATTTTGTGTCTCATCCTTTTAAAGACATTCTGTCTCGCTTATGCCAAGTGGCAGCAATTGTGTTTTTAAAAATAATTTTTTATTTAAAAGGTGTTAAGTGAGTATTTAAACCAATAACCCCTTCCTGCAAGATCTTGTTTTAATTTATCAATTCTTAATTTTGGTCACAAGCTGAATGATCTGCTTGCTGTTGATTGGTAGTTTGTAGCTTCTATGGTATGATTAGCATATCGATCTTACTATTGCATTTTAAAGCGTAACGCGGTTGTTTTATTCATTTTATTATCCTGATGTCGCATTAACAAGTAGCGAATTTTGTGATCGCTGCTGCCTCGTTTTACCAATTATCACTATCATGTATTTTGTTGTACTAGAATTAAGTACATACGGGAAATTCAGTAACTCTCAACTCTTGCACCTTTATTGTTAAGGCAATAAATTCCCTGACATCTTTTTTCGCTTGAATGTATACATATTTGGCATAGGTAGGCTCAGGTGTTTGCTCCCATTTTCTCCCCATTAAGACGTCACCAATGTGGCATAGTAGAAACTATTTGAAGTTAAATGGACCTTCAACACGAATATTTTAATGAATTTTAGTGTCATTTTTCTTTATTTTGGCTCAAATTTTGTTATATTGTCTGATACTTCCTAGAACTACTCAGAGTGAGCTGCCTTGAACATTTCGTCAGGGTCATGTAAATCGTGCCTGCAGAAATTCCAGGATTACCAATACTAGTCGCGTATTGGGACTCAAGTGTTGTTTAGAGACTACATATCTATTCTATTTTCAGTCCATCATCTGGATGAGGAAAAGTACCGTCTTCCCATGTCACCTTTGTGCAATTACTTTGCAATTTGGGCATACGCCAATTTCTCAGTTAATCTTAGACTAGCGATGCCATCAAGCAGCAGTTTTCTTAGGCTGCTCAATATGGAGGATTCGATCTTTTGATAAGAGTTTCGTTTCATCTTGCTTACCATGGCACTTGATATAACAATTTGGGCATAACCACAGTTAGAATCTAAGAGCTCTATTGCTAATAGAGTCGCGGCTAATTCTACTTTTATGAAGTTTATTTGATACCGGAAAGTGTTTCATTGACCGTATAGTCCTTCATTCAAGGTTATTTTTCGGTCACTCTTTAAAACCTCTAAAATCCATGACATTTCTTCACTAACAGAGAGGTAGCTGATGGCTCACTTGCGCACACATACTACAAGTTGAATGGTTGAAGACGGTCAAAGACACGGTAACAGTGAACTTATCCTTCGGTCTCTTAATCTACATCGTTACCTCGCACTTATGCAGGTACTATAGAAAAGTAACTTCTCTTGTCGGGAATGCGGTCCACCTAAAAGTATGCTTAGTCGCTGTAGGTTACTGAGTAACTAAGTTCGTAGTCCGGAGATTTTAAAACAGTCTTCTTTGCTAGTTTTACATTTCATATTGTGGCTATCTCTTGCCAGGTCTAGGGATGAATACCAGTTGAAATGATGAAAGATTTGATAAATGCTTGTTTTTTTGTCATAATTCCTTTCGTCAGAAATTTAGCGGCATTGTGCTATTCCACAATTCCTTGAAGGGATGAATATTGGCGTTCAGCTATGCCTCATTGCCTGCCCGTTTTCTAGTAGGAAAGTAGGGACTGCTCTCTGCAAGGACATTATCTGCTTTCATCCGTTATGCCTCTCGTGGATGCGTGATAAGTCCAGAATTTCTATGGTTTTGTGATAAGTTAAATTGCCTTATTCCCGCCTTCAATATCATCTTCCATGCTTCTAGACGCCTCGATTCTACCCCCACTTTTCGCAGTTAGAACTGGTGTTTATGCAACGGAAGATTGACTGAAGAAAGTCACTAAGACCGTTCTTCTATTCTTGGCTTGTTTTATCCCCTGTGAAACGGCTCTCATTTGGGGACCACGGCCTAGCACGCTGTAATGCCTTTTTGTTACGCGCAGCGACTTGTCAAATGTGTACGTTTTTTCCTCCGCACAGATTGCGAAGCTTCGAGAGAAGTGCGTCAATCCAGCGTCGGTGGGATGATCTTTCATTTTTGCATAATTGAACGAGTTTACCTCAATCGCAGAAGTCTTTCATTAAGTCTGCATAGAATTAGAAGGTGCGACATAAAGTCGCTCAGAAATGCTTCAATAGTTGATTATTGGGGTGTCAGAAATACCAGACTTTGGTAGACAGTTTATTCCGATGCAAAGAATTTCCTGTAGAATTTGCAGTAGGTAGATTAACATTTTTTTTTGCGCTCACGTGTACGGGTCAGTTGTGAAAGATGTGCAGATGAATCCTGCACACCCGCATTATCGGCAGGCGGTAGGCAAGAAGCTTGAAAGACTTTGTTCCTTCGCATACGTTGTCGAGGGCGGTGTGTTTGGATAGGTCGGCAACGAAAGTTCTAGGTGCCGCAGGCCTGGGTGAACACACCCACGCCATTGGTTGTGCCCCAACGATTCATCACTCTTCATTCGCGGCATACTTGTGGAACACGCAGCACTTCGTCTCCAGAGGAGTATTCTTCGTGATCACGTGTGCGTTGGGAACTAGAGATGCCCTATACCGTGTTGAAGGTCAGAGAGCAGTTGGAACTGCAAGCTGACTGTGGGGTACAAATACGTAGAACTTGGTGGTGTAGAAGAGGAATGTCTTCTCCCTCAGAAAGGGACAGGACTACTGAATCAAAGTGAAGAGTATCTGTACACTTGTTACTCTGAAATACTAACCTCTCCCTGCCTTTGAGAAGGAATGTACTTTAACTTGGAACATTGCTCCCACCTTTTTGATGTTGCCTTGTGGATGCATAAGGACTATTCCCTAGGATGTCTAATGACCTCTTAATGAGTCTTGTCAACTCTCAAAATTCCTGCCTTTCGAGAGTGAGATATTTAATTTGCTATCACTTTACCTTCACCAAACAGTCCGTCACCAACTCGGGTGGAAATTGCTCAATCCGGTCCGGTAGAGGTAGCGAGAATGAGCGAATGTGTTGGATCTGCTACGGCTTGGAACGCGAAGATGAGTCCTCTCAATGCTGGATTCATCCTTGTCGATGCTGCGGTTCAAGCAAGTGGGTTCATCAGTCCTGCCTTCAGCGGTGGTTGGACGAAAGGCAACGCCTTGATCCTCTCTCGCCTTTGAGTTGCCGAATGTGCGGCTACAATTATGTTGTCGAATACCCTCCAGCAGGTGGATTTGACATTCCTCCCACCTAATCCCTTTTTTCTAGATCCCCTCCTAACCATTCTGACTGTGGTGGATCAGGCTGTCGACGTGTCGTCGACGTATGTCTTCACCGGCGCAGTTATGGGTTGTTTGTACTGGTCCGCGGTAACTTATGGTGCACTGACTGTGATGCAGGTATGTGGACACGAGGCGGGGCTGACGGCGATGGAGAAGATGGATCCGGTTGTACTGCTGTTGGGCTTACCGGCTATTCCGACCTGTTTGGTTGCCATCCACATGGTGGATTGGCAGAGTTGGCTATTAAGGCTTTGGCGCAGTCATGCCTATAAGCTGGCGATGATTCAGTACCTACTTCCAAAGGGTGAGGCCAGATTTAAGAGAACGGTTTCTTTGTAAAATCACTATTCAGTCTACTTTTTTTCACCCTCTTCCTTTTCCCCTCCCCCTTTGTAGACATCTGCCGTTCGCGATTGGAGGAGGCACGTGATTCTGAAAGCGGCTCCACAATTCCACGCATTCTCTGTACTTCCCTTGCACTCCCCAGTTTTGCCGTCTTCTTTGGACGTATCCTCTTTGGCCGTTTTCAGTCGCGACTTGGCCAGGCTATTGCAGTAAGGCCTTATTTCTAATGCCTTATTGGAGGATAGATAAGACTTCAAAAGCTCTTATGCTGTAAGTCTCTACAGATCCACTTAGCTCTTTGTGCCAATTCGGATAGCGAAACCGGAGTTTCTCCTCTCTCTATGTGGTTTTGATCACCTTCTGAGTAATATCTGAAAGAAAAACGAGGTCTAACAATCTGGAAAAAGGTGTGGGAGACCGTTGGTAGCGTTTCAAGTCATTGTGGTGGATTCCAAACCACGTAAGACGGGAATGATGCGAGCAGTCAAGTATAGGTTTGGATGGATGTAATTTGAGTCTCTTTGATTTACGACGCAGTACAGAAGCGTCTTGAAAAAGGAACAGTGAAAATTGTTCCCCCTGGAAATTTTTTTTGAGGAGATTTGACTTTGTTGATGAATTACTTCAATATGCATCGGATTTGCGAAGCAGCATAAAGTTCTTTCAGTAAAGAAACAATTCGTTCACCCCAACATCAAAATAGGACGTTCTTTTGCGTACCTTGTCATAGGCGGTATTGCAGGTCAAGGCGAACAAACACGCCATTGGTTATGCCCCAAGGCTTCATCATCCTCCCTTCACGGGATACTTATAGGGCACGCAAAACTTGGTCCCTCGGAGACTTTTCTCCGTGGCTCTATGTGTGTATATGCGTGGGAGGCTGAGAGATATTCTGTACCTTACTGAAGGTCAGAGGTCAGTTGAAGGTATGACCTGACCACGGGGTACAAATGCGTATACCTCGGAGGTGTGGAGGAGAAGGGTCCTCTGCCTCGGAAAGAGCCAAGACTGGTGAATCGGTTTGAAGAGAGTCCCTACGCTTGTTACTCTACAAAATCTTATCGGGAGATGCATCACATTAGAGATATTTCTCTATTCTCCGCCTTCTACTTAGACATTAGCCAATGACCTGCGAGGTGGATTGGACGGGTGGGCGACAAAGTCTAGATGAAATCGGGAGGGGGGGAAGAGGGGAGGTGGTTGGGGCAACCTTTTTTTCCTCGACTGACTCCTAAATATTTTGCTAAACCTTCTGTTGTGACGCCACTTTGTCATTTGTTTATGTTGATTGTTTCAACATCCAATAATTTGACTCAGGATTAGCACAAAATAGTACTCAAGTAGCATTTAAGTAGGTATTGCCATGGTTGAAGACAAAATAGATATTTGTATTAATTTGTTTTTGATTGGTAAATTTTTACTCAGAACAGGTGTATGATTGGTTGGAGTGAAAGGACCATCGGCCTGGGAAGTCGTAAATCTCTTCGAGTAGTCAATCCTCCTTGTACGTGAATAGGAGATAATGATTTTGACAAGACTGTCACTTCATTCACCGACTTTCTGACATATAGGAGAGGCTTAGTAAACTATCATGCCCTCTAGCTTTATTTAACTGGGTTGCGTGTCTGCGTGGTCACCTCTGTTGGAGGCACGTACCAATGTGACCTTGTGGCTGTCGAGCTATTTAGGGCTTCTTTCTGGCAACTTTGACAGTCATTGTTAGGTCTTATTGGATTTCGTGGTACTTTCTGCGTTCCTTGTAGACAGCTAGACTTAGGGAGAGATCTTCCAGAAGAGGCGATAATCAACGCATGGGAGATATGGAGGATGGTGAGGGAGAGTAACAAAGTTGGAGTCGAGATCTTGTGTTATTTTAGCTTGTGAGAATGGGAATTTTTGCCTCTCTCTCACCGTCTTCTACACACCTTCGAGTCGATTGAACGTAACCGCGCTTGCAAAGTGGCGGATTGTTTCCGGGTACTTAAACAGAACTTCCGTCCACCCGTTGAATGTTCATAGGAATGACTGCAAAGAACCTCCCCCCTACGTAATTGTCACTGGGGAAGTACAATCGGCTTTGAAGGGTAGAAACTATCCAAGGGACTTTTTTTAAGTCGACTGTGCTCCAAGTCTTGTCCACACAAATGTGCTATTAGTGGGTTCGCGATTGACACCTTCCGCTGTTGCCTGTCACCTTAGCTAAAAGCGTTTGACTTGGGCAGGACTGGAATGGTTAGAATTATTTGCACCGGTTCTTACTACTGCGCGTAGTTGTGGTCAAATTGCAAGTCCTAGTTTTACCTGAGTGCCCCTATAATGCCCCTTTTCTCAATCTTTCGTTTTCTAGGGCGGATTGTTCTACTTGGGGTTCACAGGTCTTCTACACATCTATCAACGCGAGATGACATTCCTGCGCAACTGTCGACGACACATTGTTGAGTATGACGGAGAGTAGAGAGTGCGAATCCATTGACTCTCTTGAATAGGACTATTTTTTACTTAAACATTTTTGTGCTACCTCCACCCGGACACCTTTCCTTTTTTGCCTTCTTATACAGGAGAAAAATTACTCTCAACTTTTTACCTTTTACTTAATGAAAATTAAGTAGCTGGTTTGGTTTGATTTGCTTTACCTGCGTTATAGGTGTTTTGCCGGTGTTTGTGTTGTCTCTGCTAGTGTCGGTCTTGTCGTTTCTCGTAGGCGGAGGTCGATGGGTGTTTGGTGTTGTGAATCTAGTCGTCAATGCCCTCAAGGCCTTTCCATGTGGGGCAGCTGGGACATGGTGCGGTGTGTGATTCAAAGCAGCGTCTCGCTCAAGTACGCCAATTGATCGCCCGGTCCTGATCTTGGCGGCCACCTCTGGTGCTGTGGGGATGAGGATCTTTCAGGAAGAGATTAGGAGGTGTGGCATGATAGCTAGTTACGTGTTCGGGATTTGTCTGCTTTGCAAGAGATAAGACCTTCTTTGTGGAGGCCGGAAAGCCATGTTTACACCGTGTTGGTGACACTCGGGAAGGCTACAACCTCGGGGGACCGATGGTATTTCATTAACCGAGTTTGATAAGAGCCACTACTTTTGCAAGTGAAGCAATTGAACAGACGACTTCCAAGTTTCATTTGTTAATTAGTTTATTCGTTCATTTGTTTTCCAAAATTTTCTTCCCAACTCTCTAGCTATCTTTACAAATAACTGTACGGGCCATGGGTCAACGCGGATCAATGATCATCTAGGTCTACCTCTGACTGGTTTGCTATTGGCCAATCAACTTTGTCCACACTTTGGCACCTTTTTAATTGGTCAAACAGCTGCGGTAACATACTTAATTGACAATTAATTTATTTTATTCAAATTTTGCCAGAATACGCCACTTTCGCCAGTTCTTAAATTTTTGCAGTTATCTGCTCATCTCTATTGAGGGGGTGAGTCTTTTTATAACGGAATTTTGCAAGATAAATGACGCCCACTTCTTTCTATAGATTCAATACCCACATAGCCATAGTCACGTCGACAGAAGTCACAGGTGTCAGGAACAAAAAGGTATACTAAATTAAGCTGCACAAAAAATGCGTACTTCAAAATTAGTTATTTTCATTTAGTTGCATTCCAACCTTTGGGGGTAGGCAACTTGACGATGGTAGGACGCATTCCAAAGTATCGATCCGTAGAGTCTGACATTTGGTTTAGTTCAAATGGCATTGCCAAAATTCCCCCTTGGTTATATGGAATTGTGAAAGTCAGGAGAAGGCATAAAAAGGAATGTGTATGAGTGGATTTTGTGACCTTTTTCTTCACCGTAGATAAAAGTTATGACCAATTTTAGGGTATCCTCTATCCTGCATCCTTTGCCATCTAGAAAAGTAATCTCACAGGTTGAACTATTCACCCAGAATCTCCTTTTTTATTCTAATCTGCACGGCAATTGCTCATTAAAATTCAAAATTCTCATAGGTCAGTCAAATTATGTTTTGATTCGATGCCAATAGGTTCAACCCCTATTGAAGTCACCACATTCATCCTCCAATCACTTTCTACCCTACCTGGTCTAGGTCCCAGAAGGACCTGTCACAAATGGAGGTGTCATTGAAGGGTGTCTTTTTGACCACAATCGATGTTACAAACAATGCTTGGTGCCCCGACATCTCATTTGTGCCTGGAGTTCCCCAGCCTGCTTGAACGTTACTGAAATACCTACCAACAAGTAGTATATTCCATCACCGTTTAAAGGACAGTTCAAATCGTCGCGGTGTATTTACAGTTCCTTGAAAGTGCCATGACATTTGAATATTAGTACAACCACTCCAAGGGGTGTAAATAGTTGAAAGTCAGAGAGGGAATTTTCAGTTGGTAAAAAGGTGTGTACTTTACTGAGGACATTCCAGCCTGCTAACCGGATGTTCCCTTAACGTCCCAAAGGCCATTGACAAGAGGCATGAGCCCCTCCTCCACTCGGTCATGAGGTTACCTAGAGCGAATTAATTTTCCTCTAACTGGTTGTGTTAAATAGGTAAAACTGACTTTGTAAAGGAGACCATCCTCAGAGAGGAATTTGTTCTCCCAGCCGAGGCACTATTTGATTAGTTACATAAAACCTAAATGGATTATTTTTCTCAGAGAAATTGTCGTTCCTAATCACAAGACTTAGAGGAACCAGCAAACAGAGGTAGGTAAACAACGTGCGTCACATATTTGTGACGCGCGAAGGAAATGCTTCCAAACAAATGGAAATGTAATGAAATTCAGTCACGTCGCTATTTTGCGCTTCCAATGTCCTCGCCTAGCCTTTTTAATGATCGGTACAGAGGTTTTCGTGGGTATGCACGCAATTAGTGACAACTGCCACGGTGGCAAGAGGAGAAGAGGGAGGGCGAGGGGAGGTGGCCCTATTTTTTGTCTAAATCGACCATACCACAGGGCAATTAGAATCGAGGTAACTCCACCTGGTGGACTTTAAGAACCAGGGTAGATGAGAACAGCACTACAGCGGTTGTATCTCGTTGGCAAGGGCATTGTAAATCCAGGGGATTTCTTCCATAGCAATCGAGTTACTTTACTGACAAAGGCATTCACCATCTCCTCATCTACAGGCGGAGGTGAGCTTACCTCTGTGATGTGATGGCTAAGAAAGAGAGAGTAATGTACTTTTATGACTTGTCACGACGTCAGTGAAGTTCCGAAATTAGTTATCCCATGAAATAAATGTCGAATTTCCGGACCTTTTATGCATTTCCCTTTCCGATTTGGTCAGAAGTACTTTAATACGGAGGGCTCCACACCTCCTCCATTATTTCCTGTCCCTTTCGCTAAAGATATTGCATCATTTTCCGCTCCAAATAGCACTGTTGATAGCACTTGCTCAGTAGTAAAGCCGGCTTTTAAGGCTTCAGGAAACTGTTTCACACTTACCTTCTGATGCCTTTTTTCAAATGTGTTTTCCCTCCCCACTTGAAAGTAATGGAGAGAAATAATGGACCATGGTAGATTCCACCGGGATATCTTGAAGCAAAAATTGTAAAAAAGTTGGACATTTCCTTCCTGTTAACCTTCAGACTCGTTTGTATACCTCCAATTTGGAGCGAGAGACAACGGTAAGGAGAAAGGGGGGAGAGTTGAAGTCGAAAATTATTCCACAAATTCCCACCCTCCGAATGACCTGATGTGCTGCCATCCATGGTCCAGAGCGTCTCCATAGCCCGCCTTAAAGGACTGCCGGCATGCTCCATTCATACAATCAGTCCGGATGGGTGCGTCTGCGATTAGCACCACGCATTTGCCTGGAGAGAAATGGGTCAGTATCGATACGGTAAGTCGAGAGCACCTCATGAAAGGGGTTCCAGCCTGTCCACTTTAAAGTGTGGGGTGCAGGAGACTCTCATCAGGTCCGAGGAATCCTGAGTGTTCAAGTCAAGAGACCTAGGCGCACTCAATCGTAGAGAGCGACTTGTTGGTCCCCAATTGAAAGAGTCTGGCGATCGTCTCTACTGTCCGATTGGGGGTTTTCTGTGCATAGAAGGTGGATGGAAAACCAACACGAGGGAAACAATTCTACTGTGATGGGAAGTAAAAAATGAAACAGTTGTCACCTTCTATTGTCAGTTGATACCGCTGTCAGTTGTTCCGCATACACGTTCAAACCTAGGACAGTTAAAAGAGTGACAGAATTGACAATGACTCTTGCTTCTAGGTCATTGTTGGACCATCTTATTCACTCCTTACAAAAGTGGAGGAGGAGGCAATAATCAGGGAACTCAAGAAGGTGTGTGGCTGGTATGGCTTCCAGATCACGCCACTCACAGCTGAACCTATTGTCTAGATCGAGGTTAAATGACTTGTTGAATTACGGGCGGATGGAGGGACGGACACGCATATAGAAGTAGACAGGTAGATATCACATGCACAAAAAAAAACCAACAAAATGTTGTGAAGATGAAGCGCTGGATGTCTGGGCCGTGTGTGGGAATAACACCGAAAGGTGAAGAGAGGAGCCAACGGAATCACATGATTTGACACCATTTCTGGTCAGTCGGTGTTGTCCTATCACCCTCACATGCACTACAACCAGTGAAGCGAGAATCGCCCAGTGCTTATAGGTTTGGTAAACCCCAAAAAGTAAATTGGCGTCACGGAACTCGTCAAAGTATGACTAATTCATTAACCGAATCAACATCTGCGTTCAGGCTAAATGCGGGCACAGGGTGATGGTCACAACTTAGGTGACCCAGCTTGTTAAGGGCACTGCCTAATCTTCCCAACGCGAATAATGAACACTGACACGTTGGTGTGACCTCACCCATCTGCAGAAGAGAGTAGGGAGCGGTATAAAATTGCATTTGGCACTAATTTTCTAGGGACTTTTAATTTATTCTAATCCATACTAAAAGTCTGTTTTTATTTCAAAAATTGCTAGATTTATGCACGGATACCATCCTGAAAAAGGGTGATGAAACACCTTTATGCAAAAAAAACTAGCTTGTCACACGTTGAATTTCTCATTTTATTTTTTTCCAAAGTACGGGAGCGTACCATTGTCAATTTAAACAAAACAATATAACATTTTAATTTGCATTCGTTTTTATGTTTTCGCGGGTTTTTTATGCTTCATTCTTTTAGAAGACTTTTCCCTCTCATTTGAGCCTTTGTATAGTGAATGTTCGACTTAAAATGTTGCATTCAACCCGTACGTATATCTTTCAACAAGGTGATCGTATCCTTCCTTTTTTCTATGTAGCTTGCCGGGCAGGTGCGCCAGCGAAAGGTCTGCTGACCAGAAATAGTGCAAAAACACGTGCTTATGCTATAGAATAGCACAATGATTGATGCATTACAGTTTGCAGGAGCTGTGCCACATCCACCCTTCGACATGGCGGTTACTCACTTGTCTCTCTTTGTGAAGCAACCTGGTGTTACGCGTCATGTGCAGCACGAATAGATGACATTGTTTAATAGGCGATGTATTTGTTCTGCGGATTTTCCGTGAACAAGTTGAAATGACGCCGAGCTTTTACGATTATAAACTGACGAGCTGCCTAAACGACTGTTTGACTGACGGACCGACAGACGGATGTTGTTGGGATGCCAATTGACTTTATGTTTTCTTGCTCCACCTTTCAGCGTTATTACCACAATTCCGGGACACCCACCACTCTATTCGTACAAGTCGGTGCCTGTCATATGCGTACGTGTGTCCGCCTATCCATCCATCCATCTATTTGCTTGTACCTGTCCGTGTGAGAGGGGGGAGGGGGAATGTGGAGAGTGAAATTAATGAGGAACGGTCCACCCGCTGAAGAACAGAGAAATCACTTTTGAGATCTACCTCCCCAATTTAAAGCAATAAAGCAGTAGGGTGTAGAAGATGACCTACTTCTTGACAAACACCCAAATCCATCCAGTCGTGCCAATTTGGGTGTTAATAGACTCGATATTGCGTTATATTGAGAAAAAATTACCTCCCTCCCATTCCCTTCCCTCCCCACCCTTCCTTCCTCCTTACCAGTTGATGTGTCTCTACGTTATGATCGTGACCTAGTCTTGGTGTCAAATAACCCTGTTACTTAGCCACTTGGAGGAAAATTGGTTTTCCTGACCTCTGAAGGCAAAAATCCTCTCACCTAGGAGCGGAACTGGGTGTTGAATTGTGCCTCGAAGAGAAAATTCTTGTAGGCTTTTAAATAGTTGCTTTAATTCATAAATTTTTCACGAAACTTTTTAACAATGTCACATATATGTGACACGTGTTTTATCAATAGTTATGTCTGTGATTCTGCATTAACCATTAGGATCCTTCTGGGATAGGGGGAGAAAAACTGAATCACTTCAAACATAAAATTGAATGACGCTGTTTCTCTACCCGTCAACTTAGCCGCGTGGTGTCTTTAATCCCTTCAATCCCGGTTCCATAGTTTTTGACTCGGATATTTGAGTCACTGTAGCGTCTTCTAGTCCTTCTTCAACCTGGGTGATGACGACTAAATCTACCTCGGCTGTAAGGATAGTATAGGCTTGTCCCCTCTGTGGATAACTTTGGCAAGATCTGGGGGATTTTCTTCGTCTAATCTTGCGCATTTACAAGCAAATTTGCCGCTTTACGGTCAAGGGGGTAAGCATGAGTGTGACCGCAATCGTTATTAGTAAAAGATAACAAAATTACGCGTTGAAATAGGCGAGGAGGGAGGTAATTACGCGCCTTCCGTCCCGCGTTGGTGGCGTAGGGTCTTCGGTTTGCCGTGGGATCAATAGCCCTCATCCTCCTTTCCCCTCTCTCTTGCCCAGCCTTATCCCACATACACGCACACCATTGAATAAATTTAGCTTTGCTGCGACATCACTATCACTGTCAAAAGGCCTCCATCTTGACAAACCCTCAGGCAGTAAAGTTTATAACTGTTTGTAACATTCTAGGCCATCGTTTGGTTAAGCAAGTTGACGCCAGGTTGGAGACCTTGGATCACAAACAATCTGCTCACGATGTCAACTAGAGTGGCCTATCATCAGTGATTGACAGGTCCGATGATCATGTCAGTGTGTCACTCACATCTTGGACAAAAATTTTCATCGCTCACAAATTTAGTGCGGAGATCCTAAATTTTCTTCATTAAGTGATTCTCTTATCAAAAAATGGTTCAGTGTCATTTCTGTACGCATCAAACTCTAACGATTATCCGTTTTCCAATCGATATGTGCTTGGACGGCGGCCAAACAGATTGGAACAACTAATTCATAATGAGTAATCAATAATCGACTTCTACTCTGTGACCGACAGACATTGATGTGACGGAAAACGATGGAGAAATGAAGTTGTTTTGAAAGTATGGAAAACAAAGTTCCATTTTGCGTGGAGGGCGTGACGACGGTCATTGATCCATCCACGCACGAAGTTTTGTGCGTGTGTGTGTGTGTCCGTACACAGCTATCAACATCACCCAATCGTCAAATGACGGAAACACACCAGCAACTGCAGCAAAATGCCCCAATCCATTGCCTCCTGACCAAGGTGAACACGCACGTTAGCACGCACCTACACACAGCAGCAGCACGCTCGGATCGATGTGGGGCAAGTGGAGGCGGGAGGAGGGAAGAGGGCGAGAGAGAGAGGGAGGCTGGGCGGAAAGACTGCAGATAGCCGGACAGACAGAAGTTCGCCCAAAAGCCCTGTCATACGTGCTGCGGCGAGAGAGGAACTACTCCTCACACACACTAACTCATCCGCTCGCTCTCTCTTATTCAACCTTGATTGTAAAAGCCTGCCTTTTTAATTTCTCTACCGAATATATACATTTATATATTCGTGGATATTGTTCACCTTTTCTCTCTCCCACCTTTCTATCGAAAAATAATCGACTGAGGAGTTGTACAACAGTGGATTAGGGCAATTCTTGCTCACGAGAATAAGCGGAAATAAGGTTGCTCCAAGTTCAACAAGCGTCTAGGAATATTCACTTTGTAAGTTCATTTCATGCAGACATTTTTTTGAAGGAGTATTCTATCGACTGATGACGTTATTTAAATGTATCACAAAATTTGATTCGCTGAAAATAGGCGATTTAAGTCTGTACACGGCAGGTAGGAATTAAGCAGAAAGAAGTATCATGAGCATTTTATATCTAATTTGAAGCAAAACGAACCTTATCTTGAGAAGACGGAATAGCTCAAAGAGGCCTATTTAACGCCATTTAAACCAAACGAGAAGCACAAGGGATTGCGAAAAATATCAGATCTCCAAGTAAAGCGCAAAAAATAGCCGAACAATCACAATCCTTTGCCAGTGAGTGCTTTTTAAAAAACCCGGGTAAACTAGACAACCCAATGGGATATTGGCTTTGAAGGTCATTTAGGGCGATTAAGTGGAAAAACAAGTGTGCGGGCCATGTGGTTTATTTTATGTTATACTCTACCCAAATATTTTAACAAAGAAGGCTAAAGTATTTTTCGTAAAAAGTGTCTTGGCCTAATTGGTAGGAGATATTTGATTACACTTAATAAATCGGGATTGTGAAACCACAGCATTTTTAAAACAAATAGCCTTTTTAGGCGTTAAAAGTACTTTAAAACCTAATGTGCTTTCCTGATTTAGTTACACAATTTGGGCTTCGCGTTTTTTTGCATCTAAAAAGCACTGGTCAAATGAACATTTTTCTCAAAAGTCTCCAAGTGTCAGCAAATTCCATGGTTCATAAAACATGCCATTTTGTTTGGTATTCCGAACCCTGGAAAGGCACTATTGCCTATTTATCACCATTTAATGCAGATATTTTACTCTTCAAATTTGTCAAATATTCCTTTACTTGTTAAAAGCACCGCTTGGGAGGACTTCGTAAATTAATAAATGGGATTGTGTTTCGAAATGAAGCCCTTTTTATTAGTAAATTTTGCAAAAGTACAAAAATGGAGTTCTTGAATCAAAACCATTGTCTGTGCTTCCCATTTTTGACTTTTCCAAGTTTTGTGGAATTATTTTTACGGAATGAAAAGAGATTAGGAGAAGTGGGTAAATCCAGCAAAATGTGTCGAAAACAGAAACAATAATTTTTTTAAAGGTCTAGAATTGACGCTTGCTCAACAATCCAGCCGTAGCTATGGCAACGCTGGAACCGTTTTGTCCTCTTGACCAAAGTTACGCCACCTTGGCAGTACTGTTTGTTGTCAGGATGTCAAATATGAACCCCCTAGAATTCTTCCAGAAAATTGGGAGGAAAGATAGCGTACCTTTAAAAAAAACCTTAAAGAGTTATCCTAATCAGTTTCTTTGGCAAAAATTTCACCAAAATGTCAAATTGATGCCTACTGCTTCGGCAGATGGTCTGTCAGGCAAAATGAAGGGAGTCAACATCTCAGACAAATTGCCCTCTCTCCTCGGTGGACAAGAAATCTGTCTAGGTTAACCCTCAGGAAGCGGTTCAATCTTCTCCCTTCCTCTCCCTTTTTTTCTCAAAAAGAAGGATAAAAACAAGTTTATTGCCATTTCAAGACCTAAGTGGTAAAGGAGCCATTTTCAAATCCAAAATGGGGCCAACATAATTTTATTCTTGCCCAGGGGAGGTGTGAACAAGTAGAGGAGGAAGAAAGTGTATTCCAATCTTGCTTTACCCTCTTTTCCCTTTAAAGTAACTCAGGAGAGAGGCGAGAAGATGTACGCTGAAGCGAATCCGGCGGGTGCCTACTTTGAGGGTTACGACGATCCCGGGGACGGGTATGTGGATGAGGAGGAGGAGGGCGAGATCCCATTGGCTGAACGCGAGTTGGCTGAAGATGCCGAGTGGAAGTTGATTCAAAAGAACACCTTCACTAGATGGGCCAATGAACACTTGAAGAATAAAGGCGCCTCGGTAGACGACATTCAATATGATTTTGCCGACGGTTTAAGATTGATTGACCTGATTGAATCGCTGTCGGGTCAGAAGTTTCGTCATGTCAATCGAAAACCGGGTTTTCGTACCCAAAAGCTGGAGAATGTAACCATGGTGTTGAGATTTTTGGAGGAGCAGGAGGGCCTACGACTGGTTAATATAGGTGAGTCAGTCTCCTATCCCCTCACAGAGGTCACCTTCACCATCCAGATAGTACCGATATTGTCGACTGCCGATTGAAGCTCATCCTCGGGTTGGTTTGGACCCTCATTCTTCACTACTCCATCACGCTGCCATTGTGGGAGGGTGAGGATTACAATCAGGTAGGTCCTTACTGGGTAGAAACCAAAAAGACCGCTCTAAGATTATATTTATTCTTTTGTCCTTTCCCCTCCCCACCCCTTCGCCAATAGGGAAGTTCTGGACCCACTCCCAAACAGCGACTACTCGCATGGCTTAACTCCAAGCTGGTGGAGCGTCCGGTGAAGAACTTTACCACTGACTGGAACGACGGTACCGCGATCGGTGCACTGGTTGATGCCTGTGCTCCGGGTCTGTGTCCCGATTGGAGGGATTGGGAGCCAAAACAGAAGTTGCGCAACGCCACCGAGGCTATGAATGCTGCTGAACAGTGGTTGGATGTACCCCAACTTATCAGACCCGAGGAGATGATTAACCCCCGGGTGGATGAAAAAGCCATGATGACGTATTTGAGCCAATTTCCCAGCGCCAAGCTGAAGGACGGGGCTCCACTACGACCACGTGCCAATCCAGCCAATGTGAGAGCTTATGGACCAGGTAACTTCATCCAGAGGCATGACAACTTCTTTTTCATGTAAAATCAACCCCTATTTATTGAAAATGAAGGGAATTTCAAAATACTTTTAAATGCCACAAGATTGATGATAATCTAAGGGGTCGTTGCTGATTGGTCAGAATTTGGGCAAGTTTAACGGATGCCCTAAGCGATATTTTTCTGCTACAAATTTATCTCCCTTAACATAATTTTACCCAACAGCAATAAAATCACCTCCTTGGAGGTTTAAAGGTTAGCCATTAATACCGATCAGTACGCCTCAGTCCCAGTTTGACGTAAACAACCGTGACAACTGTCAGGGTAAAACCGCATGTTTCATTGACCCACTTCTCCTATTTTTCTGCCTCCCCATTCCCCTCCCTTCTCACATATCCCACCACACTTACGCAAGCAGCGCCATCTACCAATTGTTTGTTCCGCCTCACCACCGGAAGTGTGCGTGAGCTCCAAGTTTTGCCTGGGTTACACCCAACACCCTTGGGTCCAATCATAGCCGTCGGCAGCCAGTTGAGCATGAAAGCTCACATCTTGCCTCGGATTGGCACGAAGCAACACCAGTTACCGAGAGAGAGCGAGAGAGAGAAGGACGGAGTGGCATTGTGAAGTCCTCGTTGCCAGCCTGCATGGAAATAGGGTTTCAGTATCTCATCGAGGTCAGCGTCAATCACGCAGTCTTGGCTGAAACTGCACGCCAATTTTGTCATCAGCGGTGGCCTCGACGCAAGGAAGAGAGCAAACGTCACAACAGTGTGGAATTTCGTGGTCTAGCGGTGTGTGCCTGTTTCTCGCGGCAGCGTTTTGCTTGCCTCCTCTTCCTCCTTGGTCCTCGGTCACCGGCACCAAGGACGCAGTTTAAAGCGTTTGCGGATAAAGACGCTGACATTGATTGGCAGTTGCCTGAGAACCATCTTAGTGACAGTAAAGATATCCATTCACTCCACCAATAATCGCCTTCTTTTAGGCCTTGAACCTCGTGGAAACAAGGTGGGCATGCCGGCGCGATTTACTATTGACGCTTCCTCGGCTGGAAAGGGTTCTGTCGAGGTGATTGTTCTCAACCCAAAAGGTCAACGGGAACCGGTAAGCGAAAGAAAGAACCAGAAAATCTTTCCACTTCTTTCTTCATTTTTTCTTCCTTTTTATTACCTTCTTCAGTGCGATATCGTTCCGAATATGGACAGACCGAACACATACTCCTGCGCCTATGTTCCGACCCAGGCGGGGGAGTACAGGGTCATCATCAAATTCGCCACCAAGGAGATCATGAATTCACCCTTCAAGGTTATGGTTGAGGGTGCCGCGGATCCAAGTAAAGCCTCCGCTTCTGGACCTGGCATTGAACCACAGGGCAATCAAGTGGGACGTAGAACCTTCTTCAACATCTTTACCACCGGTGGGTTGAGAAGTTGCTTCGCCTTTATGAACTCCATCTCCGGTAACTATTAAAGTCGACCTGGCTCATTTTAGTTGAGGTAGAAAACGAGGGTAAGTTGACTGTTGTCAAGCTTCACCTATCAGCGTTGCACTTCTAGATATTCCAACACGAGTAAGAGGGCGGAAAATGTCTGACCCGTAGACCGCACTTCCCCAGCCCCCCTCATCGTTCAGCTGTAGTGTGAATGCTGCCAATTCTTCCCCTCCTAGGTGCCGGAGAAGGCATCGCCGATTGTGTTATTTTGGATCCGCAGGGACGACAAGATGTCATCAAGCCCAACATCACCCGTCAAAGTGAGGATAATTACCTAGTGGAGTATACACCCAAGATGGAAGGTCTACACTCGGTGAATGTCTTCTTCGCCGGTCAACAGATTCCCAACTCACCTTTCGGTGTGATGGTCGGACCCCGTGAGTGATTTATGCCAGAGAAGAAAATTGGCCAGTGTTCACCTCAATCTGGTACTTATCACCCCCCGCACCCCCTTCCCCCCGACTGCTCATTTGTCTTATCAGGTATTCAAGGTAAGCCGGTAGACCGCACCTCCCGCGTGTTCCCTTTACAGCAAGCATGTGATTAGTTGAAGCGGAATTCAGTAGTATATCGGTTTTTTTGCAGAGGCAGTAGCTTCACAAAGGAAGCCTTCTTTACCGCATCATGCAACTATGCAAGGTTGGTTGGGACAGCGTTTTTCCCGCTCCGAGCTTGCGTTACGCCTTTTTTCGTGCTTCTTCCAACTTTTCTTTCATATGTCCGTCTGTCTATCATTGGGGAAATTTCGTCTTCTCTTGACATTTTTTCGAAAACTATAGTAATCAGTAGCAGTAAAAACTCAACTGACATTTGACAGTGGGTGTCAGCTGGTCCCCAGTCCATGTAAACCTCCCACTCCTCGGTTGTGCCCAGCACAGGCCTTCACTCCTCCTTGACACCCGTCTCCAACATCTAGAAGACGGACTCAGGTTCTATGCCACTACTGTGATAGACAACTACTTTTCGACGAGTTCAGGCGATACTACTGTATTCAGTGTTCAGTAGATGCACGTTTTTTTGGTGAAACAGTGATCTCATCTTGCCTTCATTTTTTTGGGGCAGAAGCAAGCCGGCCTCAACAACCACAGGCAAAAGAGGTGGTAAAGGGTTCGTTCACTGCTTCCGCTTTAGTTCCCCCCACCTTCTCTCCACTCTGAAGGGTGGAGAGGAGGTGACTAAGCACTCAATAAGCCGCCTAACATTTGCCTTATTCCGCTAGACCTTAAGAGCCTCTTTGGTTGTAAGCATCCCCAGGAGAGGAGTGTCGAATATCCACAAGGTTTGTGTCAAAAAACAAAATGAGTAAAAACGAGTAACACATTTATCATTTCTTTATTTTATTTCTGGCATGCATCCCTTCATGGTGAAATGCTAAAAGAACTTGTGGAAAGCCTTTGAGTTAATTGTCTCCTATCTCGTATTTATATCGTTGCCTCTGGGTATCGACGTGGATCCGCTTACAGACGTGCTGCTTTGATGACTGTCTGGCGCATGATCGGTTGGGTTTGTTTGGTTAATTCGTGAAATCCTCTAGAGTAGCCAATCGGGCTCTCGATTCCAAGGTCAAGTGGAACCGTTCTAGCACCCCCATATCAGCCTTACTTACCCACAAAGTAAAAAAAAGTTATATTTAACCAAGATAAGTCGATGTGTTTAAAGTACATCCAATAGCCAATCAGAATAATCGTTTCAAGGTCACGCGAAGCTGTTCCTTGGGATTCCCGTTATCACCGCAAATCGACCCAAAACCACGGGTTGTGCTATTCTCTCCCCTTCATAATGAGTCATTTCCCCTAATTGTTCATTTTCCTCTTCTCTTGTTTATTCGAGGCGCGTTTTATTCCTCAGTGATTTCCCGTATAATTTATTGAGTAAAACAGTCCAGGGTCCTCCAGGGTAAGTTTACGGACAAATATACGGATAAATTTTTTCTTGACAAAAAAAGAGGAAATACAATGAGTAGCGTCTTTTTGACGGATATCACTGATGTTACTTGCATGTTGGCGGTCTTCAGAAAGTCAATCAAAACAGCAAGAAAAAGAAATAATTGCTCGACTAAACTACTTACAGGCAATTTTTTATCGAAGGTCCAGTTGATGTTGCTGGCGCAAAGCCACTGAACGCTACACAGACGCCAATTTTGGCATCAGGTTTGTTTTTTTTTTTACTCCGCATCTTCATTTCCACCCTTTCTTTTGCTCTCTGCTGGCTTACCATCTGGTCTTTTTCACAAGCCAAAGTGCAGAGAGTCATTTCATTTTGCTTTGCTCGGTCTTGAGTAAATTCATTGAGGATTGGACTCATGCGCGCGTATTTTTTGCTGGATGGTAATTTATTTTATTCTCGTTGTGGAAAAAACATAAGTAAAATGCAAACAAAATTTGATATCACTTCTTGCTTAATTTGGCTGCTTCGCTGGCTCTGCACTCTCCTGCTGCCTATGTGTCGAGAATGTGAGGTTGTTATCGCCCTGAGAATTTCACTTTCAGAGCCACCAATTAGTTCAGTCAAGCGTCCGGACAATCAAATAGCGCCACCATGGCAGCCAGGTTCGTTCATCGCTCTGTCCGCAGCCTTCATTGTTGAGCATGGATACAACAAGAAATCTGTTCTTTTCCTTTTTGTTATAAGTTTGCACTTTTCTGTGCTGGATGCATGATCTCCCTCTCCTCTTCTGTGGCCAATCAAGTGGTGTCCTTGGTAGATGACCAATGCTGTTCAGCCATCATGAGAAATGATTTTTCTCTGTTTATCTGCTGGCTATTTACGAAATGTCGAATAAATATCTTACTTTTTGTCAATTTTTAAAGCCAACTTTGGTTTTTATTTTTAGCCTGTGACGCAAAACAAGCCTATGCTACAGGTCGTGGCATCCAACCACATGGAGTTAGGGTGCGTGATCTCGCTGATTTCAAGGTCCACACCGAAGATGCTGGTGAAGGAGTTGTTGAAGCTACGGTTGTTGGGCCTAGTAAGTTGTGAGGTCCCTGAAAGGCTCCAGTTACCGTAAATTCTTGTCTTTGCACTACCCGATTTTTGCCTTTCTTTGTCTCTGAAGAGTCAAATCATTTTTAAAAACTGTTAGGTGAGTGACATTGACACAAAAGGCGTGCATAGCAGCAATGCTCGGTAGAATTGAGTTACTTTCGCTGCTTCTTTGTTCAACAATAGACGGTCGTGAGGAGAAGTGCCAACAGCGAAAGATCGGACCGTACACCTACGAATGCGTCTACACCCCACAACAGGCTGGGCCTCACACTGTCAATGTTCGCTACGGAGGTGATCACATCATGCTGAGTCCCTTCAAGGTCAGCTCACAACGTTAACTCTTCTGCTGCATCCTGATTGGTTCCTTGCCAAACATAATCTTTCTTTTGATTGGTAAATATCTCCTGCTCTGATTGGGTCATTATTTCTATTTGCTGACAAAGGAGCCGTATTTGATACTTTCTTTTGTCCAATTTTTCTTATTTAGCCCTTCTTTTTTAGCATATTTACTCAGATTAAATTTACAAACCAGTGTGATAAAAGTGAATTTTCCCTTTTCTAATTTATCCACAAGGCAATAATGCATTTTCCTTTTCTCCCAATTTCAGGTGGATGTCGGACCCTACAAGGAGACCCGAATTCGTGCCTTTGGTCCTGGTCTTGTCAGTGGTATTGTAAACAAGCCGGCTGTCTTTGTGGTCGAGACCAATGGGGAGACGGGCGCTTTGGGTGAGTTCCTTTCCCTAGTAATGACACCTGACAGCGCCACTGACTGTACTACTCAATTCGTCTCTTTGCCTACACAGGTTTCTCAATTGAGGGCCCAAGTGAGGCTCGAATCGACTGCGCGGACAATGGAGATGGCTCTGCAACGGTGGTCTACTGGCCGACCGTACCGGGTGAATATGCCGTCCATATTCTCTGCAACGATGAGAACATTCCCAAATCGCCGTACATGGTGCCGATTTCAGCCGACACTGGGAAATGCGATCCAAATGCTGTAAGTTGTGGCTCCACTCGTGTTGCATACAGCGACGTGGCTTTAGGAATGAGCCCTCCCGGAAACCGCCACCAGACGAGAGATAGAAGAGCACCCCGTAGGTTTGACCGAATTTCTGAATATCGGGTACCCTGTAAGACGGGCTGTATTGTCATTTATTGAAGGGAACCCCGGCCTTGCCTTCCCCAAAGTGAGCTGGGTTTCGTTGATATTTGACTTCTCGCCTTCAACATTTGTTTAATGAAGGTGGAAACCCTGGGATTTGATGACAAGAACACCGTTTTGTAGACCTAATAATTCATATTTGAAGAATGGAAGCTGGACTCCTCTGTCAGTCTATCTCTGTCGAAGTAGCGCTTCCAAAACACTTCTGAATCAAGTAGAGGTCGTACTAATGTTAGAAAAATGTCCCCTCGGCTTTTGGCTACGGAAGGGCCTTCCTTCGTCAGAATTTACACCATTTAGAGGTAGGCAAATATTTATGGCCATGTAAGTAAGGTGGAAGGGTTTGCCCTCTCTCAGAGATTCAGCGACAGATGGAGGTCAATAGACCCTCGGAGAACTAGGGCGCCTAGCCATGAATCACCTCTCAGCCGGTTGCTAAGGCTTGTGGGTCACATGCCTTAAATTTGACCCTTTCCGATGCACCTGTGTTCAATTTTTGAGACAATTTTGGTCTCCTTTCAAAAAATGTCATACTTGTCGAGATAAACTGGTGAACAGGGAATTTTAGGGAAGGTAACCGGAGGGGATGATTCCCAAAAGTCCCAGCTTGAACTGAACACATCAGGTTTAGCAAAGTGAGAATATTTTCTCTGTTCAGATTTTTTTTGAGTAACTTATCTCGCATTTTATAGGACCCGGGACATTTATAGTGGGAGGAAATGGTGCTTCCTCCTTACCAGATAGGACTGTTATCTGTAGTTCTTTTTGCTATGTCATTATTAGCCAATCAGAGGCGAGTGCGGTTGCGTATGCAAGTAGAAATGTACGGAAAAAATTAGCTTTTTTCAGATGACTAATCAGCGCTTTTCCGGTACACTACCGTCGTGATTTCTGGACTAGCCTGAAAAAGTACCAGATGGGGATAAAGTAGCGGGGAAATTTCCTCTCTCTAGCTCTCTCCACGAGTGTGTGCGCGCAATTAGCTTCTAAATTAATCGCAATAATTCATGTAAACAATTGAAGCAAAACTTTCGGCTCAAAACAGGATGTTTTTATGCTGGCAGGGGCGTAAACTGGCACGTTAAATAAACCATCATTTAGCCAAAGGAATTCAAAATGCGCCCTGCTTTAATTGACGGAGGGAAATCCATTTTGGCTTATTAAATCCCATAATTTTTTTCCAAACTTACTTTTATTTGCGGACTTTCTAAAAGAAATTTAAAATGCTATTTTGAGCTAGAAATATTGGCGTTTACACGGCAAATTGATAGGTCTCGATCCCGAAAGCTGATTGGCTTTCAGCACGTCTAACCAATCAGCTTCCCTCCTGCTGTTTTATTGCTTTTTATGGTAAATATTTATTGAATGCATTCGTGCTGATGGCAAAACCTGCTTCATCACGGTGATTGTCAATTACTATGTAGCTAGCGATCTGACTTGTTATCGTTTCTCCATCACTTGTCGTCCCCAGCCGGAATGTGTTTCCTAACAACTTGATTGGTGTCATAGTTCCTATCTCTTTTTCATCAATTTAAGCAAATTTTCTTACTTATATCTTCAAGGTGAAATGCTACGGTCCTGGTCTCTCACCCGGAGTCGTAGCCGGCATCCCCACAGAGTTCACCATTGATGCGCGTGATGCGGGTGGACCGGCACCATTTGGTTGTGAGTTGCGGGACGAGACTGGTGAACCAGTCCCGATTCGAGTGCGTGACAATGGCGACCTTACCGCCACCTGCACTTACACCGCTAAGCGACCCAAGAAACACACCGTCATACCGACCTACAACGGTGTTGCTGTACCACGTGCGCCTTTCAGGGTAATGTACCACTTATATCACCAAATAGTAGACAGCAATACTTGGAGGTGAATTGAAGTGGTGTACAGTAATACTTAATTGAACAGTCAGTAGACTGGGGGCATCTACTACTTCTAACTCACAATATGAATGTGTACATACACCAGTGGGCCAATACTACTGAGATGTTTTGGTAGTACAGTCCACGGTTCATTGAAATTCAGGTGGACGTTGCAGAGCCCTGTAACCCTGGAAATGTTCGTGTCTACGGCCCCGGGGTGGAGTCCATCACACGCAACGAGCCGACCCACTTTACCGTGGACTGCAGACAAGCCGGACCTGGCAACGTCGGTATTAGCGTGCGAGACGAGGCCGGACGCGATGTCCCCATGGACACAAAGGACATGCGGGATGGCACCTTCAAGGTGTCCTATACACCTACTACCGCGGGACCGACCTACACTGTGCAAGTCTTTTTTGAGAACACCGAAGTTCCACGGAGTCCATTCAAAGTGCCTGTCAAACCGAATGTGGATATGAGCCGAGTACGGGTTGATGGACTGCCCTCAAGTAAGTCCATTGAATGCTTCAACCTCGCCATGAGGTCAAAATCCGATCGGGGAAAACTAGGGGACTGATGTAATGTGGAAAGCCCTCCAGTGATGGTGTGAGACGTCCAGATAGGAGTTCCGTACGATCTAGGACCTGAAGATGGTTCTGAAGGCATCGTGAAGAGGTGAACACCTCGACCAATGACAGATAGAAGTTGGTACTTTTGTCTCCCGTCCTTTATTCCGAGCAAAGTGTCATTGTGTTCACCCCTTGACAATCATGTCCCCTTCGGCGTTGCTGACACGCTAGCCTAAATAATTAATACTGGGTTAATTAAGCCTTGAGGAGTTATAAGACTGCAATGACATCATATCCTTACAGCGATTCCTGTCGGTAAACCGACAACATTCGACGTTGTGACGGCGGGCGCCGGTCCACCTAGTGCTCCAAAACCTCGACCTAATGTGATTGTCAAGGCGCCCAATGGAATGCGAGTGCCGAGTCAGATGGTTGAATCACCTGATGGCTATGAGGCGACCTTTACTGCCACGCAAGCTGGTCCACATCAAGTAGCTGTCGATGTGGCTGGAGCTCCGGTTAGAGGTTCGCCCTTCCCTTGCAGTGCAGTGCCCATTCAAGAAGCTCCCATTGCTACTGCTAAGCAGCCTGCAGCTTTCGCAGCTCAACAAGATCCCTCCGGTCTTGTTCGTGCCTATGGCGATGGTCTGCGTCGGGCCACTGCTAATACACCAGCCCTATTCACCATTGATAGTCGTGAGGCCCCTCCTGCGCCACTTTCGGTGACTATTGAGGGTCCAGCAGAAGCACAGATCAACTACACCGATAACATGGATGGCACCTGTGGTGTGGACTACCTGCCCGTGGAACCGGGTCCTTACACCGTGAATGTTCTGTACAAGGATAAACATATTCCTGGAAGTCCCTTCCCCGTTCAAGTTACTCCCTCAGGAAGGGATTTGGTGGATGTGTCAAGAGTTCGAGCCTATGGTCCTGGACTTCAACCCACGGGTACAGTCGCGCATGAGGGCATCTGTCAGCAGCTTGCGGCCATAAAACGCATGAAACGCATGCCACTCGATGTGTCGTGAAGATCCTGACGCCTTTTACCGTCTCTACGTTGTAGGTGTGTTCAAGGAGTCCTTTGCCAAATTCACGGTGGACGCCAAACCCATCGATCCTGTTGGTCGCGGTGTCGTGAAAGCCATTGTTGTCGATCCTATGAAACAGAGAACAGCTTGCATCGTCCAAAATCAAGGGGATGGAACCTACAAATGCAGCTACTCGCCACTTCTTGATGGTATGGTTTTCGACAGATAAAGCCCTTGAATTGATCTTCCAGATGGAAGGGCAGCTCAGGTGATTTATCTTTCCAGGTTTGCATCAAGTGGAAGTATTCTACGATGGAATGCAGGTCCCAGGAAGTCCCTTCAAAGTTCATGTCACACCGGGATGTGACCCGTCTAGAGTGCGAGCCTTTGGACCAGGTTTGGAAGGTGGCTATACCCACGAACCGCAACACTTCACCATCGATCTAGACGGTGCTGGTCAAGGTGGTCTTGGATTAGCTTTAGAGGGTCCCGCCGATGCTCAAATAAACTGTGTGGACAACAAAGACGGTACGTGCTCTGTGGAATATCTTCCAACCAAAGCTGGCAACTACGATATGTTCATCAAACTCAACGACATGGACATTCCTGGTGAGTTCAGTAGAAAGGTTTGGTAAACTCGGCTCTAATCGACGATGTGCCTTTGTAGGAAGTCCATTCAACATCCCCATTCGTGATAGAATCGATCCAAACAAGGTTCGATGCTATGGTCCAGGCTTGGAACCCAATGGTGCTAGAGCTGGAGTTCCAGCTACATTCACCGTGGACGCTAGTCAAGCTGGTGAAGCACCGATTGCGGTAAGTTGGACATCTGGAGTCCTTCCAGTGGCAGAGTTGAGAGAGTTCACTCATCGTCTTTGCTCTTCTGCATCAAGGTGACTCACACCAATCGAAACGGACGCAAGATTCCCGCCAACATTGTTCCACGTCAAGGTCAACCCGGTGTCTACGATGTAACCTACATGCCAGAAGATGAAGGACCGTGTCAGATTGAGGTCAAATTAAATAACTGCCAGGTTCCACGTTCACCATTCATGCAGAATGTCCTACCAGCCTGCGAGCCGCATAAAGTCCGTGTCACCGGAGAAGGTGTACATCCCAGCCGTCCCGAGGGCCTTCCAGCCGGTCAACCAACCACCTTCCAAGTGGACACTCGGGAAGCCGGGTCCGGTGACTTAGAGCTCACTGTCACTGTAAGATGAAGTGATTTAAAAACTCCATGATTTTTCATTTTTACCATTGTATGGTAGAGGAGGAATAAGGGATTGCGAATTTTGAATCTCCTGTCTTTAGTCACCACTGACGCCTCCTGAAGTGACATCCAGATCCAGACCTTCAACGAGTAAATCGAGGAAACGAAGTATTCAACCACAGCAACAGCAACAGGAGAAGACTTAGCTTTGCCTGGATTTAACGGACCTATCACCTATCCATACACTCACACGCATTCCATATGCACACAACACCTCCGTGCGATGACGGGTTCCCCACACTTTTAGACCTGTGAAGAGACTTCTTTGTTTACGGCTGTTCGACTTGATTAAAGCTGCCTTTCTCCAAGGTACTTCCCTCGTGAATACCTTAACGGTGAAGGGATGGCGGGAAGGGAGGAAGACGCGGCGATTTATTGCATTCGCTGCAGCTAAAAGGCACCTCCACACTTGCACTTCCATTACACGTTGTTTTGTCCGGTCCGGCGTTTCAAGCACTAAACTCGGTGCTTTGACGTCCACCGCACTTAAAACTTTCACTTGACGTTGTTCTGCACAGTGTTGTATCACTGAGTTCCGTACATTTTACGACAGAAGGGAAGCCCAGTCTTTTCTTTTATTCTCTCGATCTTTATAGGACTCTGAACAACGCCCATTACAACTAGAGGTTGCCGATCACGGAGACGGTGTCTACACCTGTCAATACCAACCGGAAGAAGCCTGTCCCCACTACGTGGATGTCAAATTTGGCGGTCGTGAGATTCCCGAGAGCCCCTACTGCGTTAAGGTTCATCCCGTTGGACGTCCAGATTTGTGTCGAATTGAAGGTAAGTCTGGTTATTCCTGGCAGTCCAATAGTTACAAAAAAGTTTTTTTTTGGTTTATAAATATCTTTATGGATAATAGAAACTTACCTACTTATATCCTATAGAGCAGCATTAATTTTCAGTTTATAAAATACCATCTACTTATTAGCAAATCAGTAACAGCAGCTTACGAGGACCTTATACTGCTGAACTGGTCGGTATCACGAAGAGTCACACGTTCTCCGAAATCACCACATTTTTGCTAGTTCTACTATTGAGCTCTCTCATTAGGTGGCAACGATCCGCGAATCCCCATCTTCCAGCCCTGCGCAATCACCGTCAACCCTCTGGATGCGGGTATGGGTAAGGTGATGGGACGAGTGGTCGCTCCCACTGGCCAGCCAGCTGAAGTTCATACAGTGGCGCTACCGAATGGCAAAGTTAACGTCTGCTACACACCGCAAATGCTCGGCGATCACATGGTTGAGATCTTTTGCGGTGGCCAAATTGTATCCGGCGGACGATTCAACCAAAAGGTTAGTCTGCTAAATGGGCTAAGTGAAGTGAAACCTTTTTTGAAAAGACGAATGCAAAATTTTAAAAGTATTTACAAGGTGACTTTTTCGCTATCATATTTCAACTTTTTTGGCAATAATTCCACACACTTTTTATTTATAGGCTGTGAATCTTGACGAGCTGATTCAACCTGTACCGGTAAGCTACCGACTTTACTAGAGGCCCTCCTCATTTCTACTCCATTTGATTACTCAGCACAAAACCGATGGTGAAAATTGGCCTACTTTTGAAAAAAAAGCATTTTTTACATTTCCTTATGACAATTTCTCGCAGAATGAGCCTTATTAATTTGTAGGAAGAACGCGTGGAACGCGTTCCCCTCCAGACGATGCATTCAACAACACTGACTCAGTACCATGAGTCGACAAAGACCACCGGCTACTACCCCATTGACTTCAAACTGCCCGTTGGATCCAAGTTTGGTAGTCTGGAAGGTGCTGCCTACTCATTACTTGTCAGTAGTTCTACACACGTTGGTGACTAATATTCCATCTTCGTAGGCATTGTCCGCACACCAGGCGGTAGATCAATTCGTCCCACCTTGATAGACAACGGAGATGGCACTGTGACAGCCCAATTCCAGCCAACAGAAGATGGCCTTCATGAACTTGAGATCACTTTCAATGGCGTACCAATAGAAGGCAGTCCTTTCCGATTCTACGTGGAACCGGTTGGTTCAGGTCGTGTGACCGCCTACGGACCGGGACTCAGTCATGGACGTGTCGGTGAACCCGCGGAATTCACTCTTATCACAAGAGAAGCTGGAGCAGGTAAATTCTGCCGCTTTGATTGACCTTGGCAGTGGAGCCTTGTACTAGTGAGAGACTCTGCGTTATAGGTGGCTTGTCAATCGCTGTTGAGGGGCCCTCTAAGGCAGAAATTGTCTGTCATGACAATAAGAATGGAACATGCTCGGCCAGCTATCTACCTCTAGCACCGGGAGAGTACACCATCTCCATTAAATTCATGGATCAGCATATTCAGGGCTCTCCGTTCATCGCCAACATCATGGGTACGTAGGCCAAGTTATTTATCATCTTTTAATAGGTTTTTCTTGCTTTTCTCTCCGTTTCTTTTTGCCAGAAAGTGTAAATTTTATGGTTAACCATGCGTTAAGAAGGTCCAAATAGGGAGGGGGAAATGTCGCTACAGTGGAATCGGCAGGATTAAACGCGTCAGTTTTCAAGGGAGAACTTTTTTCTTAAAAGTGGTCAACGACTTCTAGAGAGGTGTATCCTATCAAGTGATAAAAAAGATCCACATGCTTAAAATATACTGCCTTTTTTTCCTGTTTTTTCCGAAAATTTTCCTTCTTAAACGCCTACACTTCTAATTCTTTCCGTGTTGCAAAAAAGAGGATCCAATGCGAATGACCCAGGTGATGGTGGGGACAACCAGTGAAGTACCTCTACGCATCTCCGAGACAGACATCTACAATCTCACCGCCACGGTCACCAATCCCTCGGGCATTGAGCAGCCCTCCATGGTGAAACGTCTGCTAAATGGGCATTTGGGTAGGTTTTTTGACAAAAAAGATGACAAATCTTTTTGTGTACTTTTTAACTTTGTTAAAATAATTTGTTTTAGGTTGCAATAGTAGCTTTCTTATTCAAATTTTATTATTTTTAGTGAGATACGTTGCAACTACTTACAGTCCCATAAGTAGCATATGACACCATATTAGGTTAAAATGAGCAATGAATATCTGGTGGGCTTTTACAGTCAAATCAGAAATCAATATATCATTTTAGGATTTTTAGTGCGAAAATCCATTAAGAAGGTGGTCAAATCAATCAACGGAAGAGAGCCCTCAAAAGTTGGTTTAAATTGACATTGGTTTGGGTCAAGTCATACCAAAATGTGCCCCTATAATCCCGCTAGGTTTTTCAATCACTCATTTCAGTGATCTATGGAATTTTGTCTTAGAGATTCCCCTGACAGGTCGGTAGAAGCAACTACGCTTTATTAGGCAGCCTTCTGGAGATCTACCTCCTCCATTCCCTTCCACCCTACAAATTCTCGAGTCCACATAGGGCGCAAAGAGTTAACCTTTTGATGTCCCCTTTGTTTTTTTTCGGCCTTTTCTCTGACATGGCAATAGGAAGCGCTATTAATGAGGTCCAGGTTGCCCATCATCTGAGTCCTTGCAGACTCAACATCCGCCAAATTAGAGGAAGGTAAACACTACAGATAGGAAAATCCTGTCCAGCCTTAATTCCCTGCCAAAGCTCCTGCCATTTAGGCAAAGCCTTGATTTGTGAAGCTTCTGGGTACCTAGCTAATAGTCTACGGAAGGACTGGACGGCTCTCCGTCTAGAGAGGTAGCCTTGACACACCAAAGTGGTTGGGAGACCCCTTACCTTACATGGTCTCACTATTCGCTGTTATTGTAGTCTTCAACACCTTCTCTCGCGTCCACCGTCACGGCCCACGAATCATGTTTCATTCTAAAGGGATAAATTACGAGCGTCACAGATATGTGACGTTGGATCCAGTAGACAAAAAACAAAGCAGATGCGTCAAACTATTCAACGAATTCAATAAACTGATTTAATTCAAATTCACAAAATTGGATTTTTTTCCAACTCTAGGCATTTCATTCACTCCACGTGAAATCGGTGACCATTTAGTGAATGTTTTCCGCAACGGTCGTCCAATTCCCAACAGTCCCTTTAAGATATATGTGGGTGAATCGGAGCTCGGCAACGCTTCGCGTGTTCGTGTGTATGGTCGCGGCCTCCGTGAGGGTCTGGCCAATCAGAATTGCCAATTCACTGTCGATACGCGTGATGCAGGTGAGCTCAAATCTCATTGGTTGACGCATTTCCAGTGCGAATTCTGTTTGGTCGGTAATCTGTAAATAAGAAATATTTAATTTCCTCCCCGAAAAAGGCTTTTAAAGTGTATTTCTCGGCGACAAAGCCAAAAGCATTTTAAATTTCAATTATCTGAACTATTTACCTTTTAATTTTATCATTTGTAAACAACCTAAATTACGTTTAATAATTTTCCTCCATAAAGCTTCTTTTGTTCTTCCAATTATTTCTGTTAAGTATATTAAATTCAACGATTTATTGCCAAATTAGATCGCGTTTAGTTTTGTGGAGAACGAGTGGAGGGAGAAGTAGGGTGATATAATAAAACAGGTGCCTATCTGGCAAAAAAACTGGGTCCGAAATAAATTCGACCCACTTTTAGATCATATTTTGGTACTACCTTTCTCTCTCTCTTTCTTTTGGTACATTATTCGAAAAGTGAGTCAAAAGATGCTGCTCTCATACTGGGTCACGTTGATATGATAGCTGTTAGTTTTTAGGGCTTTTTTCTTCTTATGCTCCTGAGCGCCACTTTCCGGTGATGACTTGCCCATGTAGGAGACTAGTTTGGTCCACAAGGCGAAAAAGAAGGGGGGAAGGCATCCCCATACTAAACGAAATGGCTCCGAAAATAGAGAGGGGACAGAAGCAATAGAATTATGTTTAACACACGAGGCTAGCTTCCTGTCGCTAGCATGAAAAGACACTAGATGATTTAAAAAGGGAAAATTTTCTCTCTCCCCATTGGAAATAGGTTTTGGAGGTCTAAACCTCTCAGTGGAGGGTCCAAGCAAAGCTGATATTGAGTGTCATGACAACCAGGATGGCACCTGCTTGGTTACCTATCGACCCACTGAACCTGGTACCTACATCATCAATATCAAGTACGCCGATGAACCTGTCCCTGGAAGTCCCTTCGCCGTGAACATCGGTGGTCATCCATCTCCCCGTATCATGGAGCGAATTACAAGGCAACGAGAAGTCGCTGAAACAACACATGTTGGCAGTCAATGCGAGATGAACCTCAAGATTCCAGGTTTGTACTTGAAAAGTTAATTGGAGGCATAGGGTGGTCCCAGTCTTACTAGATTACGGCATTTGGTTGGCCTTGACCTTTATAGGGGTTAAGAGCGCACATAACGTCTACCTGAACATGGTATTGGCCAATCAGGCGGGACTGAACAAGGACATGACTCGATCCTAAAGGCCTATACCTAACCTGTCCAACTGTTATATTGCAGGTGTAAACGTCCTCGAGATGACAGCCATAGTGACAAGTCCTTCGGGTCGAACTGAGCGGTGCGTAATCACCGAACTTGATCCATCCAACTACTGCATTCGTTTTGTACCCCAAGAAATGGGTGTTCACACTGTGTCTGTCCGTCATCGGAATGTTCACATACCTGGTAGGTGGTTAATTTAATTTTTATTCTACTTAAATCGGATTTAAGTAGACTTCATGTCCGGACTTCCTTCGAAGATGTCATAGGCTCTGCTGCACTAAAACTAGACATATTTTACGAACGCAGAGGCAATGAGAGACTAGTGGGATAAGTGGTATGCACAGATGCCAATTCCATCGTCGTGGAGGTTAAATCCGAGGCGATAGAATTGTCAACTGAGCCACAAGTCTGGCCTCCTTATTAACCAATGAATTGTAGAGGCTATTGGTTAAATCAAATTTTGTGAACCAATAGGAAGCCCCTTCCAATTCACCGTTGGGCCAATCACTGATGGGGGCGCGAACAAAGTGCGGGTCCTTGGACAGGGTATCCAACGCGGCTACATTAACCGCAACAACGAATTTAACATCTACACTCGCGAAGCCGGTGCTGGCAATCTCTCCATTGCTATCGAGGGACCGAGCAAGGCGGAAATCGATTTTGAGGTGAGCAAGCTTTACGGGGCTAACTACTTACTCCCATTTCAGTAGTAAGAAGGTAGCCCGAAAATGCAATTAATCAAAATTTATAAACCCTACACTAAATTTTGTGGATTGCATATCGTGCTTTTTTTCGAAAACTATTTCTATTTATGACAGCAAAGACCTTCCATGTCCAAGACACGCTTATTAAAATGTAAAATTTGTCATACCCTAGAGGCTCGCGTGACAACTTCCGTCTGGAAATTGACAGTTCTTACAATCTGGCTTATGAGCTGCCTATCTGACCTAAAGATAATTACAAAAGGCATAAACAAGGTTGCCTCGGATAGATTGAAACTCAGCAGTCAGTGCTAAAGGCGGGATTTGAGGCCAAAATAATCCCTTTCGGGTAAATTAAAGCACTCAAAAAGGCGATCTGTTTGTCCAGTTGGTTGGGAGTAGCCTTAGAAACATGCTAAAACAACCTCTACTCTAGCGTTTAAATGTATCGAGTGAAAATATACAGCCGAGATGTTCTGCTCTCAACGCCACTAACCTGGACGTTAAATTATTAGAGCTGTTCCCCTTTTCCTCGACTTTTGGGTGGTATCGGATGGTACATTTCACCACTTAAAAACAAAAAGAATCTGCCTAATTTATATATTTGCGTAAGAAATCCTTCAAAGATGCTTTTTCAAGTATTACAAAATATGTTTCCTCAAGGTCACCGAAGGTAGCTTCAGTGAATCAAAGGGGATGCGTCTTCCACTGTTTTACAAAGCCCTTGCATGCACGTTTGTAAATCCACGAATTCGACTTTTTGCGGCACACTTTCCTCCTTTTTTCAGCACACAGAAGCAGGTGGTTTTTGGGGTGAAAAACGTGTCAGAAAAATCGGAACATTTCCCCTTCCCACATATTCTAGGCGTCATAACATTTTCGCCTCACAAGAAATGAAAAGCGGTGGTAAAGAAAGTTTTTCTCTCTGTGACTATACCGTGCCGATTTTCCGCCTCAATCAAATAGCTTTTCAAGGGAGAATCTAAGAAATGTCAATTTATTTGGCAGATGTCAATGAGAAGGCACTGCATGGTCATTTTGACTGAGCGATTTGAGACAAACAATTGGCTGAAAATGACTGTTTTTTTATCAAGCCGTCTGGAGGGATAGCAACATGTCTTCTTTGTCAGGTCAAGGTTTAGGAATACCTGCTGGAAAGTGTGCATTCATAGTACCTTCTCCATATTCTATTCTCCATTGCGTAAATCTCTCCTTCTTAGCCATTCCACAAAAATTTCTCATTTGTCGGTAAAAAATCAGCATAGAATATTTTTTCGATTCGTAGTTTTCTGGTCCGATGTTTAAATTCATTAATAGAATTAACTGCAAGTCAAGCCTTCACTTCAATACGCAAGTGGAATAAAACTGAATTTTTGATTGTTTCTCAGTATATTTTTGCTGCTTCTTAATCCGAAACAAAGGATAAGCAACTTTTGAGGACTCGAAAATTAGGAAAGATGGTTAGATTCTTAGGTATGTGATGCTGACATTTTTATTGGTCTTTTGTGTCCTTGTTAAATTTTGATTGGCCCATTGTAAACCAATTCGATTTGTAGGTCTGCATTACCAAAATCCATTTAAATTGGCTTCTACAATGATAAATGTGAAAATATTCAAATTTAAGTATTTGCTAATGCCATTTTTTGTCAGGATCGAAAGGATGGTTCCTGTTGTGTTTCTTTCCGTGTCTCTGAGCCGGGTGAATACCTCTGCTCCGTCCGATTCAACGATGAACACGTACCGGGCTCGCCGTTCCGATTGGAGATTGAAGACCCCAGCGGATACTACAGCACGGAGAATCGTCAACTTAGTGTTGCTGCAGTGCAGGATCGAGGACTACAGGTAAGATGAATGAGGGAGTGAGGGGCAATGATTTGTTATTGCACCATCCTCTTTCACTTTGTCCCCAGGGTCACAGAGAGCTTCGTTTGCCAGTTAAACTTTCATTTGTTTAACATCTAGGGTGAGCGGAAGTAAAAAATTAACTCTAGTGGTCATATTTGCCTATTTTTTTCCCTTTGTGATGGCAGTTGGCCTTTGATTAAATGGCGTACTATGCCAAGAACAGACGTTACATCTTAGCCTCAAGAAAAAAGGCGTGAAAATTGCTCAGAGAAGTGACACAAAAAAGGAAGGGGGAAAGGAAAAGGAAAAGCAGGAATTTTTGGCATTTTACTCCGCACTGTGCCCAAAACCCCCTAATTTCTCATTACCTCAAGTCATAAAATCGGAGAAATATTAGTATTTTTTAGCACTAAGAAGACAGAGGCACGATGGAGGAGAAAGAGGTGCGTAATTACAGGGTAGGAGGGCAATTTTTATCCTCTGCGTCTGGTAATAGCACTGGAGGATGTACAAGCCTGCCGACGCAAGAAACGACAATGTTTACCTCTAAAATGTTTTAACCATTATTTCCATTAATTAATTGGGTGAATTATTGTGTAAAATGCAAAAATTTTCGATTTTGGCTACCTAGGTTTTAATTGGTCGAAGAGGGAGAAGCAATTGATTCCTATGCTGTAGCACTGCAATCCTATTGGCCACATTTGATGTAGCTTTGACCAATTGAAATGATGACCACTGAATTGATTCTTTCCTCGTATTGGTCAATTTCTCCGATAAAATGAACAAACCCTTGTACGATCGAAGAAGGCGTAACATGGGCTGTGTGAGCAGAAACTGGTCTCACTTACAGGTGGAACTAAGAATAACTGCAAGTCTGCAAGTCACAGACTCTTTGTCACGTCCGGAAAGCCACTCTTGGCTACCCCTTAAGCGAAATGAACTGTCGTGTTCTTCCATCACACTAAGTGACTAATTCCGGTTCTTCTTGAAGAGGTTCCCATTGCGCGCCTTCAGGTTGTCTGGCAATGTATAGAGGCGACCTCCTATTGGTTGTCACCAAGTTTGCTCCCCATCTTCTCTTCTTTCCAGATTGGTGTACCAATGGCCTTCACAGTGAACTATACGGGTGCAAGAGGTCGCCTTCGTGCCTACGTGGTGACTCCTTCGGGTCGAGAAGACCCCGCTGTTGTTCATCCCATCGATGTGGATCAACACGCAGTCCGATTTACTCCACAAGAAAATGGTCCACATCTAGTCCATGTCCTGCTGGATGAAAGACCCATTCCTGGAAGTCCCTTCCGTGTTCTTGTGGGTCAAGATGATTTCAGTGATCCTGGTCTTGTGACTGCATCGGGTGACGGCCTGGTTCGAGGAGTTGTTGGTAAGCAGTGCCAGTCTTTTCAACTGCTAGAAATGTGAGTGATTTGCGGTGATCGATGGGCCGTTAGGGTCAAACCGGGACAATTGATTGGATCCGATCTTCAAAACATGGTATTTTCTCAACCTTTTCCACACTCTGCATCTTCCACTCACTACCACCATTGTCCTCCATTGTAATATGTCATAGTTATTACTTTCTACAGCCTGTAGTATCATCAATATGTTGAGGGTTCTTGAAAGCCTCGTCTTCTACCAAGAAATTATTTTACGATTCCTACTTTTTGGTGGAATTTAGGCGAAAGAAGTCGCTTCTTTGTGAACACAGCCAATGCGGGTAGTGGAGCACTCTCTGTGACAGTGGATGGACCCAGTAAGGTGCAGTTGAATTGCGCCGAAAGCATGAACGGCTACGAATTCAGCTATACGCCCTATGCACCTGGCACCTATAACATCACCATCACTTACGATGGACAACCCATTGTGCATTCACCTTTCAGGGTGAGTTGGCATCTCATTTCTCAGTTCCCCCTTTCTGTCCTCCTCTTTGGCAACCACAAAGTAGACAGTGAGTCGGAGAGAAGGCAGCGAGTTGCAATGTCAGTGGGGCAGGTCAAAGTTCAGTGCCATTGACACCCCTGTACTCAGCTCCTTTTACTTTGGAGCTTCATCAGGCGCTCCTTATTAACCTCCACCAAAGATATTTTCATAATGTGGGATCAGTAATGTTGGGACGATTCCCTTCTTTCCCCTCTTCCTTGAAGGCCTACGTCACGGGAGATGCAGTCTACGGGTACAGTGAAGACACCGCGCAGTTGATAGTGAATACCAACGGTCGTTTGGTCACCGGACCTCAACGCTCCATGAGCTATTCACGAGCTGACGCTGTCACCTGTTCTGGTACAGGTCTAGCCAATGCCTACATTGGATCGACCAACACGTTCACCGTCAATGCTCAAAACGCTGGTATGTGTCGGAGACACTTCCACAGAGTATATAAGCAGCTGATTTAAACCTAGAGCGTAGATCGTGGAAGGCGAAGTCCTTTTCCTTATGCTTTTAATGATCTCTTGTTTGGAGTGTCGTCCAGGCGATAAAATGATCTTCAAGTCGTACAATAACGGAGCGTTTTTCGAGGAGCTCCTTCACCACAGAGGTCTTTTAGAAAATAAGCGGATAAGATTCACAAAGCGTTTTAATATGTTGGTAATCTTTGAACTCTTGAGGGTAGCTTACTCGACCTTTTCAGGTGATTTAGGTGTTAGGAGGGTTAGTTCCTCCTCTCACCGTGTTCGCCACGGCTGAAAGTTAATGGCACCTCATAACCCTCCATTTGGAGGCATGGAATAGCCTTGAATTTGTTTCACAACCAATAGCCTGTCAAGATTTTTCACCAGTGACCCAGCTTTCAGATTCCTCTACCCTAAATCGACACAAACTAAGTCCATGCTTACCCTGTTGGAACTACCTCATGCCACCGTCTCGATGAAGTCGGTTAAAGGTGGGACAGTCTAGGGGAAACTTACTGCCGAGCAGAGTTTTGTGCTACCGGGAGACAAAGGCCGCCTTTTGAATAGGTAGAGCTCCCGAATTAGAAAACTAGACAAGCAAATGAAATAGCTAGAGTTTTACCCTTGCCTTCTTTCCTTTCCTTTCCGCCCTTCCTTCCCGCCTTCTAGGTTCATACCTTGGTAAACCAAAAGCTCAACACACAAACACACACAAGCATCCCTATTTGTTTATCGTTAATCCTGAAAAGCGACATCATTGTCATTTGTTGGCCTCTGCAAGTGTCATTCACATCGCTGTCAGTAACAGTCTTGTACGACAACCGATGGTTGCTAACAGTCACAGAGGCAGCACGGTTGATTAATCTCCTTCCACAATGAGGGCTGTTGATGTTGACCGCCATGATTTTCTCGCTCTCTTTTCCTCTCCTTTCCCCTTCCACCTCTCTTGTAGAGAAAAGCATGCTGAAAAAGGGCGAGAGAGGAGGAGGAAGGGAGTGGCAGAGGGGGAGAGAGGTGACTGTGGAGATCAGCATGCTGTGTTGACTCTGACCGCGTAATCACAGTTGTGCCGCCACTTTTTGATCAAGGGCAGGTAGATCCATTAAAACCAAATTAAGACGGTAAAACGGCCGTAAGATGTGGTTAATTTAAACAAAAATTCGGTCACCGCTTAAAGAAACAACTTTTTTGAATGAAGTTGAGATTGCCGAAACCGAAGGGCAAATTTTTAGTAACGGCTGGAAAAATATCAAATTTCTTGACTTAATTTAATGCTGAAAGTTAAATAAGAATTTGTTTTTATTAGGTGAGACGCCGATAGGCGCATATTTTCAATTTGGAGTGTAGCTAGTAAACAAATTTGCCATTTGACGGACCAATTGACTACATTTTTGTCCACTTTGTTGGGGCAAATTTTGTGAAAAATCCCACCTGGAGCCCCTATAGACCTAAAACTAGGCGGCCAGAAGGCAACACCGAATGACCTTTGACATCAAAGAATCTTGAAGGCATATTCAGGTGGATTTGACGGCTTGTCAGCTCTGTCAAGCCATGTTACCTCTCTAGTAGTTCATCATGCGAAATGCTCTCAAAGAGTCTGCCCCCCCCCCCCCACCCATCCCATCCTCCTCGCCTCAATCGGCCTCGTTAAATCCCTATTCGTTATTCGCACGTACTGAATTGCTCATCACATTAGCCTGTACTAATACTTCTTGAATGACCCGAGTGACCTTTGACCTCGGATTGCTTTTTCACACTGTTTTAGGCAATGATGTTCTCTATGTCGGTGTGTCTGGACCAATTGTGCCCTGCGAGGAGGTGAATATAAAGCACCTCGGAGACAATCTCTTCAGCGTGCAGTACTCCGTCCGAGATCGTGGACGGCACTACATAATGGTGAAGTGGGGTGAAACCCACATCCCCGGCAGTCCTTTCATCGTGGATGTGAAGTAATTGGAGGGGACCAATCACTGGATGCCACCTCTCCTCAGATTATCAAACTTCTCGCCTTATTCTCTCCTCCCTTTGTTTCTTCGTGTGGATCTTCGCGGATCTCTTCAACTACTTGGCTTTTTGAGACCACTGAAATATGCATGTGCTTTAAAAGTAACTTACTCGTACCCGCCTTCCCCTCCCCCACCCCAAAAAAGGCGGGGCCGGAGGGTAGGGGTGGGTCTGGGGGGAATGCGACCTCACCCAATCACAGTTGTGCCTTGCATCTCTAATCGAAAGCCCCTCTTTGTGCGCTAACACAGACACCAAGTCCTCCCATTTCTTCCTCCACCCTTTCTCCCTCCCCCTCCGCCCTATTATCCTTGTCTCTCTCCGCTCGCAAGCAATTTTTTGGTTCTCTTTTTGTTGTCTTTTTACCTCCTCCTCTACTTTTTTTTGGTCTAGCCGTAATTTTGAAGTTGCTACGAAATTAATTTACACACACCAAGCGGGTAGTTATTGCTGCCCAAATAATGGGGTTGAATACCTCTTCTGAGGTGGTAAAAGGTGGCTGATGCTATCGAGGGTATCAGGGAGGGGCAAAAGTCCGATCAGGGCAGTGTTGCGTGATGACCTCTGATTATATGACCGATTAGATCGTTTATTATTTTTGGTTCTGGGAGGGCGGAGGAGCCATTGCGAATCATTTGTCTGGCTTATTAGGCTACACGGATTAGGGGAAGACATTTAGATATTTAATAGGGAAAAAAAACTAGTAGACCAGTTGATTCTTCAGTCAGATTGTCCCTCGACCCCTCGAAGGGACACTAAATAGGATAAGTAAATCATAGAGAGGATTTTTAAAAGGTAAATGGAGATCCACTGCTTCATGAAAAAGGCACTGACTAATTAGGTGGAGCCTCTCTCTGGCTCCACCCCCCCGATAAACTGACCTACTGAGCTTAATGTGAGCAAAAGGTTGCATTGAAGTTCGGATGGTTTTCATCATTCATCAAGGGACTCCCAAATGAGTACATCGTTAATCGCCCGACTTCCAGTTTGAACTTCCCTCCCGTCGAGTGTGGGCGAGATGAAAGTTTTGTCACTCCCATTCCGCCATCCCCCTCCTCCGAGCCAGGATTTATCAATTGTTAGACAAGTATGTGCAATTGCTTGGCATGTTGGGAAGTCACCACGATGTCCAGCCTGAGTGACGTGAAAGACTTGGCTTTCTGGTAGAAGGAAACTTACCCAGAGTCTTAACAACTTCTTCAGGACAAAATAGATGGATTCTCTTCTTACTTTTTTGTCTAAAAATGTGTACATTATAATATTTTGAAGTTTTCCGCCTTCTCTTTTGCTTCCCTTCCAGATAGACTGCTGAGTCGCCGTGGTCTACCCTTTCAGCAAAAGCCAGTACGGCTGTTTATGCTGGCCTGTAGTCTAGTGGTAGAACTGGCGCTCCACCGGTGGACCTTGTTACGATTTGGGGGCGAAAAGCGCTACTTTCTGTATCATCACTTCCGACTTTTTTAAGTAAACGAATTAAGCAAAAAAATAAATTTCCTGATATTCTAAAATCTCATATATAGCCACATCTTCTTCCTTGAATGCCTCGACAACAAATATCGCCCCACCAGGGTTAATGACATGGTTCGAGGTGAAGGTGGCGACAATGAGAGGACAAGTTTGAGGCAGGCTTGACTTCACCGCTCCTTAATCAAGTCATTCTGACTAATATTGAAGGTTTTTTAGAAATTTTTGGGACATTTTGACATAAATGTGCCTTTTCTTGCCACAAAGCACTCATCAACAGAGGTGACACGTTGTGTCAAGTGAGCAGCAATTGACCTCAATTGTAAACCGAGGCCATTTGCCAAAAAAAAAAATTAAATACATTTTACTCTCAAAATTTGTGTTTTATCAATAATCCTTTATTGATGTCCGATATGATTTATAATAAAATATTTGCAAAGTGGCTGAATACACATAAGTAGCAACCCCTGCTTGTATTTTACCGAAACCTTAGCCTTTTTCCCTCAAAATAGGTTTGCTAAAACAGAAAAGCAGCAACTTCTTAAAAAAACTGCTAAAGTTAAATTTCTTTTCTGCATTTTGAGATATGTCTTTCAGCGGGCAACGTCAAGGCGATCCACTCTTTAACTAACCTCTCTCACCTGTCAAATGTCAAGGGCATCATGTCACTGCCAAACAACTTTGCTTGGCTTCTCCTCTCCTTTGAGAACAAGGAACTCTCCGGTGTCTCATCTTGCCAGGAAAAAGGATTACAAGGTGTAGCGTCGATTGTTGACATTTGCAGGGCCTTGACACCACACTCAACTCGGAGGCCATGGCGATGGGGCCATCACCCATCCCTCCAAATAATTTTTTTTCCTTCTTACCCTTTGGTGAAGTGAGAACTACAAAGTAATATAATAAAAAAATTGCTTGCTTGGAGAAGGAAAAGTATTGAATGTACGGGCAGAGTTTTATTTGCCTCGATCAAGGGTTTTAGTAATTTTTAGTGGGGTTATTCCGGCCTAAAAAGGCGGAGCCTGGACATAAATCAATCCGGAAGGCATCCATATTTTGGCCTTTTCTTTAAGGCCTGAAAAAAAGGTGGGGGAAATAAAGATGTAGACGTTTCTTTTAACAATCGGCTGTGTATCTACTTCTCTCGCCCCACCCTTTCTTCCTCCCGCCAGGAGAGGTTAGGTCTTGACTCCCCCACCCTCCTTGCACCGGTCGGTTGGATGTCCTCTCTTCCGCTCTACAATCCCCAACCGGAAGCAGACGCTTCTTTTCCAAAGAGCAGTTAGGACGGTGATAATACAAATTGGAGAGGGAGTCCTCCCCAGTCGTATGGTTAATGGTCCAGGCGTCACGTGTGCCACTACCTTAACTACCTCAGCTGCACCGGGTGACAAGGCAGCAAAAGGAAGACAAAGCCTTCTTTATTCAGTCGAAAACAGTTTACGTCAGCTTACGTGTTACGTATACGCGATGCAAAAAAAATGGTCAAACTTCCAAAGGAAGGTTAATGCAACACCTTAGCTACATCTAATAATTATGATGGACTCACACGCAGTTATTCGCACGAGAAATTGGGGGGCGGGGGGGGGGAAACAATCAAGCGTAGTGATTTTTTGGTGTCACATGGCTGCCTTTGCCTGATTAATCAACTACCTCTAGGAATTGCCAATCATGGGTGAAGACGAGGGAGAAATCTCTCACATACACACAGCCTTTGGCAGAACTCCGCCCCTTCCCTAATCCGCTATGCAGGATGAAGTAGTTTTTCCCTCCCTCAGTAATATTTGCAGAGGATATGGGGATAGAATTTTTTCACTCCTCTCCCTCCCCACACCCTTGCCCTCATGAGCAAATTAAAAAAAACTTAACAATCACCAATACCAAGGGGACAGAAAGGTAGCATTTCAGACGTCTGGGCAGCTGCTATCCCCAATACCACCGCCACAAGGTCTTTGAGATATGCGGGGGAGGGGTATAAGGGCGGGAAAATGGCCAAAAAATGAGGTACAAGGTGAATTTTTTACAAAATGAGAAGTGCATTTTGCCATGGTCTGCAGTTTGATTTATGACCACTTATAACTTCCTAAAGTGGTGCGTAGGTGACTACTGATAAGGAAATATGGGTACTATCACCCACACCCTTCTGGTAGCCCCTATAGCCGGTAACAGCTGGGTAGAAAAATATGTGCAATTCGTTTATACCTACCGGGGCGAAGTGTACGACCTTCAGTATGCGTTCCTTTGCGGTTTCTTAACCATTAATTATCCCCCACCGAATCAGGAGAAACGTTTCCTTTTTAATTCATTTCCCTTCCTACTGCCAACGCCTCAACAGGAACCGACATTTCAAACCTCTTTTCGAGTTTAATAAAACGGTTAATTTAGTTTTTAAAAAGTGGTGTTAATGAGACAACACAATGAAGACATTTGTGTTTAAGGCGCTGAAGTTAACTAAGTAGTATTTGTGAGGACCTTTCTTTTTTAAAAAAACACGTTAAAAGTACAAATTTTAGTCGAACTATCACTGAAGTTGTTTAAATATGCCACTAAAAAGAAAAGAAGCGTTTCTCTTATTTGCTTTTGGCGTTTTGATGGGCTGAATTTTGATTGGATGCTGAAAAGCGGCGCCTAATCCATGGTCTCGCAAATTAAGATGATTTAAAACAGCCACCTTTTTATGGTCTTTGTCAAGTTACCAGAAAAGGGTTTGGACTACCTTTGGTGAACCATGCTTAACTGAATTGACCTGTCAGTCTGCCAATGCCGTGTCATCGAACAAATCTCTTCCCCCCCCAATCAGGTGCTGTGGCCAACTCCTCTTCAACACTGGAAGGAGGTGCGATAAGAGGCGATCCTATTATTTCTGACGGAGAAAATTTCAAAATAATTAGCAAATTTTGAAAGCAAATTTTTATCTTTCATTAGCTCGGAGGAGAATTTACTGATAAAAGCGAAGTAACTGGATCTTCACATGCCTCTCATTAGGGACAGATGATAGACAGTTAAGTGAAAAGACTGCCTATCTGCATTTTTTTGTTCCATTTACCTACAGTACAAAAGCGCATCGTATATTCGGGAGGTTAGCCTGACATACTGAAATGTGTGTGATGGGAAAAAAGCCAACCGTAGGCAAAAAATTATAGTATAGGATATTTCCCTCGGATGCTTTCGCTCTCCCATGTCCCGAAAACATCTCTTCGCCCCCAAAAGAGCGTGGATGTTCCGTCTTCTGCTCCTCGATATACCCGCAGCTGGTTTGTGTCCCACTGGAAGGGGATCGTAACCCTTAAAATATCCTCATGGTGTAATTTAGTTACTTCCCCCTGCCCACTCATCAGATTCGGGGTTTCGGTTTAATTGAACCGGATTCGCTTCACCGCTCTCGCCGGTGTAGCATCGTAAACCCTCTCTAAGAGGGCAAAGGTGGCTGACAACTTTGGAGGGACACAAAAAATGTGTGAAGGTTTGGAAATACCATCGAGGTAGTAATCAATACCACACCGACTGCGGGAGGCCCGTTGGAATGTGATGTGGCCATTCTTTAGGGCCGCTCCCTTCTCTCCAAGATCACGCACCTTTGTTGCGGCAAATACACTTCCAGTTCTTTAATCAGACAGGGTCAAATTCGTCGACTCTCGTATGGGTCAACAAGCCATTAAAAAGGTGCCCCCAAATTGTGGAAGATCATTACAACAAGCTGTTGCAAGAATTGAGACCTTCTTTTGCTAGTTAAACAAAATACTTAGTTAATTAACAGACGGAAGGACTAAAATGCCATAAATATGGACAGCACGTAATAATGTCATGGTAGTGACAGATCCATCTAGATCGTTGAGTTGTGATTGGTTAATTAAAGGGCACAAAATACACACGGTTCTGCCGTCGATTATGTCCTATTCTTTGAACAAAAAAGGGCACCTCCTCTTCTGCCACATCGGAAATCTACCCTTTTCGTCCTCCATTAAGTGACAAGCTTGACAGGAACTGCCTTAAGATGCATAAGAGAATACTCAATTTTATACTTTCCTAATAAATTTGTCCTTTTTTCAAAAAAATGACAAACGAAGAGACAATTTGGTGTACAAATTATCTTTTTGAAGAATTGTCTTTTGTTGGGGTGGAATGTGGAATTTCTTCTCCACTCCCCATCCGCGCTTCTGATTGGTGCATACATTGAGCCAATGAGAAATCGCCACGGAAAAGTACTCAACCAACTTCTCCAGCTCAAATGAGCGAAGGTATTAATCATGCTATCAGTATGAAATCCGGTGTCGAGTTTGGAATACTACCACTACAGCCATCGTCCCGTGGTCGGAAGGTGCCGAATGAACCCTTACTCAACAATCAGGAGTGCATACCCGCAGGGAGTGGGTTTCAGGGTCACATTCATTTCGCAGAACTTACGAAAGATGTGCCACGACAATCCATTTCCACAATTGCAGCATTAACAGCACTGGAGTTACGTGAGACAACAAGAGTCTCAACGACAACAACGCCACCGGTGAGCAACCCGTCTTCAGGCCTGGTGGCAGTGAATAAGTCCCCCCTCCCATCACATATGATCGCTTTGACGCCACAGACAGCACACTTTGCGGTGAATACAAACCCCATCGCCTCGGAGATGTTGCGGCAACACAAATGGGAGACCTGTCGGAGGAAGTGGTTGATGTGAGTGCGTAGGGAGTATTTACTTTCTGGCCAGTCTCGTTTAGCCTGACTACGGCTGCGCGACGCAGTCATTTACTGATTTTGGAGAATATTAATCTTTGAGATATTAAAAACCCCACAAATTAGTGATATAAGTTTTCTTTGGAATTGCAATAATGCAGGATATTTTAACAAGGGAATATAAGACGAGCCAAGAGAGAGAGGGAGGCAGAGACAGAGGCAGATGGGGGGAGAGGGAGGGAGTATTTCGGCTAGAGATTTACGCAGGTCTCACCCAAATTAAAAAGGCCACATGCATGAATGTTCACTTAAACAAAGACTGGTCGACTGTATAGAGTTTTTGTTTTTCTCTGCCTCCTCCCTCCCCCACTGGTGAATTTTTGGATAGACGCAACAGGTGGAGGCTGCAATGTATTTGGGACACTCCCATGAATTTTTCCCCCAAGGATGTACAGTTAAATAATTTTCTAAAAGAGAGATGATGAAAAAATCATTTTCTTTTAAGCCTATTGGATGATTTTTTGAGGGTGTATATGGATGTCCATGTCAAGAGCCCGTGAGTAATTATTAGACTGTCGCCTTGATAATTAGACCAAAATTAAGGAAGAATGTCATTTTATTTTCTTTTACAAATTAACTGATGTGTTGAAAATCTTACTAAATGAGAACAAAAAGGAACTTACAAACTTTTACTAAAAACCTTTTTTGCCTTCTTTAAGTCCACCAGAAGCGACTTTATCGAGGAGACCTATCCAAGTGACCTTAAAAATTGATTAATTATTTATTTCTTTCCCAGCAATATTTTTTAAAAGTTTCGTTGAATTATTTCTATATATTTCTGTTGTTTTAAACACAAATATGTCTGTTTTCTCGTCTGAAAATGTATATACCCCTGCTTAGGAATACAAGGCGGTCAACTTAAGTGGTGGAAAAAAACTCGAGTAAATTATTATTTCTCCCCCTTTATAAAAATTGCCTAATATTTTAATAAATAAAACAAAATGTAGGCCTTTTTAGGGCATTTGTTGGATGCATGAGATAGTCAAGTTGGTATTTAGCAGGTTTTAGTTCGAGGAACAGTTCCCTCCATTTTTTCTTACTTTAAAAGAGAAAACAAGCATCAGCAGGCCACAATTAAATGTCAAAGAATTAAAAATTTGTATAACAACTCTTTTCTTTAGGTAAAAAAAGGCTTCTTAAATAGGCGGTACCGGGGACGGTGCTGAAACCAAACAGTGGGAGGTTCGCACTGCCTCTCCTTTTTGCAAAAAGTACGTAAAAGCTGGGAGGATGAAAATGGAAAGGGGATCGGTGGGTTTGGAATAGAGCAAAATTTAATGACCACCAACTGTCGGCATTGTGACCGTCTTTTTTACAACCCCAAAGTGAGTGGGCCATAGCCGGAGCCTTGGACCTCGGCAATCGAGTTGGGAGTGGGGGTGGGGGTGTCCCCACCCTCCTCCTCCCCCCTCCAACATTCTGGTGGTATTTATTGCGGTGTTAGTCAAGGCCCGCACACTCACACACACACACACGGAAGAGGAGGAAAAAAGAGCAATAAAATTTGTTAAAATTTAATTGAGAGGCTTTTTACTTTTCTCTTTTTTTTCACCTTTTTTTATCGCTCCTCAATAAGAAGCGTGTCGTTCTTGAGAGGAAAAATAAGCGAGATAAATATAAAGCAGATATGTACTTAATGATTAAAAAAAAGATACAACTTGTAGTTTTAAATTTTTTTTTTGGCATAAAAAAATTGCCAATTTTTTGGTACCAGTTGTTAAAAAGTCAACATTTTGTCTTAATTTGAAAGCCCTCGAGGTCAGCAGCGCCTTCAAGAAACCAATCAGGTTTGTGCGATTTCTAGTGAAGTTGACTTAATTTTTCCCCGTACGAGGAATTTTTTTAAAAGTATATGCATCCACCTATTGTTATGCACTTTTAACCCCCTGTCTCCCTCGCCATGTCACGGAATGTGTCAGTCAAACTGAGTGGATGTAAGCGGAGCCGATTAAGTGGAGAGGCTTCAAAGTCTAGGCCTATAATAACAAAGGAAATAAGCGTAGAGTGAAATCCTTACAAGGGCAGTTAGAGGACCCTAAATAACTTTGGTTAAGTGGCGGATCAAGCTAAACTGTCAATTTGGTCTTCACGTGACAGGCTTTCAAGTCTGTCTGCTGTGTGGTTGCGGACAGACGGACTGGTTGATTTGTGAAGCGATTTGACATTCTTAATTTAGCGATGTGGTGACTCACTTATCGAGTCATTGTTTGCCAGTCACAACATTGCATAAAATAATTTCTTTGGGCTTTTCCTCTGGAATGCTAAATAAAATATAAAAAAGGAAAATTGCATGAATTTGGTTGGCTACCGTGGAGGGTCAACATCCTTCGCACGACCTCCTTTTGACCTGCCTGTGTCCGCACCAAATGTAGCGTCAACCAATGACACGGAGAAGCTCAAACAATTGCGGAAAATCAAATTTCTTTATTTTTTAAAGTATAAATTCTGGGCTAGTAAATGGGATCATCCCTCCCTTAATGCATTATTTCCACCTATCTCCTCCATCTCAACTATATACCCTATAAAATAACAATCAGTCTCTTAATGGCCACAAATTTATGCAAAATGGATTTTTTTATATTTTTTATAATAATAATTTTTATTAATCGCTTTGTTTTACGGCAGGATTTAAATACACCGCGATTATTTATTTTTGCCCAACTGACCAATGAAATTATTGGGCGTAAAACAGTGCCTTTTTTAGAATTTTCTTCTTTTTTGGAACAAAAACACAAACATAGGAATTAGGCGGTAGAGTAGTGGCATATTTATTAGGCACTACTCTGCCTCTGCGCTTTCGACCGTAGGAGGAAGTGTCACTCGCATGTCAGTTTATATTATCAATTGTTTATTCGGGTCGGGGAGAAATTGGAGGCACAATTTTTCATCCCAATGATCATTTTAGGTAAGTTTATGCCACTCTGAGGTAAATATTTGGTAGGACTTACTCTCATGTTATATTTCAGTTCAATGTAGTGGGTGAAAGACAAATGGGTGGTGAAAAAATTAGGGAAGGAAAAAGAGAAGCATTAGGGACGATGATCCTTATCTCCTTCTCCTACCCATCTTCCAAATGGTAAACTTTTAATGTCTTCTTTCTTGGCTGTGGAAATCTTACCAGCACTGGCTATAACTTACAGACTGCCTAAAGGTTTTCGGGCACGGTCAACATGTCATACCACCGAACGGAGGGAAAAAGTGGAGCTAGAATTGAGCAGCCTGCTTAGCTAAGCGTACAGGTAGACACGTAGTAACTGCGCTGCTTTTTTACACTCCTCCTTTTGAGCGCCTCTTTCCTCTAACTTATTTTATAGGTCACTTGGGTCATTAAATTGCCTTGCAGATGCATTTTGTTGCCTCGTCGTTGAGGCGGGGGGAGGGAGGAGTACACTGATATCGTACAGATCAAGGTGGGATGGTAAACTCTCCTGAGACTTCATGAAAGTGAACGCCTCACAGAAACAGGCGTCAACGGCTGATGCACTTCATTAGACAATTTGTGTGGTAAAATTGCTAAAGGCAAAAAGCCCTAACTCCAGAAAAACGTCCATTTTTTACCATGATGAGGCACATATTATCACTAATAAGCAAACACGGTAGTAAATACGTCAGAAAGGAGTTTTTGTAGAAGCATGATTGTTCGTCTTAGGCCATATTAATCCATTATGTGTTGTCTCGAAAAAATGACTAAAACTTATCCACTTAACATGATATTGTCTAAAAATGTCACCCAGACCATTGGTACCCCCCTCGGAAATCGTGAGCCGCTCACATTACCCTACACCATAGGATCTACCCGTGAGGAGACTTGCCCTTTCCTAGCCATCTGTAATCACCCCTCCTTCTCCACCCCAGAGTTGACATTTCTTCAGTTAATGGTTATCGTCTCTTCAAGTAGACAGACGAAAGTAACTGGACTAATGGAAATTCCGATCTGAGAAAGACACGGAGGTAGGTAGAGTTAATTTGAGGCCAGCTTGTGCCTCACTGAGGCGGAGAGACATTTAAAGAAGTCCTTAGCCTTCACGAACTCGTTTGCTTCATTTATACCTTGACAGAAGAGTGGGCATCGTTCTGGCCGTCGTTCTGGTGCTAATTTGTGTTGTCTACCAATTCTGCTCCTGGACAAGTCGATGGCAGAAACGGCGCACCTTTCTGCTGGTGCAAAGAACTCCCGCCTCCTGCGTCAGTGATGGTCGAAGCAATTCGGAGACGGAATTTGTGCTAAGTGGTGTCAACATCACTTTATGCAATGCTAATCCGTTTCGGTAGGCGGATTGATTTCAAATCCTCTCTCAAGTTCTCTAAGGAATAGGAACTTGGTGCCAGATTATCCTGCAAAACCTAAAAAATAGGGTTTTTAAGAATAGATAAATTTTTTAGGCTAAAATTTCAATGAACAAAATTACGTTTATTACCAAAATTGTCATTTTTGGTTATTTACCTCTTATTTCATGCAATACTACTGATTAGTGGCTTATCAGTAGCAAGAAATCATTATTTAGAAATCCATAAAAATTGATGACATACTATTATTTTTGCGCATTTTATCAATATTTCTTAATTTGGTAAAAATCTAAATAACAACGAGCTGCTAAAAGACATAATTTGAGGCCCATTTATATTTATTTTACAAACCCGAATTAACCTGCTTTTTATTCAATATTTAAATTAGAAAAAAAACTTTCCGATATTTATTGGTTGAACTATTATTACCGGAAAGGGTCGTGCGGATTTACTAATGCCTTGGTGCAACGACCTGTCGTAACTCGGGGACGTGGGGTGAGGCTCTGTTATTTTATGCGCGTTTTATAAAGCACAGACAGATGGGCCCGTCCGCCACTTCTACCACATTTCCCATTTCATTGTGCACTTTTCCAGGTCCTCAAAATGTAAATTGGTATTATTTGGTTCAACCTCGTCCAATTGTGGCATTGGCTCTCGTCCAGAAGGATCATCAACCTTTGACAATGGCAGAGAATTACGTGTCAGCATTGATTATAATGTCAAAGGAAATCCAGCGAAGATGCAGCCGTCAATTTATATTTAAATCAAAGGATATAAAAGTTATCGTAGTGAAAGTTAAGCGGTTGGACTCCCTCCAAATGCGTATATAGATACCAATACATGTGGAGGAGAATCAAGTTGCTCTTCCACACAAATCCGTCAATATTAGTACCTGGCGGGGTGAGAAGAGTCTTTTTCAGGGCAAAATGAGCAAGCAAATAAATCACTGGCTACCCTTAGACGGTCCACTCACTACCCTCCCCACACATCCAAAACACATTCACATCTCCAGAAGACTATGATAATCTTTTGTCTCCAAAGCTAAAGCCTTTTCCTAGAAACAGGAGTTTGTTCCAACCTCACACCCTCTAAGAGGATTAGATAAGCTGTTCTGTCGGTTAATTATCTGTGATTTTCCTACAAAAATATGCTTTATTCATGTGTTCAAAGATAAAGGGGATATAATGCTCTACTATTTTGATAGACCTGCCATTTGCAAGTGGTTTTTTGTGATTTGATATGACTTTACTGACGATCTATATGTAAACTTGGTAAGAAGTTCACAGCGCACGTAGGCCTACAAGCAGACACTCGAAAATCTTACAAAATTTCGACTCGTAAAAAAACCTACAGGTGATTAATTTAAACATGGAAAATATTATGGTGGTTTCCCGAAAAACGGCCTGTTTTGAAACTAATTTTTGTAAAATAACTGTTGTTTTATTAAGATATTCTTTTTAAGTATTTGAAAGTCAAGCAATTGAAGCCATCTCAAACTCCCAATTCGAAATACATTTCATTAAATAATTCTTACTAACCATCACCAACGACTGTTTTTTTTAGACTTAGATTTGTATTGCCATGCTTCGTGATGCCTAGAAGTGATTTTGAAAAGGATGTTAATGGGAAATTCTCCAATATATCAATAATCCGGAAACGAATGGAGGTAGCTGATTGACTTAAGGCTCATGACAACTGACTAGGCTTTTGTGGGACACGAGTCATTCCTTTTATTCCCAGTATGATAAATAAGTTGTATAGCATTATTGCATTGTACTCTCTGGCCTAGTTGGCATCATCTTTTTCTTTCAACTAACCGTTCGGGAACACAATACACGCACTTTTAATTGTCCTTTAGGTAAAACGCTTCATCGAGGTTGGCAAAATTGTTCAGGAATAAAAGTATAGTCCCATTTTTAGCCAACATGAGAAACGATGTTCACAACGGCTAGATTTGTAGATAAAATGTTATAGTAGATATAAATTACCAGCAACTTGCGCTTTTAAAAAGTACACCAAAAAACGTGGATCTGACACTGTGATCTGATTAATTCGGAGAAATCATCATCTTTTAGATGTTTTCTCCCCCCTTTCATCACCACTTTCCCATCTAGACATCACAAGCGATCATTTTTTTCGGGGTTTTTGAACCATCTTTCCTCCCCGTCTTATCCTCTTTTAGAGGATCCGCAATCTTTGACTTGCCCAGTGGAAGTTACCTCTACGACACCTTGACGCGAATTCGCAGTGGAGCTATGCGTGTTCCCGACTTTGCCAAGGAGCTCAGCAAACAAAGTCTCTCCACCCTCATCGCTATCTCACATCACATTCCCGATATGCTAAAAAGGTGAGCCTCACTTTTTTTCTTTGAGAATATTCTCTTCCCCCCTCAGATTGATTGCCATTTAACAGTGCGCTGATTGGCTGATTTAAAAAAAACATTTCTCATTAGATTTTTCCCCGTTAATGCAATTTTTGGTTTTTGAGGGGAAATAAGAGTCACAAATGTAAAGATTTTGTAGAATTTGGGATGCGCTTGTTCAAAAACTTGTTTTGAAGTGTAAATAAGTGTAAAGAAATTTTGTGTATTGGGTATAACTTGGAATTTTGACATTTTATTAAGAATTGAAACCTTTTTTCCTATTTTTACCTAAGAATGCCGTTATTAATGTGTCAGCCCTGGAGAAGTCTCGGCGCTCTGCGTGATCGCTAGGGCTGGTGGAGAGGTTGAGGGCGTTGCAAATTAATATTTTCTCTTCCCACGACATTTCGGTGTGGTAGGTCTACCGGTGAATAATTCAAACAAATGTTGGAAGGATTAGGCTAAAAAAGGTAGGTATACTCTATTCCGACCGGTAGTCACTTTGAGAAACATGACGACAGCAAAATGACGCCAATGTTGGGGAATGTCACCAGAAAATCAGGCTTTGTTTATCCGCCTCTCTCTAAGGCGTCAGTAAAGTTGGTAAGGGGAGACCGCTAAATTACCGGTTTACTTTTGCCTGTCCAAGCCTAATTAGAGCGGGTATCGGCCGGCTTTCAGAGTCGGGTGTTGGGGCAGGTCTACTTCATGACAGTGTAATATCTCAAGATGGTGGGATCTCAGCCCACTGTTAAACTGACCGGTGAGGAACATTGTGCTGCATTTGATGGGAGGGGCAGAGTGAGTGAGAGAGAGCGGAGACATGGGTTCACGTCAACTTTACCTCCTTTTCCCCAGGTGATAATTATCGCCTCTTGGCATGTACAATGACATGAAGAGGTGACGTAGATATCTGGGCGATAAAAGAGAGCTAGGAAGGGAGGTGAGTGGTGAAGAGGATGACGAAAGAGAAGGCAAGGGTTGAGATGGGTTGCTGGGGTTGTTTTCTTGTCAAGGCAAAGAGCTTTATACACGTCTTCCCCCCCCCCCCCTTAAGTCTACGTCTCCTGGGTAAAAGGAACCGCCTACCCTAGATTAGAGCAGTGACGCTGTCACTGAAAGAAAAGAAATTCCAAGATTTCTCTCTTTTTAAATTATGTTATTCCCTCCTCACCTGTTTTATTGGTAAATCACAGTTCTACTACTCCATCGTGTCGTCAACCTGGTGTTTGTCTCCAGCTAATTTTCGGACACAAAAGGTACGCCGAATCACACTCAACACATTCTCCGTGTGTGGGATATTTTGCACGCACCTTGGAATCTTTGTTGTTCTCATACAAAGTTAAAATAAACCCTCTCTTTTTTGGTCTCTTTTCATACACAAAAGAAGATTTTGCACTTTTTTTATGACGGCGGAAGAGAAGGTGGAGAAGGGGAGTGGGGTCTTTTATTAAAATAAATTAAAAATCAACCTTTTTGACACAAATTCTTTGTTATTTGTCTTGTCTTTTAGCACTTCCTAATTGTGGGGTTGTTGTTACTAAGGTGACTGAAAAAAAAGACTTTTCTGTCAATAAGAATATTCGCATTGTAAGATATGCTAGTCTCTGTTAAGGGCTAAAGCTTTTCATCTTTCCAAATTTTCGTGGTTTAGAAACGAAAAACACAGCCTTTTAATCTGTTTGTAGGCAAATGTCCTGCATCACTCATCGGTGCCTAAGTGAGGAAAAAATGAAGGGAGGAATAAAGAGAAATTTTATGCATCCTGTCTCTCTTTCAGTTGTACGATCAACGGGCTGTCCTGTGGACAGAGGGACTTTGAAAGTGTCGTTAATTTCAACCGGCTCTGTTTCCGTCTAGCCCTGAATTCTTCAGGTAAGTAAAAAAGTGGAAGCACTATAGAGTATACCCGTGAAGTATAGGTTTATAACCCCTGATCTACTTATTAACTTGTGAGTAGTATTTAGCTATGTGTTAATAAATTACAAAGAAATCTTAGCTTTTGTGATTACATAATCATAAAAGATACTATTTTTATTTAAAAAATTTTTAACAATTTTTACGAAGAATGACGTCAAAGGTTGGCCGAGTTTTAGAACTCGACTTGGAGCTAGGTGTCAGTTGATGACCCCTTATGCTGTGGGTCAGGTCAATTAAGGCACGCACAGTGTTGTAATAATTAAATGCGGAACTGGAGGAGGTCCAGATAATGTTGCGGCTGTGGATGGGATTGGTTGATCGCTGATTACTACATGAGGTACTGCCGTCAAATTGAAGGGTTGGAAGGTCATTTCGCTGAGAGAGGCGCACCCTGAGGAGAGAGTGAAAATTTCAACCACTTCACAACGCAATTGAACAAAGTCCATTGGACTACGGTCTCTACAGTTTACACTTTAGCTGACTTGCAAACCTCAAGAAGGGGAAAAGAGCGGAGAAGTCCTTCTCCAAGCCTGACGACATTGCGTCTCCGGTCGTGAAAGGACACACACCAGTTGAGAGGAATGTCTCCAGCCAGCATGGAGACGCACTAGGTGGCGACAAATGTTAATTAGCCGGCGTGCAATCAACTGGCTCATTCAAACACTCAGCACGCTTCCACAGAAAGGAAATTCAAGTACAGATCATCCCAAAGGAATTTTGCATTCTTAGATAACAAAATGAAAACCTCCCTGTCCACAAAACAAGAAGTTTATGCAAAAAGATTATTTATCCGGTGAACTAGGTAATAAATAGTTTGTTTAAATCGTGCCGGAGTTAAATGAGCAAGTGTTTAAACCATACATTCTAGTTGAAAAAAAAGGGGCAAATTCAATGTCAAATAGAGCCTCCCCTTTTGGTCTTTTCTTTAAAAAAGAAGAAAAGGAAAGGAGAAAGAAAAACTTGGAGTGTAGAGGTCTTCTTGTGCCTCGTTAATTTAGTGCAATAGTCACTCAAGCTGAAAGTTCCACCGCCGTTACGCATGCGTTAGCAGGCTGCGGTTAAGAGAGGAGGAAAGAAAAAAAAGAGAATGGAAATACGTGAAAAAATCGTCTTGTCACTTTGATTAGAAGAAATAAAAGTGTACTTTTCTTTCTACCATTTCGAAAAAGGGTCACCTGTAACGCCTGAGTGTCGACGCTATTATCCTGCTAGAGCGGTAAAAAGCCGGCCATTGCTTTATCATTCCGTCCATCTCTCTCGACATCTGCCAACCCATCTATCCATCCGTCCACGCAAGTCATTCCATCTATCCACTCCGTGTCCATCCAACCATCCATCCATTCATTCACCCATCCATCGACCCATTCACCCATCCATTCATTCACCCATTCACCCATCCATCCATCCATCCATCCACCCATTCACCCATCCATCCATTCATTCACCCATCTATCCATTTGTCCATCCATCCATCCATTCTGTATCCACCCACCCATCCAGCCTGCATCGATCAATCCACTTACCAGTCCGTTTATCTTGCCATCACTCTATCTACCCACTTGCCTCTCTATTCGTCTATCTGTCAAATCACCTTCTGCCTGCAGTCTAAGAGCCATCGCAAAGTCTTTCGTTCACCTCATCGAGCGGTGTTTAAGTAAACGACCGAACAAGGCAACCAACTTTTTCAGTCCATCAAAGACGGCTTTGTAATTAAATACTTTAACAATACAAGGGCAGAGTGAGGAAACACTTCTTCCTTATCCCTTTGAATAAAAAAGTGGTAGAGTCAGGGTGGAGGGCCAGGCAGAGGCGGAGGAGAAAAGGTTGATATTTTGGTCAACTTTACCCTCAACTAGCCATCGCATCCCTTTTTACTTAGCTGACTTCCCCAAACTAAGGAGGAGTGTCACTCATATCGGAGGATAATTAACACCTCCGCCTAACACAGTTAATTTGTGTTGCTACGGCAACTTTTGTTTAATAAAATAACCCTTCAGATCGGCTGCCGTAACACATAAACCCTGTTAAATTTAAGGTGCTTCTCTCTTCTCCACCTTTTGAATTTCTCCCTTTTTCCTAGCGCGAGAGCTTCGGCTGATCTTGGATCCGCAAGAACACGAGTACCTTCTACCCAATGAGGCAGTGGTCGGCTTCTACCTCTCAGTGGACAATAGCCACGACCAGGCCATATCATCTCGAATGGGTTTGAAGCAGTACGAACGATCCATTGATATACTTCAACCACCGTCAGAAGGCGATGAACTGTTTGTGGGCTCCCAGTTCCAGACCTTCATCCAAGTCGGCTTCTCCGATGCTGTAGGTTGGAGGCGGCCTTAGATTTGTCCATTGTTCCTTCATTTTTTTTCTTGAAGAGACACTTCCATTGTACTGCTTTGGAGGGAAGTACTTATGGTGATTGGACTTCTAGTCCCATTTTCTTGTTCGACGTTCTGATCTACGGATGGTGTGCTTTTAAATGGCTGGAGGAAGATAAGGGTGAAGATTAAAACAAATTGGAGGTTTATTTTACCTTTTACCTTTTAAAGATTTGTACGTCATTCAGGATCAAGGAGGGAAAGCGGGAGGGATGGGGGGCACTAATTTACCTCACCTCCACCTCCGTTCCCCCAGGTGATGATTATCTCTCGTGTTGGTACGTACATTGCCATGGTAAGGTGAAGCAGACAGTTGGACAGTAAACTAGAGATACAAAGGGAGGTGAGGTGGGGGGAGAGGAGAGGAGAGACGGCTAGAGGTGGGCTTGGCAGCTTGCTTGTGGAGACAAGGTGCTTTACAACAGCCTTCCTCCCCAAGACCGCGTCTCTTGGATGGGGAAGGAATTGCAAATCATAGATTGAAGTAATGATTATGCAAAGAAAATAACATTTTTTCTCTATTACAACCACAAACCATTGAATCATTATTACTAAAAAATGAAAGTTTTTCCCATTTTCTTCTCTTCTTTAGCCAATCCTACCTCCCAGCTCTCTATCATCAAATTCCAAAGGTACGATTTAAGTAGTATATTTCCCACTGTTTTTTGAAGACAAGGAGGGCGTCAATTAAATCTGCTACTTCCTGCATTCAGCTCATTCCATCCGCTCGGTGATACGCTCGGTGGTACAGGTTGCCAAGCCAGTGTTCAGTTCCAACCTCCTTCAATTACGGGAGCCAATCACATTCCGAGGCACCTCCAGGATGACAAAGGCTCGACTAGTTCAACAGTGGGCCTACCTACGACATGAAAATACCTCAACTATTGTGGTTATTGAAAATCTGGCCCTCCGATTGGGTAACCTCAAGAAGGACTTCGATAGAATGCTTCAGAGTCTAGCGGAATTGAGAGCAGCACAGCACATGACCTCTACGTTTGAGGTGGGTCAAGTGTCCAAAATTCACCATTCACTTTGAGAAAGAATTTAGTAGACCGAAAGGTCACGGTATGAGTCATTTTGGCCAAGTCAGTAAGTGAGAGGAAGTAAAGATATCGTGGATGCGCTTGTCGACTAGTCTTCCGCGGGGTTTCAAGTCGATGCGTCTAGGGATTGCGTGGTCATGAAAGCTCCTGACCACTCGCTCCTGGATTAATCAGGCTGATTTCCCGATCCAGACACTAACAACTACCTCAAATCTCCGGAAATAGACATGGCATGACATGACGTAATGCAAATGATTAACCCTAAGCTCAGCTTTCCTGTCGCCAAGAGGCAGATTCAGACAGTCTCGGGTTTAATATAAAAATTTTTAGAACCTGTAGAGCCAAAAACAAAATTTCTAGGACCCAAAAATAGTTTAAAAAAATGCCACGACGTTTCATTGTCTTCCCTCTTGTAAAATAAAAAGCCTCTTTTCTGTGGTAGAGGGGAGAGAGGAGTAGGAATCGCAACTTCTTTTGCCTTTCTTTTCTTCCCCTCAAATAAAGTGGGGCTCGCGGAGGAGAGGCCATGTACCCGCTTTTCCTCCTAGCTACCCAACACATACCAAGGGGTGATGGCTTAGGGGGAAGGGAAAAAATAATGTGACATGACGTGACATGTTTGACGTGGCATTTGTACTCGGTTTTGGCAAGTGCCCTGGTGCATTGACCAACTGACAGGGGGCTGAGATAGCTGCCACCGCTACCAATTTGCCTTGATCTTAATGAACGTGTCGCACATACTACTGAAATAGCAAGCTGCTTATATATTACTTGTAACCTTTGACCCGAAATGGGGGGAACGTGGAGATTGAATTAGTCGAAATCACCGTGTCATTGTCCGTTGGCTTTCAGTAGAGCCGAGACAGGCACACGCGAACCCCCAAGAGGTGATTTAAGGGGGTAGGGAGGGAAAGACGGTGGAAGGCAGAACCATGGCAATAAAGCATTTTGATAGTCACATTTTTTGATTAAAAGAAAAGACGACTAGTCTACCACTATGGCAACCATGAGTTTGAACCCTCCGTAGCAAAAAAGGGCGGTTCAAATGACGACAGGAGTTCCAAAATCTCTCTCCTAATTAAGTAGAGCCATCTGTGGTATTTAAATTTGAGTGTACCTATTTTATTGTTCAAAAAGGCAAAAAATGAAGCTTTGGAGGAGATTTATTACTTTAATGTTGCTATTGGAAACCAACTAATTTGGAGCGCATAATTTTTTTTGCTTGGAAACGTTGAAAATGCTACGAACTCCTCCCAACTGCATATACTATTTATATCAAATGCGCTGTGTATTTTGATACAAGAAAATAATTATTAATTGGAGGTCTTCACTAGACGATCCAGAAATTTCGACCTAATTTCGTCCACTAAGACGTGGAAGAGAGAGTTAGAGAGCTGGAGAGAGATAGAGACGAAAGGAGGGAGGGCAAAATCAAGCAGCAAAACACAACGGCCCTGTCGGTGCTGACCTCGCTTGTCGGTCAGTTGGGTGTCGGTTAGACCGAGGTAAGGCTTACAGCAGCACCTACCACTAAGGTGTTTGGTGGTGAAGGCGATGTCACTCCCGCATACGACTCCTCCTACCTACTTCAATACGGAATTATTCTATAATGCCGTTGGGTGGAGATTTGGGTGCCCTTGTGGGTGAAAGCGCATATAAACAAACAACACATCACTCTAAGCTCCCCTCTCACCCCATACCCCCATTTAAGTGCTGTTCCCGCCGTTCTTTGTGGCAGTTCTCCTGCTCTAGCCGTAATGGTAGTCTGGGTAACAGAATCTAAGTTGCCACTTAGTAACGATAGTGCAGACGAGCAGATCGCAGAGGTTAAAGGCCATGCCTTTGGCTAGGAGCGGAGCCTGTGCTCTTTGCCACTTCAAATTTTACCTTCTTACAGCCTTCAAAGTGGGACTACGTGGAGACGTGTCTCTCCCCAACTGGCATAGCCTTGAATACAATCGTCAACTTTACTGACGGTTTCCACGACCACCTCTGTAGCCTGCTGGATTCCAGTGACCAGGACTCCTTCCTAATCCGCAACATTCACTGTGACGCTGAGCTAACACAATTGCAGCCTCCATCTTCCACCTTGGAGACGGGTTCTACTCTCCAACTCTCTGTAGTACAGATGCTCTTCTCTCGACCTCACACCACGAACCAACATATCATCCAACTCCTCCGAAGACAAGTCAGCTTTCTTTCCATCGTGAATCAGGAGTTGCAGCAACACCATACAGCTGGCAACATGAATGGTGTTGAACTGTTGGAGTGCACGCGATGTGAGCGTCTAGGAGGTGGCGGCATTGATGTTAGAGCTTCCATGAGTTGTCACCGCATGGATCGAAAAGCCAAAGTTAATATGACGCAGCATTGGGAGCTCTTCAAGAAGTTCAATCAGGCAATTGCAGCGTGTACACAACGACTGGATGCCCTGAATAAGGACTTGGAGGCCACCACGATGGCAAACTTGAAGCACATCCGGGCTTTTGTAAGAGGCGTAGGAAACGATGCAACAGAGATGGGATCGGCTACACATGGGTAAGTCAAATATCATCGTAATGTCCCCTCCCAAGACGGTAAGTGACCTCCACTAGTTTTGTGTGCCATGTCATTAACGAGAGACGGTGGCAAATTGTCCTCCATCACTTCCGTGGGAAACACGAAACTCCGCCGCATATTTTGCCTCATTTACTGATGAAAGAGGGCTTTTTTGCAGTCAAACAATACTCTCCTGTGATACGCATCACTTCATCTCCACCAGACCATATCAACTTTTGTGTGGAGCTCTGTGCTGGGGTAACTGTTCCCTAGGAAGTGCTCACCTCTTAAAGGTCAAATGGCAACCGCGGATCCTGATCGAATGCTACTTTGCCAGGACAACTGGAAATTGCTAATCAAATGGAATTAGGTCCTAACTACTCCTAAGAGGGAGCCTATACAGACGGATGGGTGCCACTGCATTGACAGTTGTCAAGGCTCCCAATAGAGGCTCCGTTCGCCGACACAAGGTTATGCAGTGTCGCGTGGCTGGGGTGGTTTTTTACTGGCAGACCGTTTATTGCGTTAAAAGTCATTTAAGCTGTTGCTAGGACGTGACACTTTGATTGTCGGTGGTCAGTAGCCCTCTTACGGACGCTTGAATCCACTGATCGGGGCCATTTTTGACTATTCGCTTTTCGGGAGGCATGAATCGCCTGGGCCTTGACAATTATATCACTTCTCACTTAAGGGTGAAAAAAAAGCAATCCCGCTGCTTTCCCACACCCTCTCAATAAATCTGACATTTCCGAGATAATCTTCCCCTCTTTAAGCTAGTAGAAGTAGCGCTTGACGTGTAATCAAACTGACAACCCTCAATTAAGGAAATTTTTCCTCTTTTAATAACAAAGTAGAATACGCAGATCTTGTAGAAGAGTCAAATACAAATAAAATTCATTTACTGTCTCTTTAAGGTGTTAAATTTCACTCGCCTTAGGTAGTAAGCCCTTGGAAGGGAAATAGGGGTGAGAAAGGGCGGAGGGGTGGAGGAGGGTGGGAGTTAAAGCCCATATCAATGAGTATCAGCTCGTTTCATTACATACAGACGCACGTATACACCCCGACGTGGTCTTCGCGCACCGCATAGGGGAGAAGGACTCTTACATTTCTGTGCCCTTATCTGTATTCCATTATCTGTTTACACCTTTTGTGGTCGCCTAACTTTCTGGTAACTTGTGAGGGCAGTACCTAAAGCGGATGTATTTTTTCTCTTCCTCGGTGAAATTTAATCCATTTGGTTTTATTACAAGCAGCGGAGGACCAATGCGTTGGCCAGTGCTCATGCCCTCGGAGCTGCGACTGTATGTGTGTCTCAGGGGATCGAAATAATCCACACAATAACCCACTCAAATGACAGCCATACTAGTTAACCTTGCACATAGTGCTAATATGCCCTTAAAAGTAGCAAGGACCAACTATAATTAAGGTAAGCTCGATTCTGTGCCGCTTTACGCTATACCCCGAAAAAATCGATAAATTCGCTGGACCACCGAGGAAACCGACTGTAGTAAATCCACTTCCGAAGCAATTGAGGAGGTGCATTTCCTGCAGCCTGGAATTGGGGAAGAATTAGTCATGTGCATGGAGGCAACATTTCTTTAAATTTAAGTTTGTTATTCTCTTTCCCCTTTACCAACAATGTTGGGCATTTTTAGTTGCTATCGCACTACTGCAAGGAGTGTATTTTAAACAGTGGGTGTAATGCTCCCTTGCATTGGACTGCTTTTAAGCACCTCTCCTTCATACCGGCAGGTGAAAAAATATAATCTATTAAAAGGTCAATGAAACGTTCCCCTTTTCTTTAAATTTTTTCCTAGCGTTATTTCTAGCATTGCCCAGTTATCAGTATTATCGAGGTTGATGTTAAAATTTGTCGAGATCGCGCCTTTTTTAATGTATTATTCATGATTCCATAAAAGTGCCTTAACAGACAAGTTCCGTGGAGGGAGAGAGGGATGAGGAGGTGCTCGAGGCGGCGCAATAATGCAGTGTCGCTTTTAATGAGACTTTTAGCTACGCGGCTTCCCCAAACCTGCCCGATTCGACCGACACCTTGTCGCTGATGGCGAAGCCAAGGGATCGGAGGGGTCCAAGTACCTTTCGATTTAACTTAGAGATATACTTTTGAGGTGAAGATGTACTTCAGATTCCCGGTACGTCTGAACTAACCTGATGGGTGGGATTTGAAGTCGACTAATCCGTGTATATAAGCTTAAGCCCAAAGCTGTTGAATTATATCTGCGGCAGCAGAAAGGCCGTAAATGTCGGAACAATTCGACTGTATTTACATCAACGAGGAAGGAAAGTCACTGCGGAAACTAAGCCGCTACACTGTTCTTCACTCAGTAAAAAGGAGGCGGGATTTGATGTGAGACTACCGTTCCATTTCTACCGTTTGTTGAGCGCACGATCCAGATATTACCGGGCACACCTAAGACCTCGCAGAAGAACAAAAGATAGCTTTATGTGTACGTGCGACCAGAAATGCTCACCATTAACTCCTTGCTGATGACAAAGCATTTGCAGGTAAGATATTTTGGACAGAATACCTGCAGTCAGAAGCAGTCGGTAGGGTGGAGAACGAGGGATACCGCCTCATTTGTGTCCTCCGTACCCTCCCTCAGGTGATGATTATCTCTGTATTTTGACATTCGACATACTGACTAGACGTGGGCAGGAGATTGGACGATTAGGAAGTGAAAATGAGATAGGAATGGATTTAGCCATCCTGTTTTTTCCTATCAACTACACTTATTTTTATTACAGAAAAGCTTAAAAATATTTTCTTTTTTGGTTTTGTTTTAAACTCTTATTACATCCCTGATCCACCGGAAGACACTATTGGGACTACAGGTCTGAAAACAGGAGCATCTCATGCGTACCGAAAGGCGGAAAGACCAGCGGTGTAGATTACCAAGTCATCATTAGGGCCAGGAAAATGCATTCATCTTGGAGTAATGTCATCCTCTTCCTCTCTTGCTCCCCTCCTACTTTGAGCGTGGTCCCACTGCTTCAACTAATGCGGCCAGAAGCCTTTTTGGTTCCCATTTTTGACTTTACTGCTGTCAAAATGTAGAAGTACTACAGATCAGAGGGGAGTTTTTCAGTGCGTGCCTCCAAGGGCGCTGTACAGCGCAAAACTCAGAAGTAGTCGACCTACAGACTCACAGGTTGGTGGTAAGATTAGTTAAGGGCGGATTTTGAAGATTCTAAAGCTCACCCAAGCCTTATAAGAAGAAAGAGCTTGCTTTGGCCTGTTACAGAGTATATGCAGCCTAAACATCTACGAGGTTTTTTCAACAAATGCGGCAGGATTTTCCCATAAAATGGGTCGTCTAAAACTTCTACCTAATTGACTAGCTAACTTTCAAAATGTTTTTCATTATTATGGACACAGCAGAGGGTGACATTAGTGCCCATTTAATACCCCGATTCAAATGCATTTGCTTTTCAGAAGTGCTAAAGTCACGTAGCCATTTACCCCTTAGAGGAATAGGGGACCTTTCCGAAAAGTACACTTTTTAGCTAAGGTGAAGTATTAATTTTGCTAAAGTCGACATTTCGCCGGGCAGTAATCAGGATAATGTAATTGTAAGTTTCGGTTAAGGTTAAGCCTCTGTACTGATAAGAATTGTGGGTTGTAACATATTAATGGTTAACAAAATAGAAAAGTTTTGGGTATGCTTCCCCTCAACGACCGCTAGAGTAGTGAAAACTGTGCTTGTACTTTCCAAAAGCGAGCTCTGCTAAGCTTATATAAACAGAAAATCCTATTCTAGTGAATACTTTTAGACATTTGGCACACAAAGTTGTTAAATTTTTTAAAGACACTTTAACGAATGAAATTCTCGAAAAATTTTCATCTGCGCCCATATGTACATTAATTGTGCCAACCTAGCCTACGATCATTAGTAATGATTTTCCTGTTTGAAAGGGATTTGAATTGCCTTCTAATTCTCCGCATCAAATCGACTACTTGAATTTAATGTGTTTATATGACAGACGCAATCAGTGGTGCGATTCAGTCGTTAATCCCATCAGGTTACGCGGCATTTCAACATTTGTTAGTATCTATTGTTTTGTCAATCATAGGGCACGAAAGTTTGTCTAGTAACCAGAGTAACTGAGTTTTTGGTGGTAAAAAATATACCCATCTTTTTTACGCATTGTGCGACTAATGCGGCTGAAACACAGGCAGTCGTTGCGGTGGAAGTGGCGATGGCGCGACAAAATTCTCCTTCTTCACTTCAACATTAAATTATGCATAAAATTCTCATTTGGTAGCCATTTCCGCTCTCTGTAATTTGATTTATGCTTCACTCTTAATAAGCTATCCCTCCTAGAAGGCAGGAGTCACGATAAATATCTAACGAAGGAAATTTGAAGGTGGAAAACAGCAGGATTAGTTTGGAAGAAGAGAAAAAGGAATGCAGTTAATGCTTTTATTTACTATCGTAAGGACAGGATTACGAAGCTGTTGGTAGTATTTTTGACCTTAAAGATCGACTCCACCACTTTTAGGCCACAAGGGGGCCTTGGGGGATCTCTCGGGGTCCCGCCAAACAGAGTGCCTCTGCAAGTGTTCAAGAAAATGGGGGGTGAGGGTGCTAGAGGGATCAAAAAAGCTTCGTTGATGCTAGAGTTTGCATTGGAAATGCGCGGAAACATGCTTCGTTCGACAAGTACGCCTATTGGCTCAACGCGAACTGTCGCAATGACCCCGAAGAAAATTTCCTTATTGCCTTTAAAAAACTAATAAGCCGCACCAAATTCTTTAACAAAACCTTTTTTAAAGCGAAGAGATGTATATTTCTGGAATTCATTTATCCTCTATCTTGGCGCGAGAACTGATAGTTGAGTAGAGTCCAAGGTTTAGAAAAACAACAGGACGGTGCATTTTTAAATTTTCCAGTTAATTTACCCTGACAATTGGATGCACATTTTAAACTTCCGCTGTCCCATTTTCATACATCGATTTAAGAGAATTTGGTTTTTTTTTCTCAAATTCACATTCAGGCCAAAAATAACTCTTTCGACGTAAAAAAAAGCTGTTTTTTAAGTAATGCAGAGTCCGAATGAGATTTTATAACATGCAAAGGACAGATAATCTGTCAACGAGGATGTCCTCAAAGAAAGGTCCTCTGAACTCGCGGCGACTTATAGAAGATAGGCCTAGTTGAACGGACAGCTTTATTTTTCGTTTCGCCCCCTCTTTCCGTGGTAACGTCTCCGCGGTGGCTGCAGTAAAACCACTCGCATGACAGAAGCCAAGTTTTTATGCCTCAATCTTTCATCAAGATAAGTCACTGAAGCCTTTCATGGTCGCCCTTGGCCATCCCCACCATAAGTACCACTTTGTGGGTGACCACGGCGGCTACAGGGCTCCATAACGGGAGCATTTTTGCCTTGTCATTTGATAAAATATGGAGTCGCGGCTCTTTTGAAGCTCATCCGTCCGTTTGGGGAGTCTGTCCAGTTACTGGGATGGCTAGAGAAGTAAAATTCTAGCTGCCGTCCTTCACTTCGTTAATTGCATCTTCTTGCAGCACATGCGTTTGGGGTCTGTAAAAAGGAGCTTCTGATATGCCTGTCTACTCTCTCACTCCCTCTGGAGCAAATTCTGCTTCTTATTTGTTTGCAGCAGATCCGCCTACCGCTGTCACCCATGCAGCACAGCTGTCAGTATCATAGCTGGTGGCGAGGCAGTACAATTTACCAAGCCCAGTAACCAGTCCGTAGTGGATACGGGCGTGATCTGAAAATCCAGTGTGACTATGTCTGTGTGGGATGAAAATGGCGAGTGTTTAAAGACTTCATTTAAGCAAAGCAAGTCCAAGCAACGTCTATTTAATCATTTCGCCTCATTTTTTCCCTGCAATCGGGAATAAATGAGGAAGTGATGTAGAAGATTCTACTGATAAGGAGGGAGAGAGAGAGAGGAAAGAAGCATTAAGTGGTTGTACAAGTCCACATCCTCGTGATCACTGTCACCTCTGCCCTTTGATGCTCCTTGGAAAAAAGTGTGATACAACTTTTGGGTTAAAAGGCATTACCCTTAATGGCAGTGGCTGTGGCGTGGAGGCCAGTTAATGGATCGCGGTGATTACTTTAAATTTTAACATCCGGACTTCCGCTATTTCATTTCTGCTGGTAGTTGTTGGATGGATTTAACTACACCTTTGATCAGTTGATAAGCGCAGTTGAGTTAGAGTCATCACTCCATGTATAGTAAAGTTTTTTTAATGAATTTACAAATTCATTTTGTGAAGATTAACTCATCGGAGAAGTGACTTAGTAATAACCAACTTTTTTTGGACAATAGGCTTGTGCTCAGGTCAAACCGGGACCCGCGTGATTACGCGGAATTAGTGGTACACTTCTGGGATTCTCTTCAACTTTCTAATGTATTTCTGGAAGCCTTAAGCATCGAAAAAATCTGGCCTCCAACCATCAAAAAATCATTTACTTTTGTTTTTATAGAAGGCTGGCATCACTAGCTCCAACTTAAGGTGCCCTTAATGATTCCCAAGGCCAACCGGTTACTATGACTACGCGTGACTAAGACAGCCAAGTGACTCGGACTAAGGTGGTATTCGGTAGCTAGGCCTCAGGCTCCCGATGGCCATCATGCCGACTCAGATGCGTCAGTACTGAAGCGAAAAGCGGGTTAGGAATACAATAGGATCCAGGCCACTTCAAGCCTTGTAGCGTAGGCTATCCACGCCTGTAGAATGGATCAGGCTTGTTCACTAATGGCGTTCCTGCCCCCTGGACCAAAACTCCTGGCCATGGTTTGGGGGTAGGTGCATTCCCCTTGGGTGATTTATGAATGGCCATCTCGGATTACTGCTTATAAGCTCAAGCAGTCTATCCTAGGCTGGTTCAATAGAAGGTAATGGAGATGTAAAAAGTGTGTAGAAAAGTGCGAGCCAAAAATTTGTTCTTACCATCGGTAAACTTGAAAGTTCCGGCTAAGCATGAATGGGGCTTTCGTAGATACATAATAGGAGCTAACTATCTTCCTCCATGTTTTTACCCAATTCCTTCAATGACATCATCTAAAAGACCGCATTAGCGAAAGTCCAGACCCCTTTATTTTCTTCCCTCTGCAGCTCTCTACCTCAAAGGGAATTATGTTAGCCTCTGAATTCGATGATTTGAAGACTTTTAGCACGTCAGAGCATTCTTATCATGTAGCTTAAACTCATTATTACGTTATTAAGAATGAGAGAAGGGTATTCTTTATTCTCTTGAAAAAGTCAGAGCAGTGGAATTTTAAAGAGCGGACCCTCCTCAGAATGATTAACTCACATTGAAATGCCTGCCATTCTCTCCCTCTCTCTCCTTCTTTGAAACCAAGATTGGACCACCAATGAGTACAACTTTGACCGAAAATAGCAAATCTCTCTCCTTTTACTTCAAACCTCCCAAAATGTGGACAAAAATTTAACCTCAATTAAATTTGAGAGAAATAAATGGATTCTTTTGGATTTGGGAACAAGACATTTAACAATTTTTGCATCAGTGATATTATAAATTCTGTTAGTTACATATTCTAAAAAAATAATAAATTTCAGCACTTTCTTTGCTTATTTTACGTCTGTATGGCTTTCCGCTTTCGGTGTGGAAAATCGATAACTGTCGCATCCGTCCGCCACCGCCCACCGCGTCTCCCGAAGGCAGTTCACTGGTCAAGTGAGCCACCAGTGAGGTATAACGCCACAAAATTCGATCGGATCTTCATGAAAGGGGAGGGGGGAGTTAAGGGAATTACGGGCAACTGTATGCTCTACGAGTTCCCTTAATGCATGCTCCCAATTTGTTCGTTGAAGGAGGAGGAGGAGGAGGGGTTTTGCATTTCCGTGCTCTCTTAATGTGCTTTGCCTCTCTCTCTCTCTCTCACTCCCTCTTCCGGAGAAGGCTTTTCAAAAGCGTCACAAAAACTGTCAAACCGACACATGAGCTCTTTCGTCTTCTTCTCCTCAGGAGAAAATGAACTTGCTTAAAAGTGTGTCATGTGCTCTTCCTTGGCTTATAGCTAACCGAGTCGTACATTTAATTTAGCTAGCTCCAGCCTCCGCCAGGTTGATTTTGATAGATGCAAGTTAAATGAAAGCGCAACCCAACTGCTTAATTCTTCCTATAACAAGCTAAAAACTGATTCCACTTTAGGCTAGTTTCTCTGCGCATCAAGGTGAACACGGAGGAGCGACCTGTGAGGACAGAATTGGTCGCCTTTGATGCCATTAATTCACCGATTTGTAAGTCCATCTATATTTCAGTCAACTTTATTTTCTTACCATTTTTATCTACACAAATCGACACAGCTGAACAGTGAGGGAAGGGGGGCTTGAGGGATGTATCCTTGCTCCGGCTACAGACCGCCGCGTGCAAAACCAACAACTTTTATACAATTTGTGCTGGAAACAAAAGACCCATTGTTCTGGTACAGAGGATAATGGAGTACTTTTTATTGCAAAGATGTGCATTAAAAAGGTTTATAGGGCCAGTAAATTTTCAAGCATTGCAGTCCACGTGGCACTTACGACTACGTGCCAGTCTGAATGCGTGGGTCAGGGGGGCTAGGGGTTATGTCTTCTAAATTGAGGTCAGGCGAAGTTACATAAAGTGGAGTCGAAGCAACAAAGTAGGACGAAGGGGAGTCACATAAATTTAAATAGGGCCTTCTGAAAAAATGGAACAATCGGGAATAGGTAGTTTGGATCCAAATGCATTTCCATAAGGAAAATTGGAAACTATCATTCGCCCCGGAGATTAGAATCACTGAGTGGTCAGAATACATTGGGCTACCTTAAAATAGGCGTCTTTATACTCCAACGGTGTAATTGAAGACCAAAACTGGAGCGCAACTGAATTTAGCCCAAGTAACGGCTTGTCAAGTAAAAAGCTGATCCTGTTTGTCAGTTCTCCCGCTTTATACACCCTGAGGCAAACCATTTTAAATAAATTGACACAAAGAAGCATAAAATCCTGACTTTTATTCGAAGAGACATCCGGGCACCTGGAATCTACTTCATAACCTTCGGAAGAATTGCCACTTTATTTGTAAAAATTTGCAAATTGCTGCGTTTCAACGAAATGTCGATGAGAATTCTTGTAGGTAGTTTCCTCCCAACGCTTCCGAGAAAGGATATAATTACTTGACCATCTTCATCACTTATTCAGTAAACTGCTAGGAATATTTTCTTGCTTTCCACTAGCAATTCTAGATTTGACAGACGCTATGCCTTAAAGAAGCACCGAATTCTGTCCAAAACTGCAGACGATGCAGAACCGAACGCCTACTTAAAACATGTCAGTAGTGCCGAACCGAACCGTTGACGTTTTTCTTTAATTCTTTCAGCCGAATTTCTGGGCATCTTAACCAGCGGTATTGCAGGAGTGCTCGCCCTAATCACTCTATGGAGGGTCCTAGAAGTTAGGAGAATCTTTTCGCTACGAGATCTTGCGTGAGTCCTTTGCCAACTTTTAATCGACAAGACCCCCGTAGTGGTGGCGACTGGAAATACCGCCGAGATGAAAGGCACCTCAGCGAAGGCTGCCAATTGCGTCAGAGGCACTCCACCTGTCAGCTGAAAAGATCGCATTGAGAATGGTGTGAAGTGACTGTTCCTTTTAAGGAAACCGATAAAGGAGTCCCTGGAAGGTAGGCACCTAGGCGCGATGTTTCACCTAGTCCACGCCCTTCATAACCGACACCGAATTTTGATGAGACAGTCACGACAACGCCTCTGACGTTGAAAACGAAAGCACTGACTCATCGCAGCCTCAAAGGCGGTGGCACGACCACAGAGCATGCACAATACAGCCACACAGGCACCATACTGCTAGAAGCTTTCTTCCTTTCTTTTAGCGAACAAGTCCCCACCGATGGCCTCACTAATGAGATGGAACCAACTGTGAACTACTTCAAAGCCCCCTCCATTACAGCGTGAAGCAAAAAAAGGAAAAGAAGAAAAACCCTACAGCCCTGTACATATTGACAAAAATCCCACCTCCTCCTACTGCCCCTTGTCTAGTCTAGATTAATATTGTCCTTTTGATACGTGTAAATGGAAAGAGACAAAGAAGGTGTGCTATACAACGCACATCAACTTTTTCCGGGTGGATAAAACCAAACAAGTCAGATGAGTAGTGGCTATGGCAGTTCAACAAGCAACCGCCAGCCCGTCATTGCTCTAACCTCGGGTTTTCGGATTACCAAAAGGGCGGATCGATTTCCGTCCGTGCTGGAGGAGTGCGTCTCCGGAGAGGAGTAAAAGAACTCCACTTCTCGCCTTTGACTCGGCTCCGAGGCGGTTGTCACGATCACTCGCCTCGGTCTTGCCATCTGTGCGCCTAGCAAGACAATACGCTCGATATACGGTGTGCTGACATCGTTATGACCTTGAAGGAGGGTGAACTCGAATACGTAGGAGTGATTCTCTCGGAAGAAGTTCATTTGGTAGAGACGGGCCTGGCTTCGGTCCAGTGAATGGAAATCGTCGAGATAGAGGTAGCCAGTAGCGTCAGGCCTCTCGGTAGATTGGTCTAGAGCCACGACAATGGTGTAGGGATCGTTGAGCATCATGGCGGAGGAGCGTCGTGGACGAGCCTTCTTGGGAATGATGTAGCCACCACGGTAGAAAAGGGGAATAGTTCGCAGATCCACTGGTATTTTCACCACTTGACCGCCAGAATAGACCTGCAGGGAGAGATGCAAGCGGCAGCATTAAAAAAACCACCAAATTCGTTACCACCGAGACGCACCCTCCAGTCATCATGCAGGTACCACGTGCCCTCAGGCAGGTAGACGTCTACACTGGAGGCGCCCTCCTGCACCACAGGATGGACGAGGAGGCCCTCACCCACCATGAAGGCGTCGTCAATGCTGAAGCTGTTCTCGTCAGTAGGGAAGTAGTAAAAGAGTGGCGCCATTGGGAGCAGGGAGGTAACTTCGCTGCGGGCGAAGAGGGTGTACCAATAGGGCAGCAGGGAGTAGCGCAGTCGCAGAGCCTCCCTGTGTGTGGAGGGAAATTGCAGGAATGTGAAGCGAATAAAGTAGAGACAGAAATAAAAACGAAGCCCAAAACAGCGAGCCGATGCAGTTTTCCATCTAAACCAACAACAGAAGCTAAAAGCGGGGTTCTACCACTATTGGATACAGGTCGGAAAGGTGGACATCAACATGGCACAGAATAAAAAGGTGCAGCCCTACCGAATGGGATCGAGGTACTTCTCTTCATAGTTCCACGGCTCACGTTTCGGTGTATCGATGTGGGCGTGGGATCGCAAGAAGGGATGGAAAGCGGCGGCCTGGTACCATCGTGTGTACAGCTCGCCAGAGGGATGACCAAAAAAGCCACCAACGTCGGCGCCACAAAAGGTGAGGCCCGCTAACGACATACTCAATAGCATTGGTGTGCAGATCTGAAAAAAGGGGTGGGGAGAAAAAAAAACGAAAGAAGCAAGATGAGTCAGTAAATTTTCTTTACCACATCGTAGTGTCATGAGGGTCCACTTGTTCCTATTAACGGTCAACCAGTCCCTCTGTACAGTTGTGATTAGCTTCTCCCTCCAGGAGCCTCAATAGCCTCAAAGCAGCTGGAAATACGAGCTATGTAAATGAGTTCAGACCTGATGTCCCTGGTTAACGAGGGGTTCAATGTCTGCTTGGTCATTTTTGCGCTATGGTCATCCTAAGGGGAAAAACATAGGTTTTCCAGAATGCAGTTAACACGAAGGGTCAAGACTTTTAGGGTTTACTATATGCAACTGGCGAAAAGATCGCCTAGAAGGGGAAACAGACCAATGAGAGGAATGCCTTTGCCATTGGCACGTAAGAGAATGTCAACACAAGCCGGAGAGGTTGAATAGTGAGTAAATGTTTGTAGGGCGCTGCTCGTGGCAACAACACCGCTGGTCTCTCAATTCCAACTTAATGGTGACAATGAATATGACGCCAGATTCGCAAACCTTAAACCCTTCCACGCAACTCCCAATGAAGACAATCAGGAAAGCTGATATGAATGATGAGTAGGTTAGTTCTGACTAACCTTGAGGTCAAATCTGTGAGGTAGGAGAATGAAACACCTTATTTATTGGACTTACCTGAAGGTGGTCCCATGATGCAGAATTGTCCCCAGTCCAAACAGCAGCGGTACGTTGAGAGCCAGCATAGAAGCCACGTGAGAGGACGAAAGGCCGCTCCTTGCGATTGGAGCGTCTCAAAAGCCCCTCCCACGTGGCGTTGTGCACCCAGAGCGAATAAAGGTTGTGCAGATCTCGGTTTTCCCACACTCCACCAAATACCGTGTCCTAGGCGGTAATGAGCGAACTGTCAGATGACGAAAAGGGAGGGTATTGTTCAGTCTCATGTGGTTCCCCATCCTTCGATAAACCTACCTCTAGACTTGTAAAACCTAGTGCAGCTTTGAAGACAGAAAGCACTAATGGAAGCAGTTATGTAATAGGACAATGCTGGAACCCCATTGTACGTCCTACAGTGCGGGCCTTTCCTGTGTTATCACTTTTTCCAGCTATTCTGCGCGATTACGAAAGGTACGCCTGAAGTGGCATGCCTTATCACGACTTTGGAGACGACTATGAGGTGGGAAGTGTAAGCATATCAATTGGAAAAGAGTATCAAAACCGTTGGGATAACAAAATATAGTCACAGAAGGAATGCATCTGCTGTGGATGGCTGAAAACACCCAATATAACCAACTTTAACTTGGCAATCACCCCGACCTCGCGTCGTGTAATCGTGTGTAAGGAAACGTGAACACATTGGACAAAATGCAAGTACTTCAATACGATACACTTCACTTGCACGGTAGAGGAAGCTGAAAACAGACAGCGGAAACACCAAAACAACATTGAGAAGGCAATGGGGTGGAAAGGGTTGAAAAAAGGTAGTTTCGTGAAACAACTTTACGGTTCACTCCTTAGCATAGGCTGGTGCAAGACCTCCCTATCTCTCACAGTAATGGAAATATGTGCAACGTTCCCTACATGACAGCTGAATCCAACTTACTCGGATACTATTGCAATTATCGACAGTGAAGAGTGATTACAGGGACCGAAGCGAATGGCGTTAAGAGTAAATTACCATTGCTATGGACCAACTCGGGTGCTATGTTAGTTTCATGGCATCCTGTCCATGCAATTTTCGCCTACAGTCGTCACTCTCAGGTGCTTTCATGTGATATAATCCCACTTATTGACTGGTGCGATTAATTGCGAGGGAATGTATTCACCTTTGGGATGGTAACCTCGGCCCCACTGAATACAGAAGGTTCATTCATATCATTCCAAGAGTAGAACATCCGGTCCTTGCTCAAAAATTCGCCACTGGTAAAAAGATTTGCCCACCAATCGACAACTTCTGGACGGTAGAAGTCCGGCCAATAGCTCGATCCCGGCCAACACCACCCATCAAAGTCGGTTTCGCTGTTCACCTTCTTCACAAAGAACCCCTCCGATCTGGCTTGCCTAAAATGGAAAAAATGACAGTTTATAAAAACAAAGGGATTAAAATCTGACTTACGAGCAAGTAGGCCAGGAATGATCAGCTTTAATATGAGGGTCCACAACCACAACGAGTTTGCGTCCACTGACACCCAAGTCGTCAACTATGTCATCGGGAGAGGGAAACCTCTCGGTGTTCCAAGTGAGGTAGCGCTTATCATTGGCATATTCAATATCCAACCAGAGAACGTCCATAGGCAGGTTATGCTTATTGTAGTCGTGGTTGATAGACTTCATCTCCTCTTGATCACGATAGTTCCAGCGACACTGGTGATGTGCTAGAGCGAAGAGAGGTGGCAGTGGAGTTGAACCTGTGAGTCCCGCATAGGCCCGTAGACCAGATTGAGGATTATCAGCGAGGATTATGAAAATGTCGAGGACACCAGTTTCAAACATCCAGCGCGTCTTAACGAGCGGATCAGGGTTCTTTGCCTTAGCGAATAGATTGGATAGTAAACCGCCAACGGAATTAACCTCTCTAGAGGATTCCACGTCGATCCAAGCTTCTGATGGGTTATCAATGAACACACCAATAGTACTGCTTGCTTTATGGGCCCACATTAGAGGGACAGATCCGTAGAGCGCCATGGGATTGTTTAATTCGTATTCAAATACATCCAAATTGTAGAGACGGTAGGGGTCGGTTTGGTTGGTGTTTCGCAGAGCTAAACTGTCTGCGTGCTCGGGAATACCGTAGACGTATTCGAATCCATGAAAGGTAAAATCAATTCCAACGGAGGTTGGACCATGTGGTCTTGAGTCTCGATGACCCTTAAAGGATTCTGACCAGTCGACTGGAACGCGCTCTGTGGGAGGTGGCTCTAATACCTTATTATTTTGTGCCATATCACTGTTATTAGACTCACTTCCGGTTCCATCCTCGGACGTTGAATCATTTGTTGCCTCGACAACGATGGGCCGTTCTTCAAATTGTTGTTCGAGTTGATGCTCAAAGTTGAGCAAATCTCGTTCATTAACCGTTACTTGATGAACGCCATTTGAGAAAAATGAAACCCTGAAAGGGCTAAGCCCAATAACAGCTCGGTCTCGGTATTCTCCAGAAAGAATGACTTCTGATCCCGTTCTGTGCACCTCCAACGGTAGAGTTTTCGGTTCTCTTACCAACGAATCACCGATTCTAGGATGAAAACGGGGGCGGATCGGATTAAATTCATCAAGAACCAGGCGGAAAGTGTGATCAGGATGGTAAGTGATATTCACATTGAGACGCTTTTGTGATTCGGAATCAATCACTTGAAATTGAACACTCTCGTCGACACGCAATTTTTCAATATCGACACTGTATTTTGGTGCAGATGGCCAAAATACCCTTTGACGTACGCAAAACGAACTCTCAGCACATGTTCTAAAGTTGCTTCGATCGACGCACAAGACTTCATCAATCAAGAGGATCAGCCATAAAAACCACATCTGCAAGCGACACAACGTAACACAACCCCCAAGCTTGTAGGTGCGTCAGCGATTGGTTAGAACATAGCCAATCAGAGAAGAAGTGATTTTAGTAAATTTTTAACTTAATAGATGCGTTTATTTTAATCTAAGCAGGGGTATCCCTTCTTGTTGTTAATTGCCTACAAGGGTCTATTTAAATTTTCAATTTGTTTTGACCAAAGATCACAAATGGGTCTTGCCTAAAGTAATGAATCTTCCGTATACGCAAGACCTGTACTTAATTTCATCGCCAAGTTTAAAAGCACACTGTCGTAGAGCTGCCCCAAAGAGCTAGACAGAGCATGCACATAAAGGTGGCCATGGAGTTTAACATTTCTCGAACGACTTTAGTCCTTCTTCAATATATGCTCTAACTCAATCAATTAATGTCTAGTTATGTCAACTCACTAACTCCTATTATGCTTTAAGTTTGTCTGTAGCCTGCCCATAATTCCCTAAATTTTCGTTTAACGGTTTGCCCATAAAAAACTGAATACTAATGTCTACTTCACTCACGATTGCGGCTTTAACGCCAATTTACATGTTCCTTTTATTTTCCTATAGAAGAGAAATTTTCGACTTTCTAATTCCTGGAGGTCCAAGCAAATTTTCAAATAAGGCGCGTTTCCAAAGATTTAGACTTTCTTATAATTAATCAGTTATCTTGAGTAGAACATGTTGTGCATTATTCAGTTTGTATTCAAATTTGTATGGGTGTGTTTGTTTGTGAGCGTGGGATTTGGTTATTAGTTTACAAAAACATTTCACCTAATATCTCCGTTTTTGGCTTGAAATGCTTTTCTCATTTTCTCTTCCTTAATGTTTTAGCTGATCGAAACATGTTACAAATTTGGTACTCATAATCATTTTCAGATTATACTCATAGTTTATGCTATCTTGTGGATACTTGTCTAGGAATTGCGAACTGTCGTTATTTTTTAGAAATTCAATTTATCGAGCCATGCTTGTACTTCCAGTCATTGTACAGATAATATGCTGATGTGCTTACATTTTATTTCAGTAGGAATGTCAAAATTACCCCGATCCAGTGCTTCGAGAAAAGCACAACCTCAATCTAACTGGATGTCCGCTGAACGCATAAACGGCAGAGTTCACTTGCCTCTCCTCCTGCCTAAACCACCCTCTTCTCACGTCTTGAATTCTGTAAGGCTCCTTGCATAAGACCAGTGGACTGAACACCATTGCTTATGAATATTCTTCCCTCTAGACCGTTGTTTCTGCCACTTCAAATGAGAGCGAGCAGGTCAATGAGATTAAACCGCGCTGTCGGGTCGTGAGAGGGAGGCGAAGAACCATAAGAACCAGTAGAAGCATCAAGCCTGTCATACTGGAGAACGGTACTGGGTCGCCGTCTGCCACTACGGAAGGTACCACTACCAACGGTGAAAACGGCTCTTCCTCCCGTGTCACAGAAATCGCTACCCAGCTGAGTGGCGCCGAATGCCAGGCCAACTACGAGGAGTTTGTACGGACCTTCGCTGTGCCAACGCACCTTTATCGCTATCTGGCTAACCGGCATCGTGCTAAACCTACCTATTTAACCCGAAATCTAAGATATATGCATCCGACAGGACGGAGTTGTGTTAGACGAAGGGGTGAGTGATTAGCCCGCTTACTGCTCTCTGATGATTCCCTTTAGCCTTATAAAGGCGTTTATTTTTTTTGTACAAAGAGACGCTTGAAGAAGTGGCTGCTCGACTTTCATCGGCGGAGACGATGCAATCGGCTGGTCTGTCGCGACCGAAGCGCTCAATTAAGCTGGGATCTAATGGTCCCTCTGCTGTCAGTAATGGTCTTTCTACGGAACACCAGTGGCCAGACGAGATTGAAATTATCATGGAGGGGTTTTCTGATAGCGAAAAGGAGAATGATTGGGTTACTGTAGAGGTGAGAATTGTGATCTGATGATTATTTATCTTATTTGTCCATTGACTTGAGATAGAGAGATTTAGTCATGCTGTTCGGCTGTGTAACCCAACCAAACCGGCAACAATGTCCTCTATCAAAACAGTCATCAGTATTTATGTTAAAAATCCATTTTAAAGTCTGAGTTACTGAAGTCATTCCCCATCCCTCTTAACTGGAAGGGTGTGCCTTCCAGATACGGTAGAGCGATGTTTTAACGTCTCTCGCATAATGTAGACTGATGGAATAAAAAATTAATTATTGTTATTTTCAGGCTTTGCTTTCCCATTAGAAATTGTGCAAGTATGGGGAAGAGGCATGATTGGTTATGCCTGTTTAATTCATATGGCTTGTTCACTCTAACAAGCCAAGTGCCTTTTGAAGTTTATGTATGCGTTATCACTGTGGTATTAAGTGGCTCCTCCAAAGGAAATGAAGCAGGTGGAAGCCCAAACTACCCTGCCAATATGTGCTTGATGTGGACATAAAGCTTACCTTTGAGTTGTGTGGGAAATGGTTGGTGCCTGTGACGGAGTCAGGACCCTTCGGATGTCTATTTGATTGCACTTACCATTACAAAGGTTGCAGAAATTAGGTTGAGATATAAGATTTGCAGGCGTGTTTTCTCGTCGATTTCTGCCTCTCCCTCCACCACATCTTTCACGGTCGATTTGGTCAGATCTCATTTGGCTTTTCAGGATGTTAAAGTTCGCGCTGTTTCCACTACACTATTTTTCATGTCCCTTATAAACCATTTAACAGTTCTGTACAGCATCTTCGCGTTCTTTGCGTGGAACTTTGTCGCTTTTGGTACGATTGAATCCCCTTAAAGTGAAGATGGCTCTTCAAGACATTATCATTTAGGCCCTTGATAAATCCCCAGTTTTATAGTAGATGGAATGCTATTTCGAAGTCGCTGTGCATTGTTAATGCGAATGCTGTGTATATGCTTAGGGAATCTAGAAAAAGCTTACTATTTTGTGTATTCACCAGGAACGCTCATGGGATTAGGTTTTCTTTGGAATTACTGAATTTTTTGATCTCTTTCTCTGAAGTGGATCATCTTGACAGGGAACAAATGTCCCATCCTAATGACGGATAAAAGTCGTGGGGCTTTAGAAGTGCCTTGCTGCGATTGTTTACATTCATGCATTGTAGAGCGCAGACATAGGTCAGTCTATCGACGTGGTTCACTTAGCGCTGCTCACCTGCTATCTCGAGGCAGCTTCACATAATCAAGTGTTGGTTAAACCTGACTGATTTTAGTGGAACTTCTCTGCTTTACGAATAGAGTTTACGCCGGTTTTAAAGGTGCAGAAGCTCCTGGTCAAAGTTTTTACATGGCATTTGGAGAAGGTGAGGAATGTTGTGGCCTGACGCGCTGTCTGGAAAGGATTTACCGAATTGGATTCCAGTTTTATGATGGGTATGCTTTGCGTGTGTTTGTGTCTTTTTGCCTGTCTGTAGTGGCTTGCATGCACTATTGCTCGTTTACTGATGTCTAAGCAGCTATTGCGGCTGAAATGATTCTATTTGGCACCCTACAGCATTAGGGTGTGGCAGAAAAACTACCTCAGAAATGGCCAAGACTGGTGAATCACAGGTGCTATTCTTGTTCTTTCATGAAAGCGCGAGACCTAATACCACATTCTGCAAAAGTTACCGACGAAGCACCCTCATGGTTCACCATAGGGCGGAAAAGATGAGGCGGTGTACTGCCCTATTTTATCTTTTGCCTTCGTATTCTCTGCTCCCTGAGACGTTGGCATCTAGGCTCATATCATCGCCAGAATTATGCTTGTCATGGAGATCAAGTGTAGCTCTCACCAAGTCTTTACTGAGCCATTGCCAAATTGAGCTTCTGAAATTTAAATCTACCTCCTCTAGGGCTATTAGAACTGGCCTACTAACAGCGCTACAAATGACTCGTTCTCTTTTATCAAGTCCTCCGTTAATCTCTTCTCTCGTGTCGCTTGGGCTTGGCGTCGTAACTTCTGCCCCTTGGACTCCCTTGTCCTCGTCTCGCGCGACGTCGCCTGCAATTGCAACGGTGAAACTCCTTCTACCTCCGCCATCCGTCCTGCTCTTGTTCCCTCCGCCCGTTTCCGTATTGTTGACGTGCTACGCACCGCTGCAGCGCTGGATAACGCTCCTCCCACGGAGGCTCTCGTCTCCACCATTTGTTCACGTGCTAGCAGCGCACAACTTGAGCTAGAAGTTCATGTGATCGAACGACGCCGGGCGCGACATATCAATGGCGCGGAAGCGGGGGAACCCCTGGGGCAGACCGCCTACCCGGTGGTCTACTCTACCTCCTCGTTACCCCTCTTCTTCACTCCTGGTGAGTTGAATAATAAAATCGCTACATTCATTGACTTATGCCTCCGCCTAGAGCCCGGATCGACTGCTAGTTCATTCCTACTCACCCCGGGTATCTACGAGCTTCGCTTGGGCATTCAAGCGGCTCCAATCCCGATACCGGAAGAATGCATAACTCTACCGATCTCACTACCCTCAAGATCAGTTATGGCGCTGGAGGGCGGAACACCAACTGCTGGTAATGGGGACCACCGAGTGGGATTCCAGGGTTCTTCTTCAATTTTTCCACGATCCCCCAAGGGCGCGGCTTGTGCCGCGCTGGATGAGTACTCTCGATGGCCGCATTTACGATTCCGTGTGATCTGGCATTCTATCTCCTCCTTCTCCCCCTTTCCTATCTCTATTCCAAGACCGCGTAAGTTTGCAAATCCCAATTCGATCTCTCTTTCTTTTCTCACTCTTAGCTGCTTTTCATAGACCCGGTGAAGGGCACTCGAAACCCTCTAAAGCGCTTGTTGTCAGAATTGGAGGGGTCTCCTCCGTCGAAGGTTCCGAAGCTTCAACTCCAGGACGAGGGGGAGACAGTGAAGGCTGAGGAGGAGGAAGAGGAGCCAAACAACTATAGTTCTAATTCTAATTCTTGTAGCTCCACCTCGACTTCCATTGATGTAATCTACCTCTTCTTTTATGGTGGTGATGAAAAGCGTATTCTGCAGTGGACAAAAACTCGAGATATGATTTGTCCCTGGTGCAAGCTGGACTGTCGTCGAGGTGGTAAGTTCGCCACTATCCCATATCCTAGGGAAGGTTGACAATTCTGTGCTTTAAAGAGGGAAATCTTGTTTTGACACCTTAGAAAGGCCATCGTTTACCTTTTTTTCGATTTCTGGTTTATCATGATGCCAGTTAGTGGTTGTTTTTCTCCTGCACAAGAAATCTGATTGCAGAAGGTATTCCAAGTCAAAATAGTGATTAGTTGTGTCTTATCGTGTTTTTTCGATAGCCAGGTGAAGATACCTTCAAATTGAATGGGTGGAATCCATCTTCGCCATTGTGCCCGGTTAGTACGGGGATAGAGTCCTTCTCCTGTGGAGATGTCTGTGAGCATATTAGGGAGTTAGAAAGTGATCGTATTGGTTTAAAGATTGCCAAACGTCAGATACTCATCCCTACCTATACGACACCAACCACGGAGAATGAAGAATCGGTCCGTAAAAGTAATGGTTGTAGGTTGAACCAGAGTCCTGAATCTGATCTATGCGAGGGCCTATTCTAATAGTATATGATGGGTGGGCACCTTAGCAACAGAAAAATGTTTCTTATCAACGCCTATTCTCTGACTGAAAGTAATAATCAGGAAATGTCCTTTTTTTCTGGGAAGTAGACATTGAAAGTTTAGAAATCGAAGCGGATTTTAAATTTGTCTCGTTTATTTGCCTCAGCATGGAGTTCGGATCATTGCAAATCGACGGGGAGAAGGCGTATCGGTTTGCGTAGATTTGGAGGCAAGCGGTGGAGTTAGCCCCAATGCCAAAGTCAAAGTGCCAACCACTGCTAACCAGTCTTCAGTCAAAAAGGTCTCTAATTTAACACCTCATGAGATGACACTGATCACGCGTTCTCTCTCGTCTTTCTTGTAACTCCGGATTTTACACCGACTGGGTTACGAACTCGGGTTAGGCTTTCTTGTCTTCCTCCTCTTAAACGGGTCTGCGTAAACAATCATGTAGGGCGGAACGTTCCATTTTACCTCTCATTTTTGGACGTCCTTTATGTTGCGGATTATTGTCGGTGTACCTTTGTGTTTACAGATGGGGGGTAGTAGTAAGTTGATCCGATTTACAAGCCTGATCTCTGACCTCTTCACATCAATGTCTATCGATGGCAGAATTGACTGTCCCTTCAATTCATCCATCTCTGAATTTGTAAATGGACTAGGTGTTCTTGTCTTTGATAAACTCCGCATCGTTGATCAATGAAATTCCCTGGAATGTGGAATCTCGGTGAAATAATGTGCCATCCTCCCTGCTCTCCGTCTTCTGTAACTCCATCGCCTCACACTTTCACCTCTAGTGTTATACATGCGAAATCGTGACTCCACCACTGCAGTCTGCTGTCGCAGCTGTGTGATAGGCGTTCTTCGTCAACTTTAAATACGTACGGTGCGTCATGGATGAGGGTGTCAGTTTGTCACATGGCCTCTTATTGCTGCGCCACATGGCCTCGAAGACCCTAACAACTGGATTTTATTGTGCTCAACGCAATCGTAATTTGACCTGCAAATCAAATTATCAGAGAGCAACTTATCTTTTTCTTCTTTGAAATGGGACCCAAGTACCCAGAAACATAAAAGCAAAGTTGTAAGGGAAGGTGTTGATAAATCAAGCTATTGTTAGCTCCCCCCTTAGTATGTACAGTATGCAGAAAAACTGCACTTTGCTGTCAAAAACTGAAGTTCATGACTTGCCGACGAATTCATCTTCTTTCATGCCGCTATGTTTGGTATATTTAGGGGTGACTCCTCCGTCTGTTGACTAAGGCGTAAGTAGACAGAAACATGGAGTCAAGGTGATGGAGGTTATTCTCATTCCCATTCATGGACTCGGAGTTGGAGAGTTGGGGTTTGGATCAACCTCTGGTTTTGGAAAAAAAAATTACGTTGCTAGTTAATCTGGTGGAAAGATTACAAGTTCTTGTGTATTTACCCCCAGCGACTTCATAAGCGAGGCATAAGAAGAACAATTTTCACTTCTTCTTTCTTCATGCCTTTGACGCTATTTACAAACTGAAAAGTGCTGCTCTTTCTGCCTCTACCAGATAAAGTGTATCCCAGCTGTCTAATGGCCCACCTCCGCTGTTGCCACCCCCGTTTTCGCTTCTCCGGATCCTGGCAACGCGAGACAAGTCATCTTGTACTTGAAGTGACTCTAGACGAGAGTTACGACGGCTCTAATGACTGTGTTCCGCGCACCTATCGCCCCAGCACAGACAGCGCACCGGACAATGGGGTAGACGTTTGTCTGACTGAGACATCGGCTTCACGCAATCCCCACCACCTCCCGCTTGTAGGCGGGTGGACGGGCTACTGTGGCGAGGCGGAGAATAATCTTCGGGACGCAAGAAAGGTTGCTACGTCGCGATTTCTCCAGCGGCGGCGTCGACAACCCCTCAAACGCTTACCGTTTAGTCAGCTCATTTACTGGCGTGGAGTGGAACGCTTTTCAGGCTCCGGTCAAGAGGTAGGATTTTATTGGCCTGGTAATAGAGGGTCTCAGAGTGCCTATTTTGATGAGAAGTCCCCCCCCCATGCATTCTTGTTTTCCTATTCCATTCTTATTCTGGTGGATTAAACTGATTAGGAAAAGGCGAGCGTTGTTAATGCGGGAGAAGGGGGGTGGGCACATAAAGAATGTTTGGTAGATTCCCAAGCGTTGTTTACCCAGTCATTGTTGCAGCCTTGGTACGTTAACCTCCTCCATGTGTCATAGCTCACTGGGGAGATTGCTTCAATGTCAGCCGCGGCGGCTGCAGCCATGGCAGTAGCGGTGGCAGCGGCCGGTCCATTGGAGGTGGGTCACAAGCGGGTGTACTTTCACACCACCACCCTGCAGCCCATTGAACCGACAGCTTTCGACGACTGCGACTCCGAGGACGAGGATGCGCCACAATGGCTGCGCGATCACTACCAGCGCAAGGTGGAGGAGTTCACGGATGTCAATAAAGTACGTTTTCTTGCTCCCTTCTACCATCTGGGTGAAGAGGGAGTGAAACCATATCCCTCCTACTCTGCCTCCTCTCTCCAAACCTAAACTTTGGGGTTTGAGACGTTGCATTATTTCGTGGGAACGAGACTGCTTTGATAGTTCCAACTACTTCTGGAGGAAAGGTTTTTTCCCCTGTCCACCTTCTTAATCGCGGTTGCAGGCCGTAGTCCCCCACACACAGCCACGAGGTACAGCATTCTGGAGGCGAAGTGGTGCATGCCTTGGCGTTGTAGGGAGTGGAACTTTGAGTGAATTGATCGTTTGCGACTAAACGAGATCAGTGGACAATCGGAAATGCATCAAGCATTCGCGATTGCGTAGGCGGAAGCGCAGAAGAAACTTTTTTTTGACTACCACTCGTTGCTGATGCATGTGGATGAACCGAGCTGATGTAAGTGTAAACGACCTGTTTGGTCGGTGTTGATGGGCCTAAACACCAGCTCCTATGCACTCTTGGACACGCCAATCTCGACTCCGGCTTGACAGGGCGTTCAGCCACCGCGTCATCCAGCTCCTCCAGATGCTTAATAGCGCGTTTAACGAGAAACTTCCACTTCTTCAGAACCGAGTTTAGCCTGTTTTGTGGAATAGACAAGCTCCAATTGCATCCGTCAGATTTTGCCCAACATTTGGTGATGTGGGGGTGCGTTAAAACTAGCGCAGAGCAGGCTGTCTCCCATCAACGCTTTATTAATGGCATGCAGTTGATAAGACCTCTCAGGTAGCAAGTTATACCGAAGGTCAAACATAGGTCTTGTCCAATTTTCACCACTTGTTTACCTTTTTACAAGTCTCCCATCTGAGTCATCCTCCACACTCCCCAATGACAATGCAGAAGTCTAAATCTCACCGTTTCACGCCTCGGCCACCGTCATACAGGCTAGGGCTTCTATACAAATGAATTTTTCTTCCTCCGACCCGGAAGCTAACGCCGTTTTTTGCCTACTTTGCTTGGAGCTTGGAAATCCAGCCATCTGAATTAGGTCAACTAGTCGATCCATTTTTGAAGCATCGGAGAAAACGACCGCCTCATTGCAACTAATGCACTCTTCCAAGCTATTCTCGAAGACGGAATGCAGAGCAGACGGAAATCGGATTGCAACACTCGGTTGTGAGCGCCGACGGATTCATGAGACAAGTTCAATCAATCCGTCAACCAACCAACCAGTCAATCAGAATAGATCGGCACCAGTCAGATTGCTTTATAGACAGCAACTGAGCGATTGAGATGGCTTTAGGAAGCTCTGTCACTGATATTTCAGATTTACTTCTTTGCATTTTAACCCCTCCAGGATGTGTGTAGTCGATTCTACAGAAACTCAGGCCTTCATTTCTTATCAGTGATGGCGTGAGACCGGGTTCAGATGACTGAATTGATGGTAAGCAGGGTGGACGAATGGACAAGTAGTTGAGTTTGATGAACGGGTTCCGGGTGGTTAAATGTACGCCTTTCATTTATTCCCCCCTTCCCACGCATCTTCTCTTCTTCCCAGGGGGAGAAGGAGTTTATGCAAATCTGGAACGCCTTCCTCCTCTCCATTCGACCCTCCGAGACCGTTGTCAGTGATAGTCAAATGGGCCACCTCCTCCTTGCTTTCGTCCAACGCTATAGCGACCGCCTACATCGTCGTCGCCTTCGCAACAACTTCATCCTTCACCTTGCCAATCTCTACGACTATGGCCTTGTGGCGCCCAGTCTCATGCGCAAAGTTACTTGCGCTTTTGATGATTTGAAACCCTCCTCCCGTTAGGTCCACCTTCTCTGTGCTTGTGAATTGAGTGTCTGTGTGTCTTCTCGACCTCTTTCCGTCCTAGTCCCCCATTTTGTACTCCCCTTTCTCCGGTTCTAGTACTCTTTCTACTTACTTGATGTGCGTAGACCAAGGACAACTGATTGAATGACGTGTAATGTTGACGGAGAGAGAGAGAGACGCTTATGCATGACCCGTGTGTCTTTTCTGTGTGGATTAGCGCATTTACTAGGCCAATGCACATTATGTATATTTTTTTTGATAATACATGCATAATGGATTAAGACGGCGGTTGGTTTTTCTGCATTTTGGTCTGTTTTTTGTTTCTTTTTTCTTTGTTTTGTTTTACTTTTTCGCCCTCTCGACGAAGGAAGGTTTGTTTTCGAGGCGTTGTGTGCTCTACTCAGATCTCCTCTCGGATAACCATGTTTTGCAGACGGCTGGTGGTAGTCGGGTCGATGTTGATGCACTAGAAGGAGAGGATAAAAGAAGTGGAGAAATGCAATTTGTCTACAAGGCAAAAGGGGAAAAGTAGACTGAATGGACGAGCCCTCCTGACTGCTTAATTGGTAGCTGTGGAGTGGTCTGACGCGTGCCCACGTGTTCTGATTGGACGGTTGACGGGCTGGTTGATCGTTGGCGCTTACGATGGATGATCCCTTTTTCCAACAAGATCGGCTCTCGATTTCCGAGCCCCATCTGTGCTTCCTCGTCTGACGCCTCTTCTGCTTGCCCTAAATCGCGCCTTTGGGAGTAACCTGGGGCAGGACACTGGGTGCAGTGAGGTGAGATGTCCCCACGGTCTTACTTGTCAACAAAATTTTGGTCACCTTCCCCGATGCCTCGAAAATGGATCGTTTGGTTGAAAGGCACCTGATTTGGAAGGCTGAGTTTGCAAAATATCAACACAGTAGTCAAGCTTCGTCACCGTCACCTAAACACCCTAAAGTTCAAGCCTCTTCCTCGCTATCCGTAGCGGGAGTAATAGACAAGGTCTCCCCCGTTGTCTTGAGACGGATGGCCTTGCAACCTACAAGACAGGGAGACTCCATAGCCGAACTATCTAATGATGGTCTGCCTAATGGTGTAAGTCAGTAACACCATCGACAATAATTAGTTGATTTTATTTTTCCCGTCTTCTCATCCTTTAGCAGCCAAAAATAAAGTTGGGCTTCCTCAGCACCACTTAAAGTTAATCCCTATCATCCTCCATTAGCCTCACCACCTCGAAAATACGCTGCTAACTGTTTGTAAGTTTGGGGTACTTCCAGATCTGTGGCGGGGGAATTTGGTCTTTTGAAAAGGGGTAAGAGTAGCCCTCCATGAACGAGACAACATGAGATCTCTCGCTACAACTAAGCCACTAAGGTGAATACAGAAGAACAATGACGACAGAAAGAAGGCGTCAACCCTTAGCTGCTTAAGGTCAAGGGTGACTTGAATCATCAGGGCCACTGATGACTCCGTGAGATTTGTCTGAGACACTTAAAATCATGTTGAGTGCTCTGCATTTCAGTGAGGTCGATGTGGTGGAAGTGCCACTCAACTTTCCATTCTTCTGTCAAAAAAGGGTAAATTGATAACAATCCGTCCAAATGATCCGACTGGAGAGCTTTTCGTTTCAGCGCTAGCTGATGTGGCCACTTGCATCTCATTCGACGGCGATTACAGCATTTAATTCTGTCGCAGAACTCATTCCCAAGGTTAAGGCGGCAGGTTAACTACCGGAATTAGTTTTCTACTGAAGGTGGCGCCAAGTATCTTCAGGCTTCCAAAAGACTATCATAGAATTTGATCTATCAGTGAAGTGGGTTATAATTATTTCTCTGGTTATTCACGATAACGGACGGGACGAATTTCGGCTTTAGGATGTGAACTTTAACCTCGCTCTGTGTGTCAGTGTCACCATCATACACCACAAGTGATTTGAGGCGTCGCCGTCTGGGCAGGGGCTTAACTCTCACCGCCAATGTGATGAAAACGTGGTAGAATGCAACAACACCGAAGTTGTGACAACTACTACCGATGTTTTATTTTCGCGATAAAAAATGATGGCAAACACATTTCATTTTTCAGGTTTCGGTGTATCTACCAGAGAATCAATTATTTCCTGGACAAGAGCACAGACCTCTTTCTCAAGCAGTCGGGAGGATTTCTCTCCCTTAGAGGCAAATGACCCGTAAGACTGATAGAAGGAGAACCTTTACTAGGAAGGGAGAAAATCGCTACCGGTCTCCTTTCATGACTTACTACAAGACCTCCGAGAAGAGTTAATTGGAGGGGAGATTTGTTTTACCCGTGGGCAAGCCCCTATTCACCGATTGGCTGTGACGCAATACGTCCTAGAGAATCTCAAGCGTGTCCAAGACAGCAACTTGGAGATATCACAGTTAATGCTGTTTATTTATTTCGGACTGAAAAGGAAATTTGAGAATGATGCAAATTAAAGTCTATTTAAAACCACTAATTCGTTGATTGGTTGAACCTAATTATCCGTACCAACCAATCACAAAATGACTTCAAGGTAGGAACCATGCCTCTGACAGATGAAGGGTTTAAAAAAAGTCGGGGCAGGGAAAGTGTTTCACATGGAAGTTACCCAAGATTACAGGTTGGATAGTTATGTCGGTGTCTATTTGACTGGTCGAACCCCTCTGCCTCCACTAATCAGAAGGCGAAGTTGAGACTGGGGGGGGGGGTGGGAAACGCCCCTAACCCAATCCACTTTCCCGCTCTCTTCTTAGGCAAGTGTTTCCACAATTTAGGCGAAAGTTGTCTCAATAAGTGAACCGAACGTGGAGCATCTACCAACCTTGAGCGCCACGACATCAACACGTCTCCCTCCCAAAGGATAATTTACAGAGGTGATGTAAATCGCTATTACTGACATCGGGATCAGAAGACTAGCAACCCTGATTCGTGAGGGTTGTGCTTTTCAAGACAGGAGTTGCCAAGTAGATCACTAAGGAAGTGGAATGTATGTTAATTTGACATTTCTTAGTCTTCCAGTTTAAATGACCTCTATCCTGCTGTATTTTAACCGTTGCAAAGAATTCAAAAATCGGTCGACTCCTCGGGATCAAAACCATTATCCCACGCCTATTTTATTGTTTTAAGTCTCTGTCGCACAAGCTGATGCAAGCGGTTAGCGTAAATTGGTAAGGATTACATGTGATATTTGTGATGCTAGGGTCAGGTAAGAAAATCAAGGTCTTCCGCGCATAAGATGCTAACAAGAGCTGTTTTGATGAGCAGGTAGAGCTTTAACCTCGAATTTGATCACGTGTCGTCTGACCTAATGTGCGGCCTTCCACTGAAACTGTTGACGATGCCTTCTGATTGGAAGATTGATGCTGTGACGACCAACAAGGTGGCGGAGGGCTGTGCAGCCTCTCGTGATTGGCTAGTTCAAGCCTTACAGACAGCGGTTTCGGTGACTACTTACCCGCGAGTACATCGTGCTGGCAATTCCCCGATCCTGCTGTAGCCCCAACCCACGATCCAGGCAAGTGGCATAGATGAAACAAGCCACTGTTAGACCTCGTTGTATGAAGCATCGCGCTTGAATGTCAAAAATACCTCTTCCACTCCCACCACCACCGCTGCCACCTCCGTTTCGAGTATCAACCATTAGACTGTTTCGCAGTTCCGTATTTCCCACCAATGAGTAGGCAGTTCGACTGGCAACGGTGTATAGTGCACGACGGAAGTAGAGGAAGGAGAGCATACCGGTAGCATAAACACTGCCTCTCTCAGAGGCATCACGGAGGCAGTTAAGTGCAGTGCCCCAGTCCTTACTAGCTGATCCAAGACCGAACATATGGAGAACGCCGAGTACAGCTGGAAGAAGAAAAGGTTTTCGTGGTAATTTTTTGAGAATCCCGTCAATTACTCACCTTGTGACTCCACACTGCCATTCTGGCATGCTTCTGAGTGCCAGTAGAATGCCTTTGACAAATCCATGTGGTCAGCGGAGGAGTAGAAGTACCCCATTGTTGTTTGTGCCATCACAGAGACCTTAGTGTCTCCATTTGTGGCAGCAATCTGAAGGTATCTGTAACAGGGATTTAGAATTTGGCTTACTTAATTAATCAAGACTAGTTTTTTACTTATTTTAAATCGGAATAGGGTCCTTGATGGAAGAAGAGTGTAGAGAGAGGGACGTGCGAAGGACAATAGACAGTTTGGGGGGGGGGGTAAAGTGTGACGCGGAAACGGAGACATCGCAGGCTAGGCTTTTTCTTGACATCTCGAGAGAAAGCTTTTTGTAAAGGCGAAATGCAAAGCACGCGTTCATCTCCTTTCGAGGGGATTGCAGACGATAGATTGATTTTAATCTCTCGCCGTCAGTACTGCGGTTGGACGATACTACTAATGACAGCTGTTGAGTAGTGTGTTATGAGCAAGTAAAGATGGCTATTGAAAGAAGAGTAAATTAGTGTAGGAGAAATAAAGTATGCGGTATCCTCATGTGTTACGCCCTATTATGGCATTGGGGAGCAATTAGGGTGCTGCATTGGTGGCAGTAATGCGTGTATCTAATTTCGGTTGGTTTGGAGACCTGTTTGTAGATAGCTGAATCTACGGTGGCTCACAGGCGAAGAGTTAAAACGGCGTCTACTTCAATTGTGGCTTCTATACAGCGATCGTCGAAAGGGGAAGGGTAGGAGGTTCAATGCGCCCCGACTGACCCCATCATACTGTTGCTTTTAGGCGAATCTTGCTGCAGAAAAGCAATTGGAGCATTGTCCTTTCAGACAACGTCTTCTTTGATCCAGTCAGCCTTGGAGAGGGGAAGATATTCAGAAATCTCGAAGCGATCTGTAGCAGTATCCATCACGAATAAGTAGACTCCTTCCCCCATATCATTCTTGTTCCATTCTTGCGATAAATCCGGATTTGTGGGAAGATGGAGTCTGCGGATTATGCTTCCGCTACGATTTCATGTCTATGATTCTTCTGCATACCTACAGTAAACGCTTCTCCCATTGCTGAATCTGGGGAGGTGTCGGGGAGCGCTAAAGTAGACCAACTCGTAGTTCACGGTTGCATCCTGGGAGGGGAAGGGTCTTAAACCACTAGTCCATAAAGCTATCCACTTATCAGAATATTCAAAAGTGCGGAAGGTCAGAGTCCATCTCGTACCTTAGAAACAAAACTTCAAAGAAAAAGTATTGGGGGGGGGATTTCTAGTGTAAGTAACCCACTTGAGAGCAATTTCATCCGACTGTTCAACCCCCCAGCCTTGAAGGTAAGCTAAGTACAAGTTGAACGCAGCCGCGTCCACAAGTTCAGCATTGCCTAGGGGTGAACCGACACCTCGATCCAGCGACAGCAACCCTTGCATCATGTAAAATGCAGCTCTCTGACTTGATGAGAAAAAAATCTCTGTTATTACCTGTGGATTTTCAAACTGCTTTAGGTCTTCACCCTCAAGCAAGTCATCAAACAACATCACGCCTATCTGATATTTGGCCCGAGGATCATCATACCTTAGTACAGCATCTTTGAAGTGCACAAGAGCCTGAGAATAACTACCCTAGGAAAGATTAAGTATCCCGACTGAGCTAACTTTCTCGAACAAAATCTGACCTAACTGGAACGAGTCGTCAGAGCGTTCTCTATCACGCTCTTCCGACCTTTTTTGAAGAACATATTCCAAATTTTCACTAACAATGTATCGCGTGAGTTTGCCTTCTTCACCGATGACCTTATGTTGTTTACAGGATTCGACAAAATCCGCACAGAGATTTACAGGAGGGAATACCACATCTCCTGTTTCGAGCCGTATCATGAAAATTGGTGCCTCTTCCCTTTCTCTACGTGTTGGTTTAGAAGTGGGATCCGGTTTACAATTATACAAACAACTCATCTCTCGGAGATTAGATCCTTATTGGAGTAATAATGCGAATATGCTATCAAGACAGTAAAAATTCTGCTTCAAGATATGTTGCGAATTCACAACATTCAGCAGACCAATCAGCCAAGAGACATGTACAATTTGATGCATTCAAAATAAACTATTATTTGGTTTCCATTACACTACTTAAACTAAATGCAATAAAAGGAAAGAAGTGTGCAAAAAGTCTTCATATAACAAAATCGCATCAGTGTGGGGAACATTGACAGTTAGGAATTTGAGGTGCATATACTCATTTAATATTTACTCGACGATTGGGAATTTTGTCCGGAATTCAGCAAATTGGATTTTCTTCAGCATAAAAATAGTAAAAAAGGTAACTTTATGCAGACAGTTTGGAGTATAGATATAGAATGACAACAATTTAAGGAAATCCCGTTCCTAAATAAGCATGTAAAGGATACAGATGTAATTAATCAAAACAAATGCAGAATTTCACACAAACTAGCACAGCTCTGTAGCCAAACTAGCAAAACCCAGATTTGCAAAGGCCTAAACAAGTTCGGTTTATAAGAAAGAATGAACTGTACCTAAGAAAATAATTTGGTAGGTTTTAAATGGCTTCTCAAAATAAACTTTACTAAAACAATTTTTTAAGAATGACAAACTAAACAGATTGTTGTAAGGTCAAGCGGAAATGTTTTTTTAGTCAAAACCTCTTATTTGTTTGTAAAACTTAACAGAATTTATCACCGTCGAGTCTGCACATTTTGAATGCGGGGGGCATTTGGCGGATAGGCGGAGCTGCAATATTATCTCTAGATTTCAACAACAAAATCCCAAAACGTTTTCTAAAAAAAGGAGAAATCATAAGATGGTGAATAAGCCTGTTCAAGAAACTGCCGACGAATCTCAACGAAGGAAAATATTTTCCATTTCAAAAAATAGCAGCAAATTGGACGGGACTGCAAAGTCCAATCGTCTGTTAGCTGGCGGAGATAAGGATGAGCCACCAAAACGCCAAGTCGTAAGTGTGCTTCTTTGTTTTTATACTCTGTTGGTGTTTTTTGTATGTTTTTCCTCTGAGACAAATCTAAATTAATTTTTTTCATTCTTACCAATGTTTTGCTCACCTACTTCAAGCCTTGATGATTGACCAAATTTGCGTTATATAATTCTCTAGGCTGTCTTTTCGTTTTAAATTCTTCTGGTATCTAAATTTTCCCGCGCTGGATTTGCTTGCTATACCTAGTTGTTCACGAAATCTATGTTATAATACTAAGACTTGTAATTTATTTCAAAATCGAAAAATATTCTGAATACTTGCATTAGCGCTTCAACTAATTTCACCTTGTTTTTTATGCATGAGTATCGCAATTGGATACGACTTATTTGAGGATCACTTTAATCAAACGTTAAATAATTTTCCTAGGCTAAGAAACAAAGGCTAATTGATCCGCAAGAACAATTCTTTTTGCTTTGCTTTTGGTTTTGCATAAGTTAATGCATTAAATTTTCACACTATTTTCACACGTTAGGCACTTTCTCATTCTGCCGCCGACACTGACACAAATGTAGGTACGCAAATTCACCATCACTTTTTTCTAAGATTATTTGTTCGTAAATAGGTAACACCTTAAATTTATTCGCAACAAATAAGTGCCTATTTTAATGGAATAACCAGATGAACTTTTGGCTTAGGGCGAAAGGGATTGACAACTGTAAAAAAATGCTTTATTCTACCACTTCGGTGCTGAAGATTCCTATGGTATTCTCACTCCTTTAAATTAGGTCATGACAGTCATATCAGTGACGTCGCATTGGCCATAACCTCTGGGTGCCTTTGCTCATAGACGTCTAGTTGGGTGCGAACACCCATTTACCCAGTCATGCAGCAAGGCAGGCATGCATGCAGTCACTTTGCATCAGGCCCTATGCACGCACACGCACACATACGCATTTAGCACTCACACACGCAAGCACTACTAAAGACACAATGAAGTGCGCCACTTATTTACATATACCTATTGATTAGGCTTGAGAGGTAGCACCGACCTCTCTCCTCAGATTAGTGGAATACACCTTCTCCTCCTCTTCCAATGTTTTACCACCTCTACTCCAGTTGTCAAGGTTTGACAGCGCTAATGAGCGGATTAATTGATGAATTAATGCAATAAAAAGTGCCCCAACTTAAGCTGTGAAATGTGGTCTGCCTAATGTGTGTGGGTATGTGCCTGCGTGTCCAAGGCCTCACACACACGCACACACATTTGCACATGATTTTCATCTGACTAGTTCTATCGACACCGAGGTGATTTGTTGCGTCTATGTAAATTAGGTCTCGCTTTGTACGTGTGACATGAATCTTGATGAATTTATCATATGCCTCAACATGATTGGTGAGGAGGGTTGATGTGGCGTTTTTATTGGCCAACTACTAACCAATAGGAATGCAGGTCAATGGGGGTTGTGCCTCTTGTCGGTTTTATCTAACAACTGACGTTATGGAACACACTGTGTAAAAAACGGTGAAATTCTCCTACTTTCACGACAAATGATTGACAGTTTATTGTCATTTGAAATACCGTATATTTGCATGTGTGTGTGTGTGTCTGTATGCGTTCCTCATGCCTTCATTCACTAAACAGTTACATCAGGCAGACGCACCCTCTGTCGAATACACAAAATTTGCCTGACAATCAGTAGTGCGGAACCACTGTGACGCATCAAATGTTAAGGTGCCACCACTGATTAAAAACTCCAACTCTAATGCAAAGATGAGGGCTACCTCTGTCTGCCTTTTCATCCACTGGGAGATTTATGCGCTTTGTCGGCAGAAATGTGAGAAAACAGGCAGGGGCAGTTTGTGAAGAGAGTGTGTCGCTACTAACGTCAAATGCATTTGAGAACTCATGACGGCCTTGTGCTCAAAGGGTTTCTTCATGGGTCAGTAGCAATTACTAGCTGTTGAGGCACCTATTTAGGCGCCTTAATTAATATTATTTAAGTCTCTCTACCCCACTTACTCTTGAGTTGGTATTCACACCTGTGTGCAGTTGGAAAGCCAGTTGGTTGATTGTTTGGTGGGTAAGCTGGTTAGTTGTTTAGTGGCCTTGTTGTCTCAGCCTCTTTGAATATACCTTAACTTAGTGGAAAACGAGGAGTCTTCAGTCCTTGAAAGCAATCACCACCATCTGGCGACTTTGAATCCGGTCTGGATGGCTAAACTTTTGCCGATAAAATTTTCAAGAAGCTAAGATTCCTTGTTGATGAGGGCTCTCTCCGCCATTACAGTTTTAAAATAAGAAAAAACTCAAATAGGCTTTCATTTTATTGTCAATCATCATTCCAAATTACTTAGTACCCAATTAACTGTAAATCTCTCCAATAAAAGAACAATCTTCTGTTTTTGTTCGCAGTTTTTTCTCCTTACTTTATCAAAAACTTTTTGAAATTCAATTTAGGCTCAAAATTTTGCTTTTGAGGAGGCACAACTTTACTCTGCCAACATTCGACCAAATTTAAGCACACTTTGGTGTTATGTACATTTAAATGGATTAAACTTTGGCCCTAAAAATCATGTTTTTTGTAATCCATAGTTATGAAACCAAAAAAAAAATCCAACTCGGTCGACTGTATGCATCAAGCATTCGCTAGTGTTTAGCTTATACAATCCTGATTCCTTTTTTTCTTACCTTTTCTTTCGGCATTTTAGCTTTCAAAAGTGGAAAACAAGGTGAAAACTAGTTGCCTTTCGCTTCTAGTTTGTCTACCAGTTAAATTCACTTTGCATTTTCAAGTGTTGACTAGTTAATTTGGGGGCGTCAGGATGAAACCAGTCCCCTCATACGTGGCTCTGTCTATTTTTGTCTGCAAGCATGTATGAAACTTTTTAAAAATGAAATAAAATATGCACAAAAAAACGTTACTCTCACTAGTGCAGGACCTGGAATTTGTGGCCACTTTTTTTTTTTGCGCAAGATGTGACACCATTCGGTGCTGTCAAAGAATGTGGATCTTAAGTCACTTTTCCACTCGATTAAAGCGCTTCTCCTTCTTTTTTTTCTTTCTATCTTTTAAGATTTATTATCAAGGCGAGAACATGCCAAAGGAGTCCTCCAAACACATGAGTTTTCGTTTAAACGGTCGAAAAATCTCCAAAGGTAGGCGTTAATTGCCTAGATAAGCGTGGAGTATCCACACGAGTTATTTTGCATGTCACATGACACCGTTGGGCCTCAATTTATTGTGTAATACCGTAGCATGGCATATAAACAAATAATAAAAACAATAATTAAGTTTTACCGTGAGTAAAGAAATCATGTGGAGAAATTGTTGCTTTAGACAAATTGTCACATTTCCATCTCGATTTAAGGTAATAAGTGAGAATGTCTTTTGAGAGTTTCAAAGACCCAACGATGTTCTTTAGCTGACATGATTTGTGGGGCAATCGAGGGTGTCATCGCCTTTGGCTGCGACATAACTCACCATGTGGTTGGTGGTTCTCGAGGTCCCCAGAAAATCCCTCTCACCATTGACACGTCGTGATGACACAACCGGTGATCAAGCCGCGTTTATTTGAAGGCACACCAGGGTGAAATTTGTCACTGAGTCTGATTAGTAAATGTGGAGTGCTTTTTGATCAAAAGGACTCTCTGGCGATTGTGAAACCTAAGCACCATGGAGGTGATCCTGGCAGTTAAAATATCAAATGAGAAGGATTGAGGAGGGATGACATGTTTCGTAATGAAGTTCACTCAAACCGCTGCCTGAGTGAGTCAGAGAGCTGTCAAAGTGCGGCTTCACTCACTTGCGGTGTTATTGTGCCTTAAAATAGCAAAAATACTTTCACTTTGGAGATAAATTTACTCTACTTAGCAGTATAAAACCAGTAAGACAGTTATGCCGCAAAATGAGGAGGACGTCGGTAAAAAAACGGATTTTATAACACAGGCGAGGCCAAAAACAGTTCGTGGATAGGGAAAGCGAGGATGTGAATGGAAAAGATTTTTGTTTCTTTTTTTCTGGTTTATAGATACCACCTACCATGAGGTACCGCACGATCACATTGACTACCGCTACGAGTGTATCCGGTCTCTGGGTAAAGGCAGTTTTGGCAATGTCATCCTCGTGATCGATCACAAGGAGGACAAGGAGTGTGCCCTCAAGGTCGTTCGACGCGATGTTCGTTTCACCGCTCAGGTGCGTTCTCAGCATTACAACACCTTTTTTAATGTGGAAAATAATTTATTGCCTGTATAACTGGCAAGAAGTAGCTTGGAAGATTGACTCCTCACTGTGGGTATTGACTCAATCAGTGCTCCCACCAAAGGGGGTTTTTTTCCTCGAAAGTTAAGATAGAGCTGAGGTCCAGTCGGTCAGAGTATGGCCTCTCCATTCCTTACCGAATCTCTACGTCTTGCCGACCACCTTCTTGATGAGCTTCCTTGTCACCTTCTGAAGTGGGGCGATTTTATCTGAGGAAGCGGGACGGTACAAAATTACTCTTGCATTGAGGTGCAGATGTATCTTCGCAGATGTCGTGAGGGGAGAGAGAATAAAACAGTGATCTCGTGATATATCTCCTAGAAGTACGCAATTCCTCACCAGTAGTTACACACTTCTACCTACGTTTTCGTCATAGATTCATGGAAAAAAGTGAGGAGAAAAAAGGAGGGGAAGTGGAAGGCGTAGGCGCAGATGGGGAGGGGGGGGAAGGATATGACTCCCTGATAGGAGGTTTTACTGGTGGCGGATACACCCAGTCGCGCCTTTTCGCCACTCCGGTTGCCACCGCCACCCCCGCCTTCCCTCAGTTAGGTAAAAAGTAGGCACAACAATGATGAAATTGAGCTTTCACACACTCGAGAATTGAGAGAGGTGAAGGCATCGCAATTTCTTATAGCGACAGCCTCAGAAATGACATTTGTAGGCACAGAAATTTGCCTCACGCCACACTTCTACCTATTAATGCAGGGCCCTTCGACAAACCCGTTTCATTGGAGAGGCAGCGGACTCGTTGAGATATGGGGTGCCGTGGGGGAAAGCGACGAGTAGGAGTTGAGCTAATTCTTTGCTACTGAATGAACTGAAATTTTATGAGGCCTACAAAATTCGCATTGTCTTGATATGCTTCCTTTTTTTATATCCCCAACCGTGGATTGTGGCAAGGACTAAGGAAAGGGTAACTTGTTCATTGGTTTCGTGGAATTGTAATGCCTCGAGTAATCATTTTGTTTGACCACTGGATCACCCGTAAAGCCGTCCACTTGTGTGGATTAAACCCCGACATCGTGGTAACTCTTCCCCTGTTGAGACAAAATCCCATCGGACGCTAAAATCTGAATGGTGGTGTTCCACACCGAACCTATTCCACAAGCCCCTCTCTCGGTGGTGGTAGTTACCATGAAAATTACGACAGAGCCATTATCTCAACTAAAAACATCAATGAACATGTTGCGGTCATTGTCAAAACTCAAGATTGCCTCGGTGGCAAGAAGAACTCAACACCAACCCATTGCTCTGAATTACGTAATTAGATGTTCCGACTTGTCGGGGCTGGATCGCTATAGCCATGGACACACGAGACGCCTGCAACTCACATGAATTTTAAAACAAATTCGTATTCGTTTGATCTAATTTTATCAGACCAAAAATGTGAAAATACTAATGAGGGAGAATTATTAATTTTTGCTTATCAAGCCTGGGATCGCCAAACGCATACACACGCAAACATGGAGATAAGGACGTGGCACAACCAAAAAGGTGAAAAAATAGGATTTGGAATGAGTCAAACTTTGTCATAGGTTGAAAAAATAGCTATCGATGTCTTCTAGTCTTAAGAAAAGTGGCCTTTTTCCTTGCGCGGAACGCCGATCGCCTTAAACAACGAAGGCGGTTTTTGAACGCTGACTGATCCCAACTGCTTTTGGTGGCCCATATGGGTCATTGGTAGGTTGCCATTTTGAAAACGTCTGGGAGTTTTGGCTTCATTTTAAACAATTTAGAAAAAATCGCGACTGTTATCTGAGAAAAGAAAAAAAATTGAGAGGACAGGACGTGCTTTTAAAGTGCCTCTGGAACGAGACTACAAGCCCCGCAAGGAGAATAAACCCTCCACTTATTTGTGTCCTCAAAAGTGTATAAAAAAGTAAACTAAGGTTTAGGATTTATTTAATTTTAAATAGTAGAGATAAGTATCACTGCTAAAATAAACGTGATTTGAGAGGCGACCAGCTTCTTCTACCCTTTTAAACAACTACTCAAGGTATGTTAAATAAGGTGAATATTTAAACAAATGAAGGAAGATTTGCTTTTATCATAATTTTATCTAATAGGATTAACAAGAATGAGTGCAACTGGGGCCTTGTATTGTTTGCGGTATTATTTGGCATAAATAACCGCCACCCTACTGAGTAATATTTTATGTACTTGACTAATCATCTCGGGACATTATTTTGAACAATGTCCCACTAACTGTTTGAAAAATATTTTAGGGGGAGATGTGGTTAAAGAGAGTAGGGACATGCATAGGGTGAGTGATTAGCAAGGGGAAAGGGAATAAGCGACTTCGAGACTTCGCTTCTTCCTTTTTCGCGATTCTCTGTATTTCATTTGAAACCGCAAGATGGGATGACGAATGGCAGTGGAGGTGCGGTTGACGTGGCGTTTGTTCATCGGCCTCAGCTAGCACAGGCATTCTTTTTTTCCCTCCCTTGTGGTGGGTGACAAGGTGATTCATTTTTTCGGTTTCATTTTAATTCTTGGTTGGACATTTTCAAGACTATAATGGAGAACTGAATTGAGGTGTGAGAATGAGCGTACTCCCTGTTTCCATAGCTGGGAACGAGGACTTCCTCTTTCCTTGATTTACTTCACTCCTCCTGCCTACTTTTACTCCAGCTAGCAACAATGCCTCCCAGTTGGATGGGAAAGTTGACGCGTTTGTTCACCGTTTCAGCATCCTTTGCTGAATGGAACTCGGAGCTTGGAGGTTTTAGTGACGTTCACTGTATTTATAGACTAAATTTTTTAAAAAGAATAATTACATTCAATCTAATATTCCAACCAATTTTTTTTTCTAACTATCATGTACCATCGCCAAAAACGTTGCGGTTTTATTAAAACTTATCACATTCGAAGTCGCCTTCACTTCGCTAAAACACGGCCATTTGCACCCCTTTCGAATGGTTGCTTTACCCAACTCAGAACAGCCACACAACTAAAGATTTTCTTAAATACGGTGTATTTTTCAGGCCAAAGAAGAGATAGCCATTCTCGAGCTGCTTCAAAAGGCGAATCCCAATCCGAAGGGCTCGTGGGATCGCTATCCTATCGTCAGGCTGATCGAGCACTTCATGTATCATGAGCACATGTGCCTCAGCTTTGAACTGCTCGGCTGTTCCCTGTACGATTTGATCAAGGACAAGAAGGACCAGGGTCTTCCCCGAGATAGGGTTAGGCGGCTCATGGCCTCCGTCCTGGATGGTCTCTCCTACGTCTGGAAGGCGGGAATTATACACTGTGATCTGAAGCCGGAGAATGTCCTCCTCGTCAGTCGCGACGCTGACGGCGGTCCCGACGACATTCGTGATTATGTCAAGATAATTGATTTCGGCTCCTCGTGTTTCGTTGGTAAGCAGTGCTATCCTTACATCCAATCCCGCTTCTACCGGGCACCTGAGGTTATAATGCGCTTGGACTACGGCCAACCAATCGACATGTGGAGTTTCGGATGCCTCATCTTCGAAATGATACGAGGTGAGTGCACAAAACCGATGACAGGCAGGCAATTTGCATATTCAATGCCGCCTCGCATGGTTGCTAGGGGGCTATGGAAGTGGTGGTCTTGCGTGCCTGCCAAGCTGTCAACTCTTGAGCTACACATTTTAGCAAAAGACGAACATTCTTGTCCTCCTGATTTCAATTTCTAACACTAAACCGATTATCTCAGTGATGTAAATAGTCTACAGTCGCCTAGTGACGGATTAAGTCGAAATGAGACATTTTTGCGCTCAAACGTAGGAACTCTATGCCCGTTTTTCTCCTCTTTCTCCATCCATCCACAAGTAAGGAGATTTTCTTTGTCATTTTTAACTGATTCTCACCGACATTTTTAGTAAGAAGTTGGAAAAAAATAAAGGGGAATGTTGTGGGGCTGGACTTTCGGAGGCCGACTAGCCAATCAGCAATAAGGGCCTATTACCAACTTTTGTGGTCTTTAAATTTCTGGGCCAAAAAAAATAAGCCACAATATTCCAGAGAGGGCATATCACAGATGAGAAAAGCACGCTTAACCTTCTAGTTTTAGCCACCTGCCCTGACCTGCCCCGCCCCCTTCACCCCCTCCCTTCAGGCTATTTCGACTTAACGCGCAACTCAAAAACTTATCGGTTGGTTTTTTTGGCAGCAGGAGGAGAGCGCTCTGAGTTGATTTAAAAATGGAGCAATAATTACCGGTCAAGTGGGTTGTAAAGTCAGGTCTTCGATCAATCTGTAGCAGGAAGCTTCAATATACACAGATAAAGATGACGTAGTGGTGAAGGCCACTTGAATATCTCTCCCTTTTTTACTCCTCCCTCCTCATCTTCCCATCAAAAAAGTTAATGAGCCATCTCGGCGATGTGTACCTTTGTGAGGGATTATGCGGTAAACATCATGAGGAGCACAGACGGGGAGAAACAGGCTGAAAGCCACGTCTCCCCCCGTGCTTCTCTCCCACCTTCTTCAGGTGGGCTCCTTATTCCAAACTGAGTTATGGTATCATTTTTATGCCTCAAGGTTATTCCAAATTAATTTACGACATCCAGTTGAAACTTCGGCTTCCTTGCTAAGGTTGCGGAAATTGCGCCTTGGATTTATGGTGAAAGACACCCCTCCGGGTTGATGATAACGGTGGTGATGCACCAACCCAGTTGGCATGCATGGAGGTTTTTTTTGCCTTTGTGGTACAATGAGCACGAAATCGTTCTCCTACTGACGGTTATGATTAATCCCCCCACCTTCCAGAAACAACCGGCATGAATGAATCATTCCTGCTGACCCCTGTCTCGCCTCTCCCTCTCCTTCTCCTAGAGATGCTGGTATCCCACTCACCACGATCCATTTTCACGGCCATGGTTACCGAACCGTAGTAGATGGCGTGCTCGAGTAGAACTTGATAATAGGTGTTCTAAGAGGTCAATAAGGTACTGAAATTCCTCCTTTTTAGGCTATCCACTATTTCCTGGTGAAGATGAGTTTGATCAACTGGCTTGCATGATGGAGAAGTTGGGAATGCCTCCATGGTCGATGGTAGGATCATCGCGAGTCTTTTCTCGCTACTTCTATGAGGTCAGTGGTGCGATAAAGTACTACAAACCACAGGATAGACAGACACCGCTAAAATTCGTCCCACACTACTGCACAATTCGTCGAGTGTCGGAGGAAGTGGCTGAGCTCCAGCACAACCTCTCAAAGAAGACCCGACGCCTTCGAAAGCCACCAGGTGCAGTGTCAGTAGAGCATGCCATTGTCAGTACCTTGTCTCACAACTCTGGCAAGTACAGTGACTACACACCAACATCGTCAGAAAAGATGGACAATACTCATGTGGTGAAGTTAATTGAGGCCTGTCTCAACTGGGTACCGGAGAAGCGGATAAATCCAGATCAGGCCAAAACTTTCTCCTGGTTCAGCTACAAACCCACCCATCATAACGAACATAGCCAATTGGCCCAACTCCCTCGATCTACCCTGTTTTCGAGCCCCTCTGCAGCCCTGAGTAAACGCTTCAGTGATTCCAGCCAAGTGTCATTACCTGCAGAGATTATTCCACCTCATAAGGCAGCCGTATCGAATGGGGGATTGGCTACGGTGGTTCCTATTCATGCACCTCCAGTGTCGACAATTGTTCCCCCCTCACTACATGTTAACATGGCGGCTCGAAACGTCGCCAATCCGATGCCTTTAGGGAATCCCCTCAGGGTGAAGAACTGCTTGACCTCTGTTTCAACGCCCGATTTTGAGACGTCTAAGAAGCACGGATCTTCAGCATCTATCTCCTCCGATGAGAATAAACAGGAGGAGAGGGTACTTTATCCACGAATCAATAAACTACAAAGTCCCAAATCCTTTATCTTTGAATATAACCCTGGACATGGATATAACCCGGGTAATTTGGAGAAGAAGGTCTCTGACATCTCATTGGCATCCCACGGCTCCAGCATTGACGATGTGGCGTCGCGCACGCTTGACAACCTACTGTACACTAAACGAAATGGCGTACAGATGAATGAACGCCGTCTAGAGCCGGTGGCACGTGTACGACGGCGAAATCAAAGCATGGAACCGAAAAGGCACACTCAACCGGTTGGAAATGAGGAGGTGATAGAAGAACAAAACATTTTACCATCACTAGGCTACACGTTTAGCAAGACAGCCACTAGAAGCTCCTCCTCGGAGGATGAATCAGAGAGCAGCGGAAGACACAATCCCCACTCCTTCAATAAGACATCTCAATGGGACATTTCTGCCGTGGATCGACGCGCAGGGAAGGCCATCGACTTTGGTGTCCCAAGAAGAGGATCAAAAGCGGATAGACGTCCAACCTTGACAAAAACAAGATCGCTGTTAGGGCGTGAAGAGACTTTGTTACAGAATAACTCGGATGACTCGGAGATGTCATTTACCAGGAGGCCTATTTATGACAATTTACGACAACCAAGGTGGGACAACTTGAGAGACTTATCCAAAGAGTCTAGGATGAAAATCTCACCACAACAGTCCACACTCCCCTCAATAAATCGTCCCTACGCGGCCAAAGATGGCGGTGTCAGGTTGGCACAAACTCACACAGATTATAGACGTCGTCGAATTGCCGGCAAATCCTCCTCCATCAATCAAATCAACGACTCACGGGATCTGGATCTCACCAATTCACACTCCAACGAGACGATGAAAGTCCCACACCTACCGACTGCTGCACGTTTAGATGACGCTGTAGATAGAGACAGCAACAATTTTATGGATTTAAACAAAATACCGTCCTCCATCATGATGATTAAACCACAGACATAGAAGAACCTCCCTCTACAGCCCAACCACCCCCCGAACTGTGGTAAAACTCGTCGCTATTTTCTCATGTTTCATAATTTCTTTTTTTTTTCAATTAAAGTGATTTATTGTAAAATACCACTTCGGCGTTTGGCTTCTTTCGTTTTCTTCCTCCACTCCAACTTTTCTTCGTCTCCCAAACCCTATCTCCTCCTTCCTGTTGCTAAAGCCATTACTTCTCCTTCGTCTGATGTGCTACCCTTAAAAGCAATAAGGAAGATGGTGACCATTGTCTTGACTCAGGCCTTCTTGGAAAAAAGAAGAAGGTAAGATGCCTCGAAATCGCTGACTCCCGCCGAAGTCTTTCCTACGAGCCCTGTGTCTTGTTTTGTACACTGGTTTTTCACTAGCCCATATTTAGACCTCCAGACTTACTCGATTCACTTTTTCACCCACCCCCACTCCCCCACTTCTCCAGCCCCTACTCTCTACTGCGCGAATTACTACTTCATTCAGTAAAAGAACGAAAAGCGAGTTCGCTTTTTTTTTGTTCTGTGTGCGTACCTATGTGTGGTTGTTTAGGCACGAAAAGTGGTATAAATTATGAGAATGTGCGAAGTAGATGTTTGATGTAATCGCGCTATTAAATTACACGGTTAGAAAAGTATAGGCAGAACGAACTCAGAAAGCCACCTTCAAAATAGAAAAGCAAAATTGGTCCCTTGTTTGACCTTGAAAGTGGTAAAGCACCATAGTTGTGCGAATTCCAGCGGCAGTAAAAAGCACATAAACGGCTGCTTTTGTCTACTGTATAGCCAAACGCATTGGGGGAGGATTTGACGGGGTCCGTGAGACAACAGTTAAACCTTTTTCAAAATCCCTATCTTCGATAACATAGGGGAAGATTTGCTTCAATCTTTCACAAGCGCGACACAATACCATCTTGTACTTAAATACAAGGTCAAGGATATGCGGAATATAAACCAAACCTCAGGAATCCAAACTTGCAAAAAAATGACATTTTCATGCGTATATAATTCAAATTGTTAAAAAATCCTAAAAGAGATTAAGGGTTAAGAGATATCACACAAGACCTTGGTGCTTCGAAAAAGGCATATGTGAAGGTGTTTTGAAGATTCATTCAAAGAAATTTGACTATCATTCTTGAAGACCGATGAATCTTTTTGGAAGACGCAGGCGATCTTGGAAATGATAACGGGGGTACATTGCAGTTGCAAAAATGGCTGAGGTGATAATTGCATAGCTCGGAAAATATGCCGCCGATAAGAAGTACAGTATTCGAAAAATTAAGTGGTAGTAAGATCAAAGGCAGAATTAAACTGATTAGCAGAGGAATATGCTCCTAATAATAAAGAATAATTCGCAATGTTTTTCGCGACTGTTCCACATACATGTATTCGCGAAGACGTCAGGAGGCACATTGATTGTGTCAAAATGCAAAGTGGGACCTCGATTACTTAAGCAAAAGAACGCTAATCTCATAGTTTAATGCAAATTAATCGAGGAAAAGAAGATGGTGCATCTCCTCCTTCCCAAACGGAGCGCAATTGGCAAAGGCCACGAAAGTTAGGTGTTGCGTATTTTTTGCAGATTTATCTTAGGAAATCGAGGTAGCTAAATAGTCGCCATGTGGCAAATTAAAATCGTAATTTGGAATATGAAAGCACTTTCCCGGTCATTAAAAGCAGATAACAAATTGAAAATGACCAAAAGAATCCCATTCTGCCAACTCTTGTACAGCGCATATTTTGCAAAGGCACGAAAAGCATATGTCAATACTACCTGTAATACAATGGTTGTTTATCCCTCGGAGTGGGTGAGGCGCCACTTTTGGAATTTCGAATTTTGTCTTCTTCTACTACCCTGGGTAGGCTGGCCTTCAATCCATGCTAGCAGCCCAAACAACTTTTTTGTGCTAATTACATATATTTTCCGCAAGAGTACTGTGTTTTCTTTCGTCTCTAGGGTAGTCTCAAGGCACTACATAACAATTATTAGGGAAGCCCGGGCGCGACCATGTTATTCGCAATCTGGGTGTTTAAATTTACTCAAAACCTGAATCTTGTAATTCCTAGGTTAAGATTGTACTTATTTTTTCAAACTGTTTTAGAGTATAACATGTGTAGTCTAGTGTGCATCTCGAATATTTATCTTAGAACAAATCTAACGCCTTAGCACTCTCTTGAAGAAGCTCTAAAGGCAAAATATTCGCCCAATAAATATTTATGCTTTTGACTGCAAAATAAAACAGACTTTTTAAGGCCTTTGTTTATTTTAATAAATTAACTAATCTTCATGAAGTGCTAATTGGGTCAATCAGCTGCATCTGCTTAACCGCGTGTTGTGATTTATGAGAAGGCGAGCGTCGCCGTCACGTCATGGGTAAATGATTAACTACAATTTAAGGTTAAAAAAGCGTGTCCATGCTTAAATCCATTTCTAACGGTACCTTGACCTGCCTACTTCTTTGTTGTAAGGCGTCTGAACTTTCTGAGCCATTTGAGTTAATTTGTTTTCATTTAATTAAATGGGCAGTTTTAACTGCCACAGCTTGTGTTTGTGGCTGTCCTACATTTGCTTTTAAAAATTTTCTAACTATAATAACTTTTTGAGATATTTTAACGTTTTGTTTACTTTTGACTATATTATGTATTTTTTAAGTACTTGGCTTGTTTATAGACTTTTTTCGATTTAGCACTTTTTTCTTGGTTAGGCTTTAACGACACAAACACCTAAAATTGTTAGAACTTTGCTTTAATATTGTTGTTTTCTCCCTGTGTTATTATGGAAAGTTGGGAAAATTGGTATAGTCCTATAAGCAATATTTGCTGGGAAATCGTATATTTTTTTTAGACAAACATGATGATTGTTTGGGAAAAATTCCTTTCATCGCGGTTGTTGCATTCATTTTTGTGCTTGTTGGCGCTTTAGTCGCTGGTGGTACGCTTTATAAGGCATTTCTTGAAACAGAGGATATTTTCGCGACAAACTTCGTCTCAATTCCATGGTTAGTAGCACATTTTTTTGCAATATTCTTTTTTTACTAGGTTTACAGGTTGTTTACACTCTGGATTTTATTTAGAACTGTAAAAATTGCAAAATCATATATGAATTTTACTTTTGTTATTTTTATATTAAGGTTAATGAATATTTTTTAGCAACGCTGCTTTTGTGACCGCCATTTAAAAAGCACAAGGGCTGCTTTTTAAAGCCTGTCCTTTAAATGTTTAAGCTGTATGTTAAGCATTGCACTTGCAAATCATTAATATGGTAAAATTTGGCCCTTTTTAATAACTAATATTTCTTGAACACCCTTTGAGCTAGATGAATAACACCAAAATGTGTCCTGCCAAGCCTTTGCAATGGGTAAACAGAAAGAGTAGAAGAAGAAATTCGTTCCTTCACAAAGTGGAGACAAGCATTTGTGTCCGAGGTAAAAAAACACAAATAGGGTGGTAGAAAAAAGCAGAGCCGCCCCTAAAGCAGTCACTTGCTGCGATAAAAACATGCCTAATTGCCTCTTGTTTTCTGGACAAACTTATGCGGTATAAAGTAGAATAGATAGATGGTTGGATGACATTGGTTGTTGGCTTGGTAGTGAAATGTCATTTTCGTGCTTTTAGGATGTGGTATCTACAAGTAGCCGAGTTATTGGTATGTGCTGTGGTGGTCTACTTTGCCATTATGATGCTCTCCTTTGCCATCGTGGTGAGCAAACGAACTCGTGGAAGGCATCACCGAGTTCTTGAAGAGGGCTGTGTTATGGGTGGACGCAAAACTGCAGCATTCGTAAGTCCACCTGTCTGCCTATTAGCAACCCATCGATAGGGGAACCAGTCCTATGGAAATTTTAATCACTTTTTAGGACAGTTGAGGAGGTACTACTCACATGATTTCAGCGTAGGGGGGTGACCTCCTTGCCTTTAAATATGCGCGAGCATTCCACATAGCCTCCTCCTCCTACCAACGCAACAAATGGCCAATAAAACTCGGCAGGCATGATTCGAAGTTATCTCCTGCCTCACGAATGGCGTTGTAGGGGAGGCTGCTTGCACAGCCTGTGGAACCTTTTAGAGGTGGTGTGATGACAGATCAATTTCTGACGAAAAGTCTAGCAAATCGATCTCTGAGAATGAATTACTCTGTGGTGACGATGCATCACGTTGAGACATATTCGTTCTTTCTATCTTTCTCTCTTCTCTTTTACAAAGGCAAAAGCTTGTCCGATTAACCAAATAGATGCGCGTCCAATAGGTATCACCATGTAATTGGATGAAATTATCTGCACCATTTCTGCGTCCTCTTCCTACTTCTTCTCCAATCCGAGACTAGACTCCATGCATTTGCATGAACTTTTTCGGCTACAACATATAATTCAAAGAGGCAGCTGTGAAATCCCAAATAATGGGTTACCAAGGTAGCGACATTACTAGCCCCTAATGCCCATTAATTTTGGTACTCCTCCTAAAAATAGACCATAATCAGTTGCCACTTTTATGGCTCTTTAATTTTGGACTGCCGCAGTGCTAAGGGCTTTAGCTTTTTGCAGGTAAGGACGGTTTTATTTAGGCCCTGACAAAAAGGCCTTCAAAAACCACCCGCTGGAGAGACCTACCGATTGGCCGGTGGCCCGCTGTGACAAATGCGATTGGCTGCTGCAATATTTCCCACATGGGCACTCTTTGTAATGGAGGTAATCATTGCAGCCCCCGAATTGGTAAAATGGTAGCTAAAGTAGATAAAACTAAAACTTCGGACGCGTGAATGTAAAGCGACTCCTTTGTTTGTCTAAACTGAAAGTCATCTTGTCAACAAGTGGGTGGTGAGTTGACCTGAAAGTTTACGAAGGTGGAAAAAAATTTGCCGAACATAGGGGCTTTTTCATTTGTTTTCCGAAAAATTTATAAGCATGATAACAAGTTTTTTGTTTATTTACCGCCATGTCAAATTTTTAAGCAGATATGGATGTGTTTAGGTCTCTGAAGCGACGCTCGCAGCAATGGCGGTGGTGATGGCAGCAAACGTCACAATAATTGTTTAAGTGTAGCTAATTGGGCCGGAGGTATAAAATTTAATAAGTTGTGGCCTTAAAAAGATATTTTTTGGTCCCTGTATTTGCTTAATTTTTGATTAAAGGAAGAAATCCGTCTGCTGAAGCAGTCTAGACACACTTGCTTACGACGAAAGACCGCACAGCGCCCCCACGTCGCCCCGAATTCGTACTAAGATGTAGAAGTATAGGCTAGCACATACTACTTGCAAGTGCTCGGGTATTTTGACGCACAGCTGAGCAAGAAAGTTGTCAAACTGTTGCGTTTCTTTGCCACTTGATAACAACTTCAAATGACAGCTTTCTATTCTCTTTCCTCTTTTTCTCTCCTATGTCCAGTTTGGACTGGAAATGTTTAATCTCCAACCAAATCTCTTTCAAGAGTTGCTTCTCTTTTTCATCCGGTAGACCACTTCCCGTAAACAGCAACTTCTCGGCTTTCCATTTGTCAAATCTTGCCTACATGAAACAGCATCTCCAAAGCCTTTCTTTCCCGGGAATGAGAAATAATGTCATAGTTAGATAGTTTGACAGCTAGTTAGCTGGGGTAAACAGTTGGTCGGAACAAGGACACCGCCAGAAACTTTCTAATCACTCTTTAACTCTTTTAGGCAAAAGCCCAATCCTTTATTTTTGCAATGCAAATCTTGCTTATTTTCCTTATTCTGCCTAGAAATTACTGCACTCAATCACTTTTACTATTCTGACTTCTGTTAATGATGGTCTCAGTTTTTATGGGAAGAAAATGAAATATCAGCAATTAGGAAGTCACTCATTCACTTTGCCACTAGCATATGGGTTTCATTAGCAGCCTTTAAATTGTACCCAATTCCGACCTTCTGATTGGCTGCGTAGGTTGACTGTACTCGTGGTGAGGAGGAGTTTACCTCAATCTGATTGGCGCAGACTAGCCAGCATTCCATTTGGGTTCAACCAGCTTTCGAGGCGAATTACCCTTGCAAAGTCTCCATTAGAATGGGCAAATCTCCAACTTTCTATCGTGGGTTGTACTCACTGGCACTCTCAACTGGTGGCGATGGCTCTAGTAGCAGGGCTGCTTTTTAATTCTGATTGGCTCACGAAATAGCCAATAGCTGGCCGAGTATAATACTAAATGAATTTTTTCTTAAATATATTTTAAATAATTTTTATTTTAAAGAAATTTACTCACTGGCCATTAAATTAGCGATGCATTTTTTGCCATCATTCTAGACGCATTAGATATGTGTCAGTAGCTTTTGAGACCAATCGGGTAACTTGGTAGTGTTTTTGTTAATTTATTATTTACTGGAAAGCTAACAACGCTAGTTTATTTCAATGGCCAGTTTTTTATGCGGTATTCTGCTTCTTATGACCATCAGGCACAGTTTTCGGTGGCAATCGGGGTACCTTTGTGCATACTTTTAAGGGGAACTTATTAGCTTCCCGCGTTTGGCAAGTTAATGAGTCGATTAATAGGATACAAAATCAGAAAAAATGAGTTTTTAGTTTGCCCTAGGTGAAGGGCAATTAGAAGCAGTCAGAGTGATATCGATGCCAGAATTCGAAACTCTAGAGTGGGATACTTTAAGCAAAAGATCACGAATCCTTAGCAGTGATTTTGAAGCTCTCTTCAGCGCCAATTTATGAGTCCTCTAGTTTACACTTTGAGGTTTTTTAAATTGTACTAAAACGGCGCTTAAAGTCTTACTTGTGGGTTAAAATCGTTGCCTGCGGGGAAGAGGTCGTCTAAGTAATGTGCCAGCGGAAGGTGGAAAGTGCAGCGTAAAGGAGGGTAAAAAGTTTGACAATTAAGTTAATAGTCTTATTCAAACTGCCTCAACTTTTTCCTTTAAACCTTGCCTATGTTGCTCTTCTTGGTTACTCTTCCTAGACTGGCCAGAAAGCTTCATAACTTATGAACCAACCCAGTTAGGCTGGAGTTTTCTCGGCATTTTTGATTGAAATATTTTGCTTTGGATCCCTTTCACCATGCGCCATTTACTGAGGTCGGTAACAACACAAACATCAATTTCTCCATCACTTTGTTTACTTCCTTCCTATCCTACTTTGAAAATTTATGACGCCCGTGCTTTGACTTTGATAATGCCTCTACCAGTGTGACCTTTTTGCCACACTCTTGACAAGGTGATTCAAGCACCTAGACTTGAAAATGGCCGCAGTTTTTGTATTCTAGTCGTTGTAAAAGAGGAGCTGTCTAGTCAAAAATATCGTGCCTCTAATAGGAGTTGTGTCTACTCAAGTCTCTGCTAGTAGTATAAGGCGACTGAATAAGTTTGTATCGTAAGGGGGAAAATTGATAAAGATGTAAACCATTTGCTCCATTGATCACTTGGGACGTAGCTGAAGGGAGGTTTGGATACCTTTCGAAAGGTGGTCTCTGCTACGGCACTTTTTCTCAACTTGATGAGAGGTATCGGCGGCCTTGGAAACGCGGCGAACTTTCTTCTTGAAGCTGACAAGCTCGAATCCTGTACGTGCCGCGGCATTAATCCTCGGTGGTGATTTTAACTAAATAATCACGTAAGTTCCCCGTGGCAGCAGTTGTTGCCGTCTTCTGTCTTCAATGCCTGCTGGACTGAAACCATCGCGTTGATGTAGTGTGAAGGCTAAATGGCAGATATTCTCAAAAGGACGAAGTTTTTCTTTGTATGTTCATTCATAAGTGAGTCATGCGGCTTGAAAGTAGCCGTGTCGGTGTTGAGGGTGCGTGATACTCCCCAGGCATCGCCTAAGTAGCAGACTGGGCATCAATAAATCATCTACCAGCAACAATGAACCGCAACCCCTGGCCATGACAGGGTTTGTGTAGTGATTAACACTAGCGTCTAAACGTTTGTTGCCTACTGGGCGAGTGTAGTGATCAGAAGAACCTCCTTTGATAGTCACTTTTTAGCAATATGTCTGAACTAATCAGAAACGCCGAGCAGCTCTTAAGATTCCTCGCCACTTTCTCCGTCTCCACACAATAACACACACACACACAGAGAGAGAGAGAGAGCGAGACACATTAGAAGTCCTTGGACAACTGGGTTACCTACAGAGCTCATCAACGCCCACGCTGGTGATAATGCTACTTCCCAAGGGTTAAAAGGAAAAGTCCTGTCATCGGTAACATAAATAGGAGTTGCAGAACATTAGCAGCTAGGCTAAAACTTCACTGCGATGTAAACGAGGCTGCTACTTTGTCCTCTAAAAAAAACAATTGGCTTTATTGTTGTCAAATGCTTTCTGATAATGCAAATAGGTGCTGCCAGGGCAAATGTGTTTACATGCGGAAGGGTTGTATCGCGCTATTCACGACCTCGTAGGGGCAACAAATTCAGTCAACGCACTGTATTCTTTGGACAAGGAAAGCTGTTTATAGGGGCATTATTGTTTTCCTGACTTCTATTTCCATTCTTTTAAAGCATTTTCTTCCCGGAATAATGAGAGATTTAATGCCTGAGTGATTGAGCTCTTCATTTAAAACTGACCAATCAGAGCATGGCTAATTGTTGATCAATTATATTTCAAGCCATATAAAGTCATCAGTCAGTAAACATCATTTATCCATTTTATCACATTTATTGCTTATGTGCCATTTTTTTACTGAATGCCAATATCAAAGTCAAAGTGGCCTTCTTGCACAAAAATTTTGTCATCCGCAATTTAGTCAACGCAGACCCTGTACTTGCATATTTCACAAGGAAAACTCCTTGAATTCTTATTAGTTATTTTCTACCTTTTTTCAATCTTGTGGAGCATTTTTGTTAAAAAAGAGGAATATTTATCGTTTAAAATGCTAATAATGCCCCATGTAGAAGTACAATGGCAAAATTTCCTAACCAATTAGATTTCAGGTCGTAATAAATCCACCAATCAGAGAATCGCACACATCTGTGTGGTCTCCGACACTGTGCGTTGTTTTTATAAAAGAAATCATTTTAAAAATCGTTTTCAGGCAAGAATTAAAACTTGAGTGTCACTGTGAAAGTCGGTGTTACTCATGCTTCCTCCAGTAACGTTCAGGATCTAAAGAAGCGGTAGTAAAAGAGTTCCCACTACAAAGTCGGAATTTCAAAGTGAAATGTCTTTTTCTCTCGTACATTCCATGACGTCAAAAAATTGGCCATAATTAAAAAAAAAGCAGGGACTAAATTTTTTGCAATACAAGCTACTCAAAAGTAACTGCTTTAGCCAATCATCAACTTTAATTTCTTTGCTAATTTTTGTCAAATAAAGAAAAGAGGTTTTTTTCTAAATAATTTCAAGGCAGTTGCTTTAAAACACGTCGATCACAAATAAATTTCGTTTTGCCTCGGGTCTTATCAAAAATCTTTGTAAGCCTTGCTGAATGGAAGGATAATTCACTATTAACGGTTTGTTGTACCGTGCATGGCCTCCCAAACGGCGGGAGCGGGAGGTTTGGAAGGCGTAGGCCGCAGGCACAAATCATGGAGTGTCTAAAAGACTGAAATTTTCGAGAACTTTTCCGTTTGCATGCAATTCTGTCTATGACCTCTCTTTTCTGTGAGTGTAAGGTTTCAAGGTCAACGGATGGCATTCGAACACTCCTGTCAAAAATGGGTCAAAACTTCATGCAGTTTAGCGTGGGATTTAGCACTGTGGAGTTAAGCTGCTGCTTGAGAGACGGAGAAGGGGAAACTTTTTCCTTATTCACCGTGAATGGCGAAGTGTATGTGCTCGGGAACAAGTATCCTTCTTCGGTGACAGGTGTGCCTAATAGGGGAGCAAAATCCCAGCTATTAAGCAATTGACAAGTCGTCTACTCTAGGTTTGATGAGTCTGTATTGAATATGTGTTAATGGTACACAGTTACCCAACTTCTTCCCTCCAGTTCAAAGAAACCTCTTGTCACTTACCACGGCTTTCGCATTCTTCTTTAATGGATGCAGTTCCTGTGGACAACCTTCCTCATCCTCTTCTTTTGGCTGTTGCTCTCTCTCCTTCTGGCGGTGCCTAATGTGGCCTGGTGCATGATTGCCAGTGTGTGTGAACACGAGTTGGCAGGAGTCTACACCGGTCCCGGTGTTCGGAGGCCCGGCTTCCATCAGAGCAACATTCCGCTGCGACCCTTTTGGGAGGAACCTGGCTATCGACCCCCTGAACGTCCACGCTATGATCCAGCCTATGGGAGGCAAAGTCTACCCGTACCTCCACCTGCTGGATTATCTTTTGGTGGTGGAGTTCCACCGGTACTGGCCAAAGCAAATGAATCCCTCGTGGCGCAGTTTGGCATTGGACGAAGCGAACCCTTCTACTATGTCTTCAATCTTACCTCCTATGGTAGGTGCGGTGGTTTGGGCATTTCCCCAACTGCAGAGGTGAAAACTCCCTGTCGGAGTGGCACTTCTTCATCGCGTAAAAATGCTTTAACGTTCTTTTTATGTATTTAAGAGTATTCTCTTTGTAGTAATTTACCAACGACATTTAAAATTTAAGAAGAACTTATTTAAAAAATTGAAGGAAGTATAAAATTGGATCTCACAAGTCGGGAACTAAGGCAGTTGACCAGTAAAGGGCGATGAGTAAAGTGAATGTTAAAACAATACTTCGTATTTTCTTTAAAAAAAAGTTGAAAAAGTCACATTTATGAAGATGTAAATAACTTTCTGGAGTAAACTCATGAAATGCCTTAAAATAGCGGGCATATAGGAGACCACCCAAATAAATAAACTGAAGCCAGTAATGAAGCGAATAAACACTGGCCTGCTTTTTAAAGGAATGGCACTGGGCTTAGGAACTTCATTAAATACAATTTTTACCATGTTAACAATGCTTTATTTTTGCCCTTATAAATGGATAAATATTTTCAGTTGTATATTCTTGTTTATTCCTATTGGATGCCTTAGTAGATGAATCAATTTTTCAGAAAGTTATGTTCGTAATAATTAATTATAAGAAAGTTGTTTCCTTTTAGTGGATTTTATCCTTGATTCAGAAGCCGGCCATAAAGTCACGTAGAGTAAATTTAATGAATAAGGAGGGTTTTCAGTAAATTTTACAAAAAAGGACCGAGAATTAAACAACTCTTAGTGTCCTTTTTTCTCCAACGTCCCTATTAGAATTATTCAATGCCAGGATTTTAAATTTAAAGTAGGCATACTGTAGGATAAAACATATAGTTCGTAAATTTTGCGGAAAAGTCATCTTTATTTTTAGGAAAACACCTGCGCATTACTCAGCAATGACGGAGAAAGTGGTTGCTACTAAATAATTAAGCTAGTTGGAACCAGAAACAAATTTATTGCAACATAGGGCATTCTCAAAGTTAACGTCCGACCACTTGATAAAAAAAGTAATTTTTGGGCGATTTTCTTTTTAAGGTTTGTAATGCTTTGTTTTCAACATTATCAAGGGTAAAATTTCCACCTACAAGCTTTTGTTTATTTTCGTTGCTGAATGCAGCGCGTGACGAGACCTCCTAGTATAAACAATGAACTTGTTCTTTTTGAAGGGTTAAAAGATATTTTCTTCATTTTAGTGAAGTAAATTGAATGACAAGCCGGTAATTAATGTTTAGTTCTAATCCCTCATGGATCAATTTCAGCTGTAGGGTCGAGTTGAATCAAAATCTTGGGGTACAAAAGTTTTTTTTTTTTTTTTTTTTTAAGGTTTCGGCTGTAAACAATGCTGAAAAACTAATAAGCTTGCATTCTGTCCAACAGTTTTCAGTCATGGTGCAGAGCTGTGATGTTTTGTCTGACTATACTCAGCCAGCTAGAAATGAGGTCTCTTCCCTGAAACCTTCGAGGAAGACTTGGGAAGCTACCTCCAGATGTGGAATAAGACCTCTGAATGGGAGGAGCAATCAGTCACGTAGAGAGGCACCAGAGTCATTAGTCGAGACAGGAGGGTCGGGAACTGAAGATTCTGCGAAATCTCCTTCCCCTTGCGCCGGTCATCATCCCTAATTCCCCCCGGCCCCCTCGTCCAGTTCAACTCATTCACTAGTGGCCACAGCTAAGGAAGATAGTCATTACTTTCCATGGAGATGAGGATACATTTAACCTTGTCGGTTTGCCGCAACCGAGGTTTCGTCCTTCTTTATGGACTGGAACCCCAGAGCTTGAGGTTGGGCTATAATCGTCGCCGATTCCAACTGATGTGTTGATCGTTGCCCACGAAAACGGTTGCTCAGAGGCAACTCAAAGACCCCTTTGCCACGCGCGTGGTCCGTCATTCACCTGAGGCCCCACTTCCCTCAAGTGGAGGGGTGAAGTTACCATTTGTCCATGACGCTCATGAGCCCTCATGAAAGTATCGGCGGCGAGTCCTATGCATTCTTTCCTTCTGTAACGTTGAAGCTGATTAAATTGCCCACGAGGTCAGGACATTTGTTCATGCGGCTTCACAGAGTTTGTCACTTTTACTGAAGTATCCTCTCAAATTCTCTCTGAGGTCACGCACGATATCTCATCACTCCGCAGAAGGAAGTGGGGAAGTACAGGTTGGAGAGAGTGAGAAGTGCCTACCTGATTTACTAGATATTTAAACAAGCATCAAATCATCATTATTTGAGTAAAAAAGAAAAACATTTTTCTTTATAAATTGCATCATGGTTGATGGTTGCCAGGCAACATCCACACGCCTTCAATGCGCAGTTTTTACTTAGTCCGTGCCTTCTATTAGGGAATAGGGAAAAAGAGGGTGGAATCGCATGTCTAGCTAGACAGAAGAAGGGGTGAATTTACTTAGATATTTTTTTTCGGGGAGCGGGGACAGGCGGGTAAGAAGAATTTGGATTGAATCCGTATCCAGGCCTCGGGTGGCGTTGGTCTAATTTATCGTCCAAAGTCGCGCAGCTCAAATCAGCCACGCGACAAATTATTTGCGTCGGAGAGGCGTTTTTCCATCCTCTCTTGGGTAAGAGGTTTATTCTCTTTTTTATTTAGAAAAAGATTTATATATTAAATTGATCATTTTAAATTAATTGGTGGTAAAAGTGGAATTCGTTGGTGATTGGGGGTGACAAAGATGGTATTTTGAGTTGTCTATTGGGAACGCGGAGCGAATCAAACCTCTCCAAAAGGACCCACTCACCTCCACATCCAACAGTTTGAAGGTCTGCATCACCTCATATCCAAGGGACAGTGTAACTTGCGTAAGCCGTCCACTGTAGAGGCGCATTTGTGCGCCTCCTCAATTTCTAAAAAAATGGAAAGTGGAGAAGAACGACTAGGTCGTTCCGAGAAGTCTCCTACGTTGGTCAATCAGTCGGCAGAATGTCTAGTATATAGACAGTGAGGAGACTCCACCTCTCTTTACATTCTACGCCTTCTTTACCCTCTTTAACTCTCCTCCTCCTTCGCTATCCCTGGAAGGTGATGTTCCTTCACCCTCCAAGCTACCCATGACATCATCGCGTGGAAGCAGCATTCGACTCTTTTGTGATCCAATGGGAAGTGAACTGCAAGCAGTTGGGCAAACTAAAGTGAGGTCAAAACGATGTCCGGTACTACTGGCTGCTTATTTGGTCTTCCGATGATAAAATAACAGTAACCCCCACCACACACACACGCATAAACACCACGTTACCTCCAAACCAGACGGTAGAGTGAATGCGCGCTTTGGCTGATATGGAGGGCAGAGAGGTAGTGCTTTAGCTCATTCCATCCCCCTTGCCCTTTCTTCCCCCTCCTATTCCTGCTTCTATTACTCCTTATCTTCCTCCTCCTCCTCCTCCTCCTCCTCCTCCTCCTCCTCCTCCTCCTCCTCCTCCTCATCTCATCATCATCATCATTATTATTATTATTATTATTATTATTATTATTACTATTATTATCCCTTCCACTTGAGCTCAAAATCTTCGCTCATCTCGAACAAGTCGATTTTTTTCGGAGACAAATATTTTTCAAGTTGTCTTCCTTGTAATGTTAAGGGGAAAAAATTGTCCCACTCGGGATATGTGCCTGCACTTCCTTGGCATTGGTTGCGTAGGCAAAACAGAGGTATCGTTCCCCTCCCCTCCATCGACGTTTAACTTTCCCTTTTGACTTGAAATTTAATGTTCTCGTCAATAACTTCGTTCCATTCCATCTAGTAATAATCATACTAACAGTAAAAAGGGTGTTTAAGTCAAGACGGGACTGATGAACTTTTACCTTAAAAGGCAGTTTCCACCATGGCTTGTCCAAAATGCTGATGCGCGCGTGTCGTTGGCAAGTCCAAGAAGGCTACCAATAGCCGTAGAAGATTCCTCCATACGTAATCGTCCAGTGCATTGAAGCCACATTGACGGTCGACCTCAAATGCTTCTGTACAAGTTCTACGTTGCTATGTCAAGAGCCATGGCACTCGTGGGATGGAATTGACGCGTTGCGACGGACGATCTGCAAACTACAAAAGAATGTATTTATGATGATAAAATGACTAAAGCTGCCAGTAAAATCGGATGAAGTACCACCACATGGCTTGAAGGAGTCTAGTTTTTGATTTGTTTAACATCCACTTACTCAAGAGCGTGAAGCAACGTTACATCGATGGGGACTACGTCCCGTGGATTGACTTAGGGGCCGGAGGAATGGAATGGCGTTGGACACAAATAGGAGGACTACCAAGACTGTCAAAATAGTGTTGTGCTAAAGCTGGGAAAGATGACGAGGCTCGTGCAATGCCCTCTGGTTAGAGGCCCTAACAAGGGTCAACAGCAGCGTTCAGATCAAAAGAGAGACACATACTGAATCAGCCATGCACACTTAAGATCTGTAGGCTGTCCGAGAGGGCGGTAAAGTCTCATGCAGGTAAGTTTTGCTTGGTTCACGATTTGACAGTCCAATCAGATGTGTGTCAATACCTGGAAAAGGAGAAGGTCGCCTTTGACTCTAATCTCTTAAGGTTTGGAGGTTTGAGGGGGTCAAGGAAACAGTCCAGACGCTTAAAACTCACGAAAATTGTCCTACAATTTCTCACAATTCACCCCCAAAAAATTTGGGACCTAATTTCTCAACCCAAAATCAGATGATACTGAATTGACATTCTCTGACACTATTTGGCTGTTTTGCCATTTTTTACAACCTTTGGCGATAAACCTTGTAGTACGTAGATAGGGATGAAAAAGTGTATATTATTCTCCTTCTTTCTTACCCCCCTCCCCTTCCAAAAAAGAGGAGAAAGATGCCGAACTAGGCGAGTTTTCTCGTAGGGTTTTTCAGTGTGAATGCGCCGAAATCGGTTTACATATTTCCACCTTTTTCCTCAAATACTGACGAAAGGGAGGATTTTATGGACCAGTGTATGGCTTTTTATCCCCTTTAGGGATATACATTCAGCCTTGGAAATACCCACCCAACTGGAACGTGCAGGAGACCATAAAAACGCAGGCCAGATTCAAAATCTTCTGCTCCGCGGTAAGGTTTAAGCGCAGTCCCTCCTTTCTTTCCCTACTCTTTTTAATTTTTTCCCCGCATTTCGTTTTCTTCTCCTTAGATTAAAACGGCTGGTTCCCTTTACGGCTGTGCACTGGGTGGAGCAATACTGGTCGATGTTGGTCTGGTAAGTGCTGACCGAGATATGGAAGTTAATTTATACTACACAGTGGTTATAAATGGCCAGAGTCTGGCTAGCAATATTGCTAATTAAGTCTTTTAAAAAGAGGTTGTGTAGGGGATAAACCTGACACCCCAGGAACATTGACCCGAATGTGTCAAAAAGCCGGAAACGACAAAAAAAAACGGCATATTTAAGCGAATATCAATTTTATAAATAACTATTTAATAACTTTCTTTATTGTTGGAAAAAAACCTCTTAAACAGTTGACGCTTTTGGTCATGCGCATTGACCAATCAGATGGGTGCGATTTGTAAGTGATGTGATTGGCTGGCAGAATGAGAAGATACTGAAGGGGTCGCTTGATATAAAAGTAGGTTAAGGCGCATAATTTATTAACTTAGACAAATTATAATTTATTTTAAAAGAAAATTGATCAATAAATTTGTGCTAGAAAAGTTGGTTATATTATTTTACTTTTTGGAAATGAATTAATGAAATGCAGGTCCCAAAGTTAACCCTTGAACCTCCTTTCTAGCAAACCACCTTCACTCCTGCCTCAATTTTGTTTCCGACTGCTTGTTTACTTTCGCGTGACTTGTCGAAATGGGGTGACTAAGCATCGTATTTGAGAAATAGCAGAGGAAAGGAATGGCGAAGGGAGCGGTATTTCTCCAATCCTCTCTCCCCCCCTCAAATTCTTCAATCCCAACCAAAGCCCGGAGAAGTTTAGCGGTGTATCGTCGTGTGTAGCTTTGTAAAACTGTTCAGCCTCTTTCAAAAGTAGGAGAGGACTTTCCTAGCACGCCTTTGAGTGGTTTTGCATGCGGTAGGTGGAGAAAACTTGTGCGGTATTCCTGATTTGGCCTTTAGCAGGTAAACAACTTCGTCTACGGTCTGCCACACATCCACGCACAGCTTCTTGCAGATTTGCGATGTGGAGTGGGATGAGGTGCGGCAGTGAGGATAACCCGTGCTAGACTCGTTTGTTAGAGGAAAGTTAGAGTACGAAAATCGTGCTTCATCTCAAACCCGTCCGCCCGTCCGAAAGTAGTGAGATATAGACATAGCGTACATAAACCAGTAGTCTTCTCTGTCTATCTCTCTCCGTAGAAGTGGCGGTAGGAAGGCGCTATGTCACCATCGCTCATGCCAACTATGACATTTTAGTCTTAACACTTGAATCCCCACATTTCCTCTAGAGGCTCTCTCTGGGCTACTTGGAAGCAGAATACTTGTACCTTTGCATCGGATTTTCTTTATCTCTACCACCGAAGCTAAATTTGAGTCACCTTTAAAGCCACCACATTTCGTCCCAATCCGCTATTGCCTTATAAACGGACCGGTAGCCCATCAACACGCACCGGGCGCCCATTCAGCGAGATGGCCACCAATTCCACCAGCGAATAATGTATCGGTGTAAATAAGCCGTTTGCCAAGAGCACCTTTTAAGCAGACATGAGGTCGCTTCAACTCATGACAAGCCTATATGACGTTCCTGCGGGTTTCTACAACAAACGTTGTTCCTTCAATAAGGTCACCTTCTTGTTATTGTTCGGAGAGTGACTTAATCAAAAAGCAGTAGCCACAAGGGACGCAACCGCGACAAGTCCTTTTACCTTAACTGGGTGTGGGAGGGGGTTGACGGACCTAGGAACCAAAGGGTTAACATTAAAGCTAAATGGGATTTAATGGTTGATTCCCTCCTTCCTCACCATCTTTTTCGTTAATCCATCAAAAAAGGGGAACAAATTATTTTCTTTTATTTCCGGCATTTCAATCCATTTGAAATGGATCATGCTACTGATAGGTTGCTGAAATACCTATTATTTTTAATGGTAGATACCATCAAATCGGGGGAATTCCCCAAAATATTTCTTTGATGTATTTTAATTAAGCAATTACTAAAGTAGTTTGAGGCTTTTATAAAGAAATATATTTGACGTATAGCTAAAATTGGGGCCATTATGAAAGTACACAACATAACCTCTCGGTGCGGCTCTTTTTCGATCTCCTTTGCTCTTGACGTGACATTTGAAAAGGCTAAAAGTGAAGTTGCTATCCGGTCGTTTACAGTACTTCCAACTCGTAAACGACGAGACGTTGCTTGCATTGTGGACAGGCATTTCGGCGACGTCTTACGCGTAATTAACGAAAGGGAGGATCGCAGGAGCCTGCAATTCCCTTTTGGCCGTCTACCCCAACCTAACCTGAGGGGAAAGAAGAGAAAGTAGTCCAGCTTAAGTGTCCAAGTTACCGGAAAACTCGCTTTTCGCATTCCAGACGTTCCATCATCATGGTGTGACATCAGCGGATATGCCACTGTAATGTGATACTTAAACCCGCTTATTTTTTTGCTTAAAAGTTAACGTGTATTTGCGACGCGATTTGTTAAGGAAACCGTGTTATGTGTTTGTGACGCGTGGGTTCAGTACCGCAGCTTCCGCCAGAGTAACCACTGTGTCATAAATGCCTCGAATGAGTATTAAAAGCAAATTTTATTCATCAATTACAACCACTTGCCTTTGGCTACAGAAAAATGACTGTTAGCTCATAAAATATGTAGCAAGCCAGACTATTTTTGCCACCTAATTCATTAGTTTTGGAAACATTCCCCCCTAATTGGGAAATACTCTTAAGTAAAATCCAAAAAAAATCTATGATTTGTACAGAGCTCCGTCCCATCTCCTTTTATCCGTTTACGTCTTTTTCTTTGTTCAAGCAACACTCTAGGATCACGCACGCTTGATTAAATATTTGCATCTCATGTTTGAATTGAATAGCGTACCTTATTTTAAATTACCAAGGTGAATTCCGGTGAATTTGTACACGAAGTTCGACTCAATGCAAGTCCCAGTGGAACAAGAAAAACCATATTCGTGAAGAAGAGCTTTGCAAAACGCCACGCGCGAGGATCGCTAGAAAAAGCTATGTCATCCGAAAGATCGAAAACTTCTCTAAAATCGTTGAAAAAATTATAGCAGTGTTGAAAAATTACGTTTTATAGGCAAAATGTAGGGAAAAAGTGGGAGCCGGGGATTCGCTCAAGAAGAAAAGCTTGCATCAACAGTAACACGGGTTCAAACAAAAAAGTCAAGGCCATTATTTCAGCATTTTACCGATCCCTTTTTTATTTCTATATTTCAATCCTTTGCTTCCGGTTTTTGAGTTTCTAGAAGCTTGAAAATTAAAACCATTCGGATTAAATTCGTATGAACCACGAGAGTATTTATCGATAACGTGGAATTCAATTCGGCCATTTTTATCCTTCTTTAATCATCGCAATGTAATAACTTTGTTCATTTATTTTCCAACTTGATGAGATCGGTTAGATGTGGGCACCGTGCATTCAGCTTTGCATTTCCGCAAGGTTCCTCAGAATTGGAAAATCAAAGTATTCCCCTTCCCTCTACCATCTTCTCGGGGATCAGGACCTCCTCAGTTATAACTCTGGTCAAATCTACGCCTTTAGCACCTCAAAAAGGCATTTAAACAAATGTGTTATTTACCCGCACTTAACAAAATTACAAGGACGCAGAAGAGCTCAAAAACACTTTAACCAATGTATAATGGAACCGAATAAGCCTGCTACACCTGTTCCTCGAGAATAAATAGCTGTAGGAATCACTAAAATAATCCATATTTCTGAGTGAAAGAATTAACATAAACTTTAGTGAATTTTAATTCTACCGTGTGTCTTGCCTATAGCATCCATGTAAACACCAAGCTCCGACCACTTCCACTCTTATCTCACTTTTACTTCTTAACTGCCTATTCGCTTTCGCCTGTCATGTCATTAGGGTGGGATGATAAGCATCACCCGGAGAAATACCACAAGAATGTAAAGTATGCAGTGAAGCAGTACATCCCTTCCCTCCTCCCCCTCTCTTCCTCCTTCGATTGCTCCCAGCCCAGCCAATAATCGCTCCTCCTTACGGAGAAGTTTTGCGGTGTAGGATAATCGACTGCCTTACAAGGTCAGGACTTTTTTTTATTAGTCCTTAGTGTATCTCGCAAATTTGCTAGTATGAATTAGAGAAAAAATTTTTTAGCACACCTATGAGTGGTCTTGCGTGTGGTGGATGAAAAAACTCATGCAGTGTTTGCGGCTTGGACTTCAGCGGGTAAACAACTTCGTCTGTGGTCAGCCACTCATGCACACACCTCAAGGCATTCCTCTGAGGGTAAAGCGATGAATGTTCTAAAGGTGTTGTGTGGGGTAACGTGATTGGTGTGGGCTGCAGGGCAAAGTGGAATTGTAAATTTCTGAGTAGATCGTTTAAAGAATAAACCAATGATAGATACGTTGTCCGAAAGAAGGTTGGTGTACAAATGTCTTGCCTGATCACACACCTGCATGACAGTTAGTCTGTCTGCCTGTTTGTTGTGTATGGCGACACGCATGATTTGATGGAATCATTTATCAAAACGCCAGTCCAGAACTGCCGTCACACATATGTGGCGCTGGTGAAACGTATGAAATTGTCTTGCATCAATTTGACATTTTTATGAATTTGTGCCGAAAGGTTTACCTCTTTAAACCTTTTCTAAATCGCTAGAATTTCTGGTATTTCCACGCCTTTTTTCGCACTTGACTATCTGCCGTAAAGTGATTTATTTTCTTGGACAATTAACTAGGCAAGCTTTCCAATTGCTGTCACGTCTACTTCCATTTGACAGCATGATTATTCGGTCAGGTCTGTAGCATCTCTGCGCTCCCCTTCACATGTGAAGATCGCCCTTCCTCATAGTGGACTGCGTATTAGAGCTTGGGCGAAGACTCGGAGTGTGTAGGACCTAGTGCCTTCGTGTGGAACAACCATCTCAGTTGTTAAGTGCCTCAGTCTACTCCAAAAAGTCATTTTTTGCTGCTTTTAATAGGAGTGTGTTTTCTGAGTAAGGGCGTTCCACAAAAGCGTGGATTGCTTCATGAATTTGACTTGAAATTGTTGGGAAGATTTTCTGCATCTTTCGTGACTGAAATGCTCCACTGCCCCAAGCTGTTGCACGGGAAAATAATTTGTTGAATGAAAAAACTATTTTTGGATAAAGGTGCAAAACTATTTTTTGTATGTACTGTTTTAAAATGCAGTTGACAAAAACAGGAAGAGGTGAGATCCTACTAACACCCAAAAAGTAGCATTAAATTAGCCCATTTGCCTAACCAAATGTCATTTTACCCTTGTCTGGGCAATTATGTTGGGAATTGTGAGAGTGATCTTACATACCGGGGTCGCTAGTGTCCAAACAGGTTGATAGAAGGCACCACAATGCAGAGTGTTCTTCCACACCGCGAGTGATGCGAGTCAAAAGTGTGCGCCTCGGGAGGCCAAAATTTTACATCGCTTAACATCCTTATTCTGACCATCAAACCCATCACTTGTAATTACCTTGCAAAGGCAAATCCCAATCGCCCTTGATATCCAATCGAATAGAGACACGACTAGCCAGAGAGGTGACGGCAGATGTTTGACGTGTCAGCAACCACCTTCAAGCAAGTAAAGTGGGTGTCGCAGATGCCAAGGGGGGATACAAGCAAATTGGCCTTTTAACCGATCCAGGTGATACCGATTGTACGAGAAGCAAGAATTTCTTCTTAGGAGTACTGACAAGCAATGAGGATGGGATTGAAGTTGGTTTCATATGCAGATTTTCGAAGTTAATCCTTGAGTTTTCAGGACCTAAGTTTACCCGGCTTGCTATTGTGCAAATAAAAAATGACAAGAATATATGTCTATGATTTTTTTCTTGCCCTTTTAGTCACTCTTCATGGTGGTGATGTCAAGCTACAAGACCCTACTGAAACTTATGAAAGCCTTGACAGACTACAAGCAGGCGGAGTCTTTACGGCGTTCTAATGACAATGTAGAGGCCCTCTAAATTAATTTTTTCGTATAACTTGTTTTCTGTGAAATGTGGGCTATTTGAACCATCATCGCAATGCAACCGATCGGAGAAAAAAAACAACAGAGACAGACACTTCAGATGGGTGTGATGTCTTCAACCCTGGGCCTCCTCTCTCTACTCTCGGCACTGGATTCTTGTACTCACTTTTCCCATTCTGCCTTCCCTCAAACCCTCGATTACGTGTTTTCTATCGCAAGTGTTGTCCGTTTATTGCCAAATTATCCTCTATTCGCCCGGTTTTTGCCATGACAGGGGAAGGTGAATGACATTTCCTTTTATTTGATTAAAAAAAACACTATGTACAGATGTGAACGACGTACGCACGGAAACAATAAATCGGCTCTGATATTCCACCAATTTCTGTTCCTACCGCCCACTAAACCTGGGGCAATATGCGTGTCCATTGCAAAAATACTTTCCTAATTTTGAAAGTCATTAAAGGTTTGGCATCAAAGATGAAGGAGTTTTAGAAATAAATGCGCGAAAGACTAATTTTTGTTAAATGGTCTTGCACAGTATTCTAAGGTTTTAGAAGTCCTCAATTGAAAAAGAGATAAAGGCAGTAAAAATTTTGAAGTATAGGGATGACATACATTTATTCGTGAATTGAGGCTAACTACACCAATTTTTAGGACAAAGATATGCTCACATAAACATAGGAAATAACACTATTGAGTTTTCACTGGCATGTTTCCATGGGAAATAAACTAACATGAAGGCAAATTGAGCAGTTAGGAGCCAACCCAATAGCATCGTTTGAGCTAAATTAATACAATAAATTGCATTTTTGACTATGTAAGGTCGCGTACCGTAATCACTGATGCTAATTATTAAAACCATTATTGTCCATATTTTCTCCTTAAAATTGGCAGAAAGTATGAAATTTAAGGAAAGACCAAGGCTTTAACAGCCGCCAACCGCTTAATAAAAAGGCGAGAGCGCAAAAGAACCAAAAATAGGCGTAAAAATGGCTGTAAAACCAGAAATAAAAGGCGACTCAAGTTGACTTGGTGAGCACGACTCGTGGCATATGACACCTCTTTCCGGGATGTCGACGTCATGGATTCTTGCTGATTACCGCATGTCAAATATGCCGACAGCGTGTGAGTTTCGATTAACCGTGGGACAGAATCGGAGGTCACATGTGAATGCCTCCCAGTCCAATGAGATCCACAGGTCTTGACGCATTTCGTCCGTCGAATCAAGTGTCGGGGAATGATATAGGACCGACTCACTTCATGCCCCGTCTGAGGCTGCATTCCCTTTTAATCCAAGCGCCCGCCTCAGCAACCACCACCCCGGTGAAAGGGTATCTATGGGGGCGGATTCATTCAACGTTTTACAGCAACCCTTCCCCGGACTCAATTCTTGTTAAGAACAAACATCAAGGGACTGAAGACTACTTGATTCAATAAGTACAAATTGATTAAAACCTAATGCTAAGAAATAGGAAATTACAAATAACGAGAATGTTTTGCTCGCAAAAAATCAATGAAAACAAGAGTATCACGAAAATATTACGGTAAAAAATAAGGAATCTATTGAGTGAGCCCCAATTTCCCCAATATCTTTGCAACTATTTCACCAGGCTGAAGGGTCGCATCGACCGTTAAAAAGCTCTCCATCCCCACACTCGGTACTTCCAGGGTTTCCAACTGACTCTGAACAATACTTGGCGGGAGGAAATGACCTTCTCGCTGACAAACCCGTGCTTCCAGAACGTCTCGTGGTGCCTCAAGAAATATGAAGAGAATATCCGTGTTCGGTGGACGAGTAAGCACCTCTCGATATTGTCGTTTCAGTGCAGAGCAAGTGACGATAACAGGAGTGGACTGTGAATACAGTCTGGCTTCTGTAATTGCAGAGTGGATACGTTCTAGCCACGGTAGCCGGTCTTCGTCGGTTAAAGGCACACCAGAGGACATTTTAGAGATGTTATGATTAGGATGAAGAACATCACCCTCAATGAAAGTGCAATGGAGTTTGCTTTGTAAAAGAAAGGCGATAGTCGATTTACCACAACCAGATGGACCCATGAGAACAATGGGTACCATTCCAAATGTTTGGCGACAGTCTAAATGGTTGCACTACAATGTTCTAGATCAAAAAGGTGTTTTCAAATGCCATATGTAGAACAAAGGAACAGAGTTAACAAATAAAGGGCACTATTCTCTCGGAGTTTGTTACCAAATTTTTAAGCACAAGCACAAATCCTCCAAGCCAGAAGTTACCAGCATAATACCTAACTGGAGGGAAAAATAAATTGCAAAAGCCCACAGTCAACGATTCCTTGCAACAATATCATAAATAAAACAGCATAAATACCTACATAGAACTAAACGAAGCACCCACTCCGGTAATAGCGCCGACTCAAGCCGTTGAAGCTCCGCTTCTCCAGAAACTGATTTGAACAAAATATTTGTATCTAAATTGCTAAGTGTAGGCTAAGTATTAAGTTTGTTTGCAAAAAATTTATTAATAAACCGGTTTTGGAATTGTGCGCATTACAAACACCTTACTTTATGAACCCTTGTTCACGATTTACTTAGCCATTCTTTTCCGATTTATGCAGCTACTAAGAAACACAAATGGCACAGAAGTGGCCACGCATAAAATACTTTTACTGTTAACACTTATAAAAAAATATGATTCTAAGATTGGTTTTTTTTGCCCTAGTCTTCTTGATGATTGCCAATTAGGGACGCCCTTCCAAATCTTCAATCGAAGAACCAGCGCACGTTTATCCACCCTGTGATGCAAAAGCTTGAAGATGAGTCATGAATATGAGAATAGCTAGGAGTTGTACTGGATCACCTTTCGCTGCTACGGAAGCAGCATTCCGTGTTTCCCTCGATGTCGTAAATACTCATACCTCTGCCAGGAAATATCGGTAGCTAAAGTGAGCTAAGATGTAATTGTCATGCTTATATTGTTTCAGTGTTCCAATCAGAGAGGAGGCAGCGACACGAACTCAACCTCGTGACTGAGGCGGCAACGTCCTGCAACCCCAAACTCGTACCTGCTTCCCACCACTTACTTATCCTAATAAATATGTCAGTGTCGAATCAAGATGGGTGCTCTAAGAGCATAAAAATCAGGGAAAAGAAGGTTAACGAGCCTCATTTTGCACTAGTGGCATCACCGGTGGACCTCTCCTCTTTCGGACATGACATGAATTTCAAAGGCTAAATGAAAATTACTAAATTCAACCTCTGTCGCTATCCTCAGTGCCAAAGATTACATTCAATTTCCTCACTTTCACCTGTGATTTATTTTTGGTTGCAATTGACGCTGGCATCACTCACGATATCGACATTGAACAATGCTGCTATATGTTGGCTTAACTGGTCATCAATTGGGAAGAGCAAACCCTCGCCATAGTTTTCTTTCTCCGTTCCCAGAAGGCTAACAAGGACGACGAAGAGTATACTAAGAACCTTCAACAACTGGCAGAACGTGCTTTCAGTGGCTGCCCTCAGAACAAGGTCGCCAACTGGGTAACGGTCGAGTTCAGACACGGAGTACGACCTCTCACTGTGGTTGAGAAGCCCCGTGACATAAGGACTACCTTGCTCAGACAACTGGTCAACCTCGAAATCAAGAAGCGACAGGAACTCCAGGCGACCCTGATCTACCAGAAGCCTCAAAAGTGGCAAAAGTCAACACCCTCACCTCGTGTCTCCCTGCGCTATGCCCTAGACCAGGGAAGCCTTCCTTTACTCGTTCCTGTGTGCTCCCAAATGGTTACCATTGTTATATGCGGATTGGGACGTGATACTTGGTGCTGATTTCCTACGCTACACCAAAGCCGTCCTGAACTTTACAGAGGGAATCTTTTCCAATCACTGAGTAACCAAGGCCAAAGTAGACACTTTGCTACCGAAAGATGATGTAGATGACATCTACAACGCCCTTTTTGAAGCTGCAGCCATTTCCACGAACAATCTGGATGACCTTTATGCGTAGCTGACCCACATTTCCAACAATGATAAAAAAGAACCCCCTGAGCTCCAACTTAAACATGCAGGCATCTTCTCGCGGTAGGGTGCCAAGCTGGAAAGAAAAAATATCATCAAGCATCCTGTTGACACCGGCGATGCTAGACATATCTGACAACCGTCCAGACGTATTCCACCACCCGTGCTAGCAGAAGTAAACCGTCTGGTTGAAGAGACGCTTTGCGACGAGGTTATGAAGCCATCTAAGTCACCATGGGCCTCCTTAATTGCTCTGAAAAAGTAAAATAACGGTAGTCTGCGGTTTTGCATCGACTTTAGGAAGTGGAACGCTGTAAACAAGAAGGATGCATTCCTCCTACCTCACATTAATGACGCACTAGACTCCTTACATGGATCGTAGTGTTTCTCCACCTAAGACTTGAAGTCTAGATAGTGGCAAGTGGAAGTGGCAGAATGAGACCGAGGGAGGACAGCTTTCATATTGCCAGACAGACATTATGAGTTCCAAACCATGCCCTTTGGACTCTGTGACGCAGCGGCCACCTTTTAACGACAAATGCAAATAGCTCTGATTGGCCTATCACCAAAGCGTCGCATAATCTATCTTGACGACAGTCTCGTTTTTGGTGGAGATATTCGAGAGCATAACGCCAACCTAGAACTAGCGTTGGATCGCCTACGAGACGCAGGGTTAACCTTAAATCCGAAGAAGTGCCATTTCCTGCAACGCTCGGTCACCCTTGTGGAACATGCAGTCTCGTCGGATGGGATAGCAGTCACCGAAGACCGTGTACAACAGGTGAGGGCATGGCCTACACCAACACACCAGATGGAGCTCCGCAGTTTCCTAGGTTTGGCAAATTACTACCGGCGTTTCGTTGAAAGGTTTTGGTAATTTCACCAACCCGCTACATAAATAAACCGAAAAGCAGGCGAAGAAGAATTTCAAGTGGGAGAAAGAGCATAATGAAGCGTTTAAAGAACAGAAGCGAATGCTCTGCTCCACTCCGATCCTAGCATTGCCAAACTTCGAATCGAGCGCTCCACCGTTTAAACTGGATACGGCGGATACGAGCGACGCGGCTGTGGGCGGTGTACTCTCACAAAGGGGCAAAAAGGGAAGGGAACATGGCATCGCCTACGAGAGTACCAGACTCGGTAAAATAATGGTTCCACACTTCAGACATTACCTTATAGGGGGAAGTTCATTATTAGGACCGAGCAATGAAGGATATCGCTCGTTCAGTTGTACTCTGGTACGAAGAGCTGCAACAATATGATTTTACAGGCTAATACCGAAAAGGAAAAGGGCATGGACTATCCCACAGACCGACTGCAACAGAAACAGGAAACGTTATGATGCGCACCACATTTGTGAGCGACCCTGCCAAACAGCATTAAAGAAATATGCAGAGCACCGCTCCTGACACAGCTCTGATATACAAGAAGTTCCTGGCATCCTCGCATAAGCCTACATCGGAAGAGATGACGTCGACTGGCAAGGCAGCTAGACGGATTTGGCAAGAGTGGTTGAAACTCTCTCCGGGGGAAAAGATTTGATGGTACCAAGAAGGTGTCCAGACTTCTAAGCTTCTAGTAGCTCCTGGCTCATTAGTGCAAACAGTTCTGCGAGAGTTACACAAGCAACTCAGCCACATGGGTGAAAGGAAAGTGCTTGACGCCTCGAGCAAAAGATATTGGTAGCCTCCGCTCATCCCAGATGTACTGGACTTCCACCTTCACCCGTACAACTTGCAGCGGTTTCAAAAGACCTCAACCCACAGCCACCGCACCTTTACAACCTATGCCCACCGACTCCCCAGGGGAAAAAGAGTAGGTATAGACATTATAGGTCCTCCACTGCCCACCAGGAGAGGAAACTGATATATTCTGGTTATGGTAGTGACTGAGGCAGAACCGATGAAGCCACAAGACACTGGAACGGTTGCTTCAGCAGATTGAATTTGCTAGCATGGAGTGCCTGAATCCGTTCATAGAGATCACTAAACTATGTAAGACCTGCCAGATCACAAAGACATGCGTGACACCTGAACATCTGGAAGGCAACAGCCAGGTGGAAGGAACGAATCGACTACTACGACTACTAAAGGTCTTCCCTACAGATGCACAACTAGATGACTGGGATTTAAGCCTGGGACGTGTCATTCTCACATACAAGGCTACGGTCCACAAGGCAACGGGCGTTCCTCCGTTCAAGATGCTCACAGCTCGTGAAATGAGAGTACCTTCCGGCATCTTCCTGCCAAACACCGACGAAGCAGCCAGCAATGTTCCAGAGTACATACTGTGGCTGAAAGAAGGCATAAGAAAAACTTTTGACATCGAACGTAAACATTTACGACTGTCTCATATCAGACAGAAGAAATATTACGAAAAACAGCCGGCCGAAGGTCTACCGAGAAGACTTAGAGCAAATTTACAGGCTGGTTCCCCCACCTGGAATACACCACAACTTCCATTACCCATGGAGCAAGGACCCATTTCAAGTAGTAGAGACGCTCTCACCCACAAACTACTACGTTCACAACGCACAACTGCGTACCTACAAAGGACCACCACCGGTTGGACATGAAGATGAGAATTACACCCTTACGGAGGACCGAAAACTACCGAATGGCAACTTCGAGAGGAGCTCATAAGTGGCAGCACCGGGGACGGTGCAGAAAGGACGAGGAGGATGCGTAATACTTATATTGTTTTAATGTTTCTTTCAGAGAGGAGGCAGCGACACAAATCCAACCTCGTGACTGAGGCGTCAACGTCCTGCAACCAGGAGAGGGGTTTTGTACTTACTTCCCGCCATTTATTTATCCTAATAAACATGTCAAAGTCGAATCAACCCGGGCATTCTAAGAATACAAGTACCAGGGAAGGGGGGATCTACGAGGCTTGCCCTCCAATAATAGCGGAGCAATAGTGTTAGGAATTTCAACGCTTTGAGTCCTCCCCTCACCACTCCTGATGCTCTAAGAGGGCGAAGTATTAATTCATGGAAAAGTTGGAAGGTTATTATCACGGCGCGAAGTCCCCACCGAGGAGTAAAAGGACGATTTGCGAAAATTTAAGAGCCAGTTAAACAAAATATCAAATTGCTATTCATAAGTATAATCACAGAAAATACGTTAAATGATTTTAAAAACAACGCGAGAAACAATTTCATTAATCCGCGCATTATCGATTTCGCCAATGGTATTCTTTTCTTGAAAATAAAGCAATGGCAGAAGCATCTTTTTGGTGTTTATTTGCTAGCAAAATCAACTTGCCGTATGTACAAGTTAAATACAAACTTCTGTAAGGTAGCTCATTTAGAAACTAACTAAAATCTTGAGTCACCATGGATGTCACTGAACTCCACCTAAAGTTAAAATGGTAATTGGCGATTTGGCGCAGCATCATTGAAAAATTCAGCGCTTAAGGTTGTATCAAAAGACAATGAATGTTACTACTGCGTGCCTTAACGCTTTTCTGCCTAAGTATTTAATTACAATGACTCAATTGGAAAGAAGGGGATTAGGCCCCTCCTTGTCGGTTTGCGCCTTCAACAATGCCGATGGCATTGTCGTCCTTCCATAGGCCATCATTGTGGCTACTTTCATGCTGATATGAAAGGTCGCGGGGGAATATGGTTTATTGCCATCGTACCAACGGACTTGGAAGACTGTGGGCAAATAAGACCTGAAAAAGCGACGGCTCCAAATTCCTCACAACTGAAGCGGTAATCGTAAAGGACGAGTGCAGGTGGGGATGACTGGTGAATGGGCTGCTTAAGCTGCCTTCAATAAAACAAAAGAAGAGCGG